CGAGAATCCACTGCCTTCCCTGAGAATTGCAACTTACATGGAACTAGGACAAGGCACCACCTCCTTATAGCCACGTATATGAAATGTCAAAGCTAAAGAAACCTAGAAGACCACCAAAACACGCGATGCTTGGCTAACTTGCAAGCCGGGCTGGTACACCCTTCAAATGTATCATGACAAACCAATAATGTCGCCGGTCGTCTGTGTCGAGATCTATGTCAAAGTAGCATGGCCTAGTGGGCAATCCAGGCATGGTGCTCATGGTACCCACGAGCGGGAAGATGAACCCCGCACCAACACCGCCCCTCACGTCCCGGATGGGAAGGGTGAAACCGGAAGGAGCGCCCTTGAGAGCCGCATCATGGGAGAAGGAGTACTGTGTCTTCGCCATGCATATGGGCAGATTGGCGAATCCTTGCTTTGTGTACTGCTCAATCTTGGCCTCAGCCTGGGACAAGGAGGTGGAGGGTGAATGGGGAGAATTATTTGTTCCTTGTTTTAGCTTATCCCTCCACATCGTTCAAGCGCGCGCACTCGCATGGGTTGCCAGCATCGCCTATAGAACACTGTGGTATGTCACTGCACACACTTTCAGGCATACCGTTGTCAGGCATGAAAGAAGCATTTTAGCATACACATGCACGCACACGCGTGCACATACACACAGACGTGAAGGCGCGCACGCACAACACATGTGCACGCTACTCTGCAACAAATGCATACCTCAGGCGAGTACTCCACTCCAGCAGCACCGTAGGTGACGGTGGCAATGGTCTCGATCTTCTCCTTGATGCTGCGGTCCAGGTCATAGAGGAACTTGAACCCACTCTCCCCACTCGCCCCCCTGGCCGCCACATCACTGCATGCCTTCACCACTGCTGCTCCCAGTGCTGCCTGCGGACGGCAACAGGAGATGAGGATGGCACAGAGAAAGAGACAAGGAGAAAATGGGTCTGAGAATGGCAGCAGGCGGTGGGGATGGCATGCGCCAGGAATCTAAAGATAAAAGGAAAGGGAGAATGGAAGCAGGTGGGAGGAAGAAGGGTTTGGGAGGTGGTGGCAGGTGAAGTCATTTTCCACATAAAAGGAAGAGTTGACAAAGCGATAGAAGGAAACTCTTACCGCGCCCGCCCCTCCATGAGCGAAGTTCGAGCACACAACGGCATCCACCGCGCCTGCCGCCAAAGCTGCCTTCCGAACCTCCTCCAGCTCAGCCTCGGTATCCGCAGCAAACCGGTTCACCGCCACCACCACTGCGACGCCGTACCGCCTCGTGTTCTCTATGTGCCTGACGAGGTTGGCACACCCCTTGGCGACTAAGTCCACGTTCTCTGAGGTGTATGCGTGGTCAAGGGGCTTCCCTGCCGCCACTGCTGGGCCGCCTCCGTGCATCTTGAGCGCGCGCACCGTTGCCACAATCACTGCACAGTGCGGGCGCAGACCACTGTACCTGCTCGGGGGAAAAGGGTGAATCGTGGAAAGGGAGCGAGGGTGCATGTTGTGTGCCACTATCATTGCATAATCCTTGGCTTTGGGCCGCCTCTAAACCTGCTGCTTGCCTGGCACCTGTCTCTAAGCTCTCTAAATGCCTGTCCCTCACCTGTTACCTGCCCCTCCTCTTTCCTGCACTGCACTTGACGTTGAAGAGCTTCTCCGGCCCATTGTCCGCCCCAGACCCCGCCTGTCCTGCTTGCTCAGTTGATACTTGTATTGAGGCACCCATCAGCCCACCTGCATTTGATGTTGAAGAAATTCTCTGCACCGAGTCAGCCCCGAACCCTGCATCCGTGCACACAACGCCGCCCTTCCCCACGAGCTTGAGCACGATCTGGTCAGCAGTGATGGACGAGTTGCCGTGCGCGATGTTGGCGGCATCATCAGTTGCTGGTACTATCAGTTGCCGTGCGATACGAAAGCGATCCAAACCCTGTCCCTCTGCTAACCTGACCACGTGTCCCTCCTTTCAATACCTCGACCCCCTATCAGCCCACCTGCACTTGATGTTGAAGAACTTCTCTGCGCCAATGTCAGCGCCGAACCCCGCCTCAGTGCACACGACGCCGCCCTCCCCTACGAGCTTGAGCGCGATCTGGTCCGCGATGATGGACGAGTTGCCGTGCGCGATGTTGGCGAAGGGGCCCGCGTGTACCAGCACGGGCGTGCCCTCGAGGGTCTGCATCAGCGTGGGGCGGATGGCGTCCTGGAGGGAAAAGGGAAGGGATGCAAGGAGAGGGGGGGAGGGACGGGAAGAGGAGAACGAGAAATGAAAGGGCAACAACACCTGGGAGAAGCAACAGCTTCACAGCCTGGGAATATTGAGTGTAGGCAACAGGGAAACCGAGACCTCGCAACCCCAGCACCTGCGTGCTCACCACACGTGACGTCTGATTGGCTTGCTGCAGTCGAGTCTCATTCCATCTTAGCAAGAGAGCTCGGCAACCCAGCACCTGCTTGCTTGCTCACCTTCATAATGACCGTCAGCGCCCCACCAATCCCGAGGTCATCCGCTGTAATCGCGTCGCCCGCCCTACTCGTACCGATAACCATGCGGCCCAGTCGTGCCAGTAACCATGCGGCCCAGCCTCTCCCGTTAGTCGTCCAGCAAGCGCTGCTCACCTTCATGATGACCGTCAGCGCCCCACCAATCCCCAGGCCAACCGCTATAATCGCGTCGCTTTCCCTACTCGTGCCGATACCCATGCGGCCCAGCCTCTTCAGCAAGCGCTGCTCACCTTCATGATGACCGTCAGCGCCCCACCGACCCCGAGGTCATCAGCAATGATGCATTTCAGTCGACTCAAAGCGGAGGTCGTCCAGCAAGCGCTGCTCACCTTCATGATGACCGTCAGCGCGCCACCAATCCCGAGGTCGTCAGCAGTGATGGCGTCGCCCGCTCTGCTGCTGCCAATGACCATGCGGCCCAGCCTCTCCCGCAGGTCGTCCAGCGACGTGGTGAGGGCGAGCACGGCCATGATCTCACTCGCCACGCTGATGTCAAACCCCGTCTGACGAGTCAGCCCCCGCTCCTCCGGACCCTGCCCTATGGTGATACCGCGCAGAAACCTGCAGCGAGCAGGGGGGGGAAAGCGAAGATGGTGGAGGTGGGTTTGATGCCGCAAAAGGGTTCAGTATTCGTCACGCACAGACAACTAACAGCTAACGCGTTCTCGTCACGCACAGGCAACTAACCGCTAACTCATTATCGTCACGCACAGACAGCTAGCAGCTCACGCATTCTCATCACGCACAGACAGACACGATCACGCACCTATCATTGATGTCCATCACCCGGCGCCACGTGATCTTCTCCGGGTCGATATCCAGCCGCGCGAACCGCCGCACCTCGTCCTCGCTCAGCGCGTCAGGGTCACTCTTCTCGATCCCCAGCTTCTTCAGCCGCCGGAGCATGACCGGAGAGAACCGCCGCTTGCCCTCCTTGTCCGCCGGGCACAGGCGGCGCAGGAGCGCCATGTCAGACTGAGCGGCTTCGTGGAAGATTCGAGTGTCGATGGCGGCGGCGAGGAGGTTGTTGGCCGCGGTGATGGCGTGGATGTCGCCGGTGAGGTGCAGGTTGAAGTCTTCCATCGGGATCACCTGGGATAGGAAGTAGAAAGTTTAGGGGGTAGAAAGAATGACAGCCTATTGAAAGCGGGATAGAGGTTGAAGTCCTCCATCGGGATCATCTGGGATGGGATGGAGAGGATTCGTGGAGACAGAGACAAACCAGCTCAACGCAGGCGTCTAGCCTGTCGAACGTCGATGGTTCACGGGTAACTATGGTTCATGCTTAGCCTGACTTTAGTGTCGTGGTTCATTAGCCTCTCTGAGATAAAAGCGGCAGCAAGGGCCAACGCATTGCGAACCAATTAGTTAATCGTACCTGGCTGTAGCCTCCTCCGGCTGCTCCTCCCTTGATGCCAAAGGTGGGTCCCATGCTCGGCTGACGGATGCACGCAATGCACTGCTCACACGAAGGAAATCAGGCCAGACGGAAAGGGCAGAACAAGTTCATGGTAATATGTTTCCATTTTTATCCTGGTGATTGTTCTTGTACAAGAAAGACATCAGCGCGTCAAGGTACAGTTAAATGAACGTAACTTAACATACGCTGCACTTCCCCTCCAAACGAGCTATGTCTAGACTCACCGCCTTGTCGAGGTGGGCTCCAAGGGCCTGTGCGAGCCCGATGGTGGTGGTGGATTTGCCCTCTCCTAGCGGCGTTGGTGAGATTCCCGCAACCAGCACATAATATCCCTCCTTTGCGTCCTTCAGCCGGTCCTTCACGGACAAGCAAACCTGAAATGCGTCGAAATAAGGGTGCAAGAAAGAATGGCTCTTCAGTGGACTAAGCTGAGGACGCGACGTAAATGGCTTAGCTCTGAGAGATTCACGGAAAGTAGCTCTCTAAAGGGAGAGGAATTCTCTTACCTTAGCCTTGAGATTCCCGTAGAGCTCGTACTCGGACGGCTGCAGACCAACAGCCTTGGCAATCTCAGATATCGGCGTCGGCTCTACGGACTGTGCGATGACAATATCGGCCGGCACAGGGTCCTTCACTTGCAGCTTGCGAGCAGTTGCAATGGTAGCCGTCGATACTGATTCCTGTGGTCGAGGAGGTGCAATGGTAGCCATTGATACTGATTCCTGTGTCCCGCTTTCGCCAATGAACCGCAAATAGAGACAGATTTTCAAGAGATAAGCCGAGGAATTGAATAAGACGAGAGCTGCTTGCAGAAGGCTGTTTCCGGATTTTACTGGCAATGCAATCTGGAGTGATAGGAATCTGATGTACTTCCACCTTGATAAGCATGCTGTCTCTCTTCCTGACAAGCTGCCTGAAGTCTTGCGGATGAGCTGTTCTGAGTTGCAGCGGCACCCAGCCAGCACACCTGAAGATTCTGGCAGAACGGGTTCCTTGGAATTGTCTGGTGGCGCTGTGGACGTTGCGTGAAATCCGACGATGGATCCCCAACGCCAGTGGTTCTTGAAGGTCAATGCAATGCTGACCGTCCGATCAATCTGCTGTCGCTCTTTCTGACATGCCCCTTGGCGCGAAAATTTGGCCAGATGGCCCAGTGCACGTGTCTAGAGATGGATGCCAGATTTCGTCACATTGGATTGGGCTGGTGGACTGGGCTGGGGCCACTTCACCCCGATTTCTAGCTTTCGTGGCAGGTGATTGACGTGGATACCCATTCTGCTGCTGTGGCATCCCACGTCAACAGTTTATATTCATCTGGTCAGCAATGCAATTCTCGATATCGGTGGCCTCGATAGATACCACTTAGGACTAGGAATCTGTAACACGAAGCCTGTCAAACTTATCGCCAATAACAGGAAGCCTGTTATGTCAAAACATCTTTCAGCAATCTCGAGGCCAGTTTCCAGACTGATTACGTCCTGATGCCTGACTGACTGACACACAACCTTGCGCCAAACGCGCCGAGTGCGTCGTCAGCTCCGCTGAAGCGTCGCAGCAAGAACAATGGGAGCTATCATGGCATAGCCTTCCTTCCAGCGCTGCTGCCAATGATCAGGCTTCGCCCTTCGGGGCGTTCCCTCCCATTCCTCCTCTTTCAGTCACACCTTTCGATCTGCAGAATCGCCTCCTCGTCTCCCCTCGCCGATTTATCGCTAATTTCTACCGCTAACGCTCGCGATCGCCGTCTATCCGTCGCACCAGCATCGCCCGTACCGCGAATAACACAAACGACCACATTTTGCGCTATTCCCCGCCAAGGGACACTAGATCACCTAAAATCATTCACGAGGGTCACCAGGTCACTAGTGTCTCTTAATCCACCATTTGGAGAAGCTGTCCACTCAATGGTGCCTGAAATTCAATCAACTGACAGGCGAATGGAGGTCGAGTCGCGAGCCAATGAGGTTGATCCGCGTGGCTATGAGGCAGCACTAGCGGCGCTGTCAGGTTTAATTAATCAGCGGAAGCGCGCCGATGGCTCAAACTGGGGGGATGCCTTCGCTCTCATGCGCTCCTACGTCAAGGTTCGTCTACTGGCTATCTGAGGCCGAATCAAACACAGCACATGGATACTTTCGAGTGCTCTAAGGTCTCTGGTAATTCGCGAGGCGATTCCGCGACGATCCCCGTCCGCTTCCCTTCATCACAATTCCGCGTATTTGCTGTTATCGCACGTTGTAAAGAATCCTTCCATTAGTTGCAATCCTTGCTCTCTGAGCCGAAATATCAGCGCAGGTGGTATAAGTTCTCACAAATTCCCTCTCCTGTCGTCTGTGACTGTAACGACTGGTATTCTTGTTGTCAGGTGCTTGATCTGGAGGGACCGCTCGACCAGCTCAGCATCATCCACGTGGCAGGAACCAAAGGCAAGGCAAGGAACCAACGCCATGAAATGGCATGCATGGCATGCCACCATTGGCATCTGCCATGGCATGGCACGAAATGGAATGTGTGGCTTGAGAAAGATTCCTTATTGGGTTGGAGTGCGGCTGTCTCCCCGCAACCACCCGAGTTTAGATTCAACTGCTTCGTTTTTGCAGTATAATGCCTCTACTGATGCTCCTTCTCCCACTTGTTTCACAGCGCTCCAGATGCGCCATGGTAGAGAGCATGCTACGGGCCAGCCAGCCAGTGGCCACTCCACAGGCCTCCCCAGTTATGCTCCTCCCTCTCTCTCACTCTCATTCTGTCTTCTCTACCCCCCCCAACCCACCCCCCCAGGGCTCCACGTGCGCCATGGCAGAGAGCATGCTGAGGGCCAGTGGCCACGCCACGGGGCTCTTCACCTCGCCGCACCTGGTGGACGTCAGGGAGAGGTTCCGCCTCAACGGGTGAGTGGTCCCTGCTCAATGGGTGCTTCAACGGGTGAGGGGGGAGGGGTTTACGAGTGAGGGGTTTGGGCTTACTGGATGAACGAATCGAGCCAGTGGCCACGCCACGGGTCGCTTCACACCTCGCCGCACCTTGTGGACGTCAGGGAGCGGTTCCGCCTCAACGGGTGAACGGTAGGGTTTTACGATCTCTGTAATTTGTTCAAGCTTTGGACTTAAGATGTGAGACGTCAGAGAGTTTAGGCTATTTGGGTGGTTTCGGCTGATCGATTGAATGCTTCAGGCTTGTGTAACAAGGTTTTCACTTCAAGTCCTCATCCCCTCCACCCCTCCCCCCCTCCCCCCCTGCCCCACCTCTTGCTTTCCTGCATCGGCAGGGAGATGGTGCCAGTCGATACATTTCTGCAGCACTTCTGGTGGTGCTACGACAGGTGCAAGGTGAGTGGCTGCTAGGCTACTTGCTGGGTGTCTTTGAACGTACGTAATACGACAGCTGCAAGTTGGGAGGCTAGTAGGTTTCTTCTTGGTGCCATCAAATGCGCTTATCCCCCCTTACCAACGCCCTTGCTTCCTTCGATCCTGCCATGTCATGTCATGTCATGTCATGTCATGTCATGTCGTGCCCGCATGAACCAAGCCATGTGCAGCATGTGCCCTTTGCCTGCGCCTTTATTCCGCCGTCTCCATTGCTGCACTGCACTCCCCCTTCTCCATTCCCCCACCCCCTCCAGGCGGCAGCGTCCTCCTCCTCGTCCCCCACTCCCATGCCGGCGTATTTCCGCTTCCTCACTCTGCTCGCCCTGCGCATATTCACTCAAAGCCAGGCAAGCTTCTCTGTCTTTCTGACTTCTGAACTCCAGACTCACTGCTTCCTCACCCTTAAAACGTTTTAAGCCTTTTAAGCCACATCACTCTGCTCCTCACTGTGCTTCCTCACAAGCCACCTCCTCACTCTGCTCGCCCTTCGCATCTTCACCCAAAGCCAGGCAAGCTCCTGTACCCATTGACTTTTGAGTCGACTCAAAAGGCTTGAGATGTACCTACGTCCTTGAAATCTCAGCCATATACTTGGTCTACGTGGCAGGTTCGCTCAGATACTTTCTGGTCCTTGTCCTACGTGGCAGGTTGACGTGGCGATTCTGGAGGTGGGCATTGGCGGAAGATTCGACGCCACGAACATTGTAAGGGCCCGATCTGCTTGTCCTCGGTCTCCCCCTCTGCCATCTCCCCTCTCCTCCGTCCCTCTCCCCTCCATTTTCCTGATTCCCACCTGTTTCTGCACCATTTGAGGGTCAAGCGCACACCCACACTGCAGCGTGTCACACCTCGTCCTTCTTCCCCTTACCCCCATCATTCCCCCCTCGTCTTCCCCTTACCCCCATCATTCCCCCCCTCGTCTTCCCCTTACCCCCATCATTCCCCCCCCCGTCTTCCCCTTTGATTCCCCCTTCCTCGTTCCACGACCCCCCTCCAGGTCAAGCGCCCAGCAGTGTGTGGCGTTTCGTCGCTGGGCTTCGACCACATGGAGCTGCTGGGTCAGTCTGTGTGATTAACGGGAAGCCCCACCCAGCAGTGTGTGGGGCAGGGGGTCAGCGGGGCAGGGGGGCAGGGGGACAGGGGGACAGGGGGACAGGGGGACAGGGGGGCAGGGGGGCAGGGGGACAGGGGGGCAGGGGGGATCAGTGGGTTATGTGCTTGCACACATGTCGTGCACTAGTAGACCTTTATGATTAACGGGAAGCCCCACTGTCTGGCGTTTCGTCGCTGGGCTTCGACCACATGGAGCTGGTGGGTCAGTCTGTGTGAGGGGCAGTGGGGCAGTGGGGCAGGGGGGCAGGGGGGTAGTGGGGCAGTGGGGCAGGGGGGCAGGGGAGCAGGGGGACAGTGGGGCAGAGGGGCAGTGGGGGGCAGTGGGGGGCAGTGGGTTATGCGCTTGCACACATGTCGTGCGCTAGAAGGCCTTGTGTGATTAACGGAAGCCCCACCCAGCAGTGTGTGGCGTGTCGTCGCTGGGCTTCGACCACGTGGAGCTGCTATGTGAGACTGTGGCCAGGGGATCAGGTAGTCAGGGGGTCTGTGGCCAAGGTGTCAGGGGGTCTGTGGCCAAGGTGTCAGGGGGTCTGTGGCCAAGGTGTCAGGGGGTCTGTGGCCAAGGTGTCAGGGGGTTTGTGGGTCAGTGGATCAGGGGGTCTGTGAATCAGGGGTCAGTGGGTCAGGGGATCTGTGGGCATGGGTTTTCTCTTCGCCAGCTCCCCTTCGCCATCCCCACTTCGCTGCAGTTCTCTAACTCTTTTGCTATTGGCCGTTCGCTGTCTCCTGTTCTCCGCTCCCTCCCCTTCTTCCCTGCCTTCAAACATCCCCTTCCACCCGTTCCCCCATCCCTTCCACCCCTTTCCACCCCTTACCACCTATTTTCACCCTCCTTCCACCCTTGTCCACTCATTTGGCTCTGTCTCGCTTCTTCCCCCTATGTGTCACTTCCAACGCTACCTCCTCTGTGGCTGTTGCAAAAATTCCAGGAAACACCCTGGCTCTCATAGCTGGCGAGAAGGCCGGGATATTTAAGGTGAGAGGGGGGGGGGTTGGGGCAGGAGGGAGGAGAGGGGGGGGGAGGGGGAGAGTATTGGGTGGGAGAAAGTGGAGAAGTGGGGGGGAGTAGTGTAGAGTGCTGGGAGGTTGTGGAGGGGTTGTGAGGGGTTGTGGAGGGATGAAAGGGCAGGAGTGGGACTATTCTCTTCCGCCCCTCTCCTTCCCCATTCTTCTTGTCTCCTCCCCCTCTCCCCCCCCGCCCCACAGCCAGGAGTGCCAGCAGTGGCAGCGCCGCAGGAGCAGGAGGCAATGGAGGTGCTCAGGCAGCGGGCAGAGGAGCTCCAGGTGTGTGAATGGGTGTGTGAATGGGTGTGTGAATGGGTGTGTGAATGGGTGTGTGAATGGGTGTGTGAATGGGTGTGTGAGGGTGCGACGAGGTGTGGATGTGATGGTATGTTGGTGTGAGGGACAGCGGCCGTGGCAGCGCCACAGGAGCAGGGGGCAATGGAGGTGCTCAGGCAGCGAGCAGAGGAGCCCCAGGTGTGTGAGTGAGATGAGAGGGTGTGAGGGAGTGAGGGTGTGTGGGAGTGTGAGTACAGTGGTGCGAGGGGTAGCAGTAGTGGCAGCGCCACAGGGCCAGGAGGCAATGGAGGTGCTCAGGCAGCGGGCAGAGGAGCTCCAGGTGTGTGGCTGGTGTGTAGGCGTGTAGGCGTGTGGCTGTGTGGCTGTGTGGGAGCGAGGGTGTGTGAATGTGATGGAACGTTGGTGTGAGGGAGCACAGCAGTACCAGCGCCTCAGGCCCAGTTATTGAGACGTCTCAAGATTCGTGAGCCAACAATGTCAAGTCGATTGTCGACACAGCAACGCTACCATCCAGTCTCATTGACCCTGCATCCTCACTTTTAAACTGTCTCAAGGTCCTTGAGCCTTGACACTGGTTTTGAGCCTTGAGAAATCTCACAAGCAGGTGACTACTTCAGCGTCCCTGACCCTGCATCCTCAGCCGCCCATCTGTGCATCCTCAGCCGCCCATCTGTGCATCCTCAGCCGCCCATCTGTGCATCCTCAGCCGCCCATCTGTGCATCCTCAGCCGCCCATCTGTGCATCCTCAGCCGCCCATCTGTGCATCCTCAGCCGCCCATCTGTGCATCCTCAGCCGCCCATCTGTGCATCCTCAGCCGCCCATCTGTGCATCCTCAGCCGCCCATCTGTGCATCCTCAGCCGCCCATCTGTGCATCCTCAGCCGCCCATCTGTGCATCCTCAGCCGCCCATCTGTGCATCCTCAGCCGCCCATCTGTGCATCCTCAGCCGCCCATCTGTGCATCCTCATCCCCCATCTGTCAACCTTCGTCCTTCAGAGTCAGAGGAACTGTCTCTCTTCCTTTCTTCTCATCTCTGTCACCCCCTTCACTTCCAAATCCCCGCTTTATCTCCCCCCCCTCTTCATCCCATAGATTCCTCTTGAGGTGGCGAAACCGTTGCACGAGATTGCTCCAGGTGTGCACGTGGGACTGGCCGGCAAGCACCAGCAGATCAACGCCTCCCTGGCGGTGGCTCTGTGCCGCCAGTGGGCCATCCGAAGTGGGAGAATGGAGGAAGCACGGGCACTCGATGAGGTGAGTTGTTCCTGCATGGCTGGCACGACCAAGGTGACTTTTGAGTCGACTCAAAAGGCAATCGATCAGGTGAGTTGTCCCTGCATGGCTGGCACGACACGACCAAGGTGACTTTTGAGTCGACTCAAAAGGCAATCGATCAGGTGAGTTGTCCCTGCATGGCTGGCACGACCAAGGTGACTTTTGAGTCGACTCAAAAGGCACTCGATCAGATGAGTTGTTCCTGCATGGCTGGCAAGAGCAAGTTGTTGTGAGGTGAGCTGCTGTGTGCCAGCCATTCAGGTACATGTCAGCCTCCTCATGCAGCAGTTTTCAACAGATCTACAGGCACTCTTGGAGGTGAGTCGTGTCCCTGTGCAGCGCGGGGAAAGAGGAGGTGCAGCTGACTCAATGAGGCTAGCGCGCTGGGTGCATGAGTTGGAGGAGAGGGAGAGAGGGTCGCTTGTTGCTGTGTTAAGGCGTGTTGTAGTGTAGCGACTGCCGTCCTTCCAGTATCACAGGGCTAGATTCCACAGTTCCTTCCTACAATACGCACCTGTAACACCCATCATTTCACAGTTTCAATTATCCATCCTTTCGAGGTGACTTTTGAGTCGACTCAAAAGTCACACAGTTTCAAGTATCCATCCTTTCTCCCTCGACCTGGTCACTTCCTTTCCCCCATTCACCTGGATCAGGCGCTGGCCAATAAAACGCTGCCACCTGCCTACATAGCAGGCTTGGGGAGTGCCTCATGGCCGGGCAGGTGCGAAATTCTGCAGGATTGCCCAGCCGAGCCTGGGCAGGCTGGAACTGCAGGCGGGCAGCTGACTTTCTTTTTGGATGGTGCCCATACTGTAGAGAGTATGGAGGTGTGCGGGGAGTGGTTCTGTGATGCTTCGAGGGGTGCAGGGGGAGAAAGAGGACAAAGAGGAGACGGAGGAGAAAGAGGAGAAAAGGTGGAGTTAGCTGCAGAAACAGCGGCACAGGCAACAGCAGCATCAGCAGGGGTGGAAGGGTTAAACCAAGTGGAGGCCAAGAAGCCTGTGCGGGTAAGGAGGACTTGTGAATGATGGCTAACGCTGCCTTGCAACTTGGCACTTGCCACTTGCCAGTTGGCACTTGCCACTTGGCACTTGGCACTTGCCACTTGCCACTTGCCAATTGGCACTTGCCACTTGGCCCCTGGGACTTGCCACTTGGCACTTGGCACTGGCCAGTTGCCAGTTGCCTGTGGTTTGCATAGCATGGACTGACCCTGTGGAATTGCACTGCTGTCGCAGGTGCTGCTGTTCAACTGCATGCCTGAAAGGGACCCGCACACTCTCATGGCCCAGCTGCTCAAGACGCTCGAGCGCAGAGGTACGCCTGAAAGCAGTCTGCCGGTTTCGGAGGTCGTGCATCACTTGATCCACGCGCACAACCGTCACCCTGATTGCATGCCCTCTCATCATGCCCTTCTCCCTCGCACCCACTTGCTGTTCTTGCTGGCTGGGCTCTTATCCTTCTGTCTCTGCATTTCCCATGCCCTTGCCTCTGCAGGCCTGTCCCTCCACCGAGCCCTCTTTGTCCCTTCCCTCTCCTCCTACACTGCTCTCCTCCCCTCTCCCTCCTCCTCCTCTCCCTCTCCTCTTCCCTCATCTGATTCTGCGGGCGCCACTGTTGCCATGACGAGCCAGAGCAGCAGCCTCGGCCGAAGCAGCTTGGACTGGCAGCTATCCATGCAGCGGACGTGGGAACAGCTGCAACAGCCACTGTGTGCTGCTGGTGCTGCAGATGCTGCTGGTTCTGGTGCTGCTGGTTCTGGTGCTCATGCCGCTGATTCAATCCCTGCTTCTTTCCTTGTGCCTCGCGGTCTGACTCAATGTCTAGCATCACTAGCACAACCTGCAGCACGAGGAGCGGAATCGCGAGACATGGTGGAGTTATCCTGGCCGTTGATTTCACCCGGCGTGGCATCTCTGGGCCCTAGCAGTGCTGTGCTGCCATCACTGCCAGCAGCCGTCGATCTGCTGGGATGGACGGCTAAGATGCATCCAAATGTGGATTTGCAGGTGTTAGTCACAGGTTCGCTGCACCTTGTGGGGGATGTTCTTCGTGTGGTTCGAAGGGACCAACAATAGTTTGTATTGCACCACACAACGTTGAGAAGCATAAATACACTTCGCATTATTATCTGAAACTTTTCCCGGGCCAAACAGGACTGCTTGGCACGCATCTGTTGCGGGTCGTGTACTGCACTGTATCGAATTTATGTGCAGTCCGGCGGCTGCAAGACAGAAGAGCCTCACGCGGTTCAGCTAGCCATAAGCTGGGCGGAAGCGGTACTTGCGGGGAACGCGTTGTCCATTGACGCGCAACCAGGAAACCCGCTTGACCAATGAGGCAGCAGCGCTGCAAAGGGTTTCCGTTCCGCCTTGCATGAATTCCGCCGCCACCAGTTTCCCCGCACACTGACCGATGACACACCATCGCCTACGCATTTCATCCTGCGCGTGAGGCAATGGAGAGCTGGCACAACCGCATACTCGTTACTGAGTCGTCATAGTGCATTGCGTTTCACGCATATCCACAGCCGAACCAAGCAGCAAAGATCCGTGCCGCTCAATTCCCTCTGCCGCCCTTCGATCTCTCCTGTAAATCTCCATGGTGCCAGATTTGCTCCCGATTGGCTTAGGGCGTGGAACATTCTCATGGCCATTGAACGAACACCAGTTTGTTTGCGGAAGTACCACTTTGTGCTCGCAAAAGTGTCGCGACAACTCGAAATTTCCAAACCCAAAAAAGTGTTCCACGCTGGTCTAGCAGGGAACACCAGCACGTTCGTCTCGAGGTTTGTCTTGGCGTCGCTCTTTGCGAATTTTTGCGAAAACAGACTGGGAATACAGGCTCGAAAATAAAACCATGTTCAAAAAAATGTTCCACGCCCTTATTGTGGCTCCTTTTTCTGTGTCTGTCAGTGTGCCTGTCTGTTGGTCCTTTCTGCTGGTCCTTAGCTCACAATTATCAGAGTGGACTCCAGGTAAGGAAGAGATTGTTCACCATTATTGGAGCCGATTCAGGGTAGCAGCAAGGTAGCAGTTTCTGATTCCAAAGAAATTGTTCACCTGTCATTGACATTCCATCCCACGCGTTTCCAAGCAGTATCGACTCTTCAGGTATCTGTACTTCAGGCAGCAATTTTCCGCACCTACGCAGGTACCTGTGATGACAGCGTCACTGAGTCTCCAAGTTCACGTGCGCCTTCCCTAGGCCTGACCGTCGTTGGACGAAATCCACTGATCGCTGTCGTAGGCTTACCGCCGGTAAAACACGGCACCTAAGCATATAATATTAATGTGCGCGATGGCTCCAAGGAATATCTTCTTACTAGCCGTCGTCGTACCGTGTCTGCTGACGCTGCCATTCGCGGCTTTCGTAGCTGCTCAGGACGATGGCGGAAACAGCGGCGGAACTTACGGCGGAGGAACCGGAGGAGAAGGAGGATATGGCGGTGTAGCGTGCGAACCGTCTTCTTTGCCGGATTACCAGTACTCCGTCAATTTGAAAGCTGGCAGGTAATCTTCCCGCCGCTCCGTCAAGTTGACTGCCTGCTCCTGTTTCGCACAAATTCGCACATTCGCACAAATTCGCCTCGGAGGCCATTATTTAAAGGCAAGCTGGGCGCGACCATCCCTTCCGATGCTCGTCCCCGGAGCTCTAAGAGCTTATAGCGAATCCTATTGCCAGTAGCCGAGAACTGACGATTCTGCCCGAGAGCTGACGATTTCTGCCCGAGAATGGCAACTCCCGCACGATTATTTTTTTCCCCTTCGTCTCGCCCTCTGTTATCGATCGACTGTTTCCCTTTTCCCCTTCTTACCCTCCTCCTCCCCTCCTCTCGATCTCCCCTCCATTCTGTCTCCCCTTCGCTTTCTCCCCTCCCCGCGTCTCCCCTCCTGCCAGTCTCATCCTCCACTGGAAGGTCGTCAACTCAACGACCGTCAACTTCGCCGCTCAAGCGCTTGCCGGCCCGGCTGCAGCCGGCTGGTTCGCCGTCGGGTGGTCGGAGTCGTCCGGCAAGATGGTGCCAGGAGAGGCGGTGATCGGCAATCTGCCGGGCGGCAAGATGGGCGCCTACTCCCTGGGATACTACGCACTGGATGCGGTCGTTCCCACCACGAATTTCAGCATTGGGCGCGCTGGGAGCGACGCGCTGCTGACCAAGAATTCGGACAAGTCGTTCATTATGAGGTGAGTTTCAGTGAACGGGTGGGGGAGGGGGGAAAAGGGGGGGGGGGGGAGGGGGGGGAGGGGAAGGAGGGGGGAGGGTATTGGACGCTTATTACCTGGACTGCTGCGCCTTACATAAGGTGGTTCGGACGAAGAATCTCAGCACTGAAAGCGCGGGAGAGAGGTCATGCTGAGAGAGGGGCGAGAGGGCATGTTGAGAGAGGGACGAGAGGTCGTGCTGATCCACAATGCCGACAACTCGTTCCTTTATATTGAAGAAAGGGGGGCACATTAGCTTAGATACACGCTGTGTATCAATATATGTGTGTGTATATATATATATATATATATATACATTTTTTTTAAGGGAGCAACAAGCAAAAAACAAAACAAAAACAAGAGGGGTCACTAACAGGAAGTCCTCTTACTGGACGAATCCCTTGCAACCATGCCCCACCTCCCCTGCCCATTGCTGCTGTAGCCGCCATTGCACTCGTTGAAGGCTCGTGATAGACAGTTGACGTCAGTCAGTGCAGAAACCACATGATCTTGACAGGGCTCCAACATTTGCTTTTGTTCCCGTTAATGTGCCCCTCGTTTCTGCTCTTATAACAGGCTCTCACGGTCGATCAACGACGGCAGTGTGAAGGTGCTCTTAAGGGGAGTCAACCACATGACATGGACTTACTCTCCAATGGCTCCCAGACCCTCGCCCAGCACCCCTGCTCCGACATGCGCCCTTTGTACCCGTTATTGTGCCCCTCGTCTGTGCGTTTATATGCAGGTTTTCGCGGTCGATCAATGACGGCAGTGTGAAGGTGCTCCTGAGGGGAGTCAACTACATGATCTGTGCCTTCTCCGATGGCTCTCAGACTCTCACACCGCACCCCCGAACCAACCTGTAAGCCCCTCCTAGCATCACCCATCCAACACGTATGCCACCCTCCCATCTTTGCTCCCTCTTTGTCCTCTGCTCCGTTGCTCCACCCCTTCCCCCCTTCCCCCCTTCCCCCCTTCCCCCCTTCCCCCCTTACTACCTTTCTCTCTTCCCCCCTTCCCTCCGGGGATTCCTGTCAGTGGACTTCAGCTGCCCTCTTTCAGCATCAGCAGCAGATCAATGCCAGGGCTCTCCCGCGCTTCTCTTCATGTTCTTTCCACCCCTCTTCTCCTCTTTACCGCCTCTCTCCCTGCCTCTCTCCCTGCCTCTCTCCCTGCCTCTCTCCCTGCGCCTCTCCCTGCGCCTCTCCCTGCCTCTCTCCCATCTGCCCCAGGGGATTCCTCTTAGTGGACTTCAGCTGCCCCTCTTCCAGCGGCAGCAGCACCGCTACGCCCTTCTGTGCCCTTCACTTCACCGTCTTTCCTCCGCTATTTCTTCCCTCTCTGCCTTCATCCCCCCAGGGCATTCCTCTCTGTGGACTACAGCTGCCCCTCTTCCACCGGCAGCAGCGCCGGGTCATCGTCTCAATTCAATGGCTCTCCCAGCCAGCCGTCCTCCCTGCCGGGCTACACGTGGTCCGTGCAGCTCAGCAAGAATGCGTGAGTGCCACCTGTAGGAGTGGCAGCCCGTGGAACATAGTGCATGCCAACACCATCAGCTCGCCTCAATTCAATGGCTCTCCCAGCCAGCCGTCCTCCCTGCCGGGCTACACGTGGTCCGTGCAGCTCACTAATGCCACTAGCTCGTCTCAATCCAAGGAACCTCCTTGTCAACCGTCCTCCCTGCCAGCCAGGCTGCACCTGCTCCCTGTAGCTCAGCAGGAAGGCACGAGTACACTGTGTTGTGTTTTGGTATCAAGTCCCTGGATCTCAAGTGTTAGTCATTGGGTTTGGGTGTGAGGTGAAGCCTTTTCTCCAAGACGGAGTAGGCGGAGGCTTTGCTCCGAGACTGAGTGGGCGTAGGCTTTGCTCCGAGCCGTCCCATACCTTGTGAAAGTCGTTTGTCCTCCCATGCTCTCCATGCCCGCCCTTCCCTCCCAGCCACATCCTCCACTGGGCAGCGAACTAAGACAGCACGGTCAGCATGGCAGCGCAGGTTGCCACCGCAGGGTACATCGGGGTGGGCTTGAGTTGCTCTCTCTCTCTCTCTGCCTCTTCCCTTGTCTCCCCCCTCCCGTCTCCCCCCTCCCGTCTCCCCCCTCCTCAGCTACGTCCTGCACTGGGCAGTCAACAGGGATAACACAGTGAGCATGGCAGCGCAGGTGGCCACCTCGGGGTACATCGGGGTGGGCTTCTCAAAGGATGGCAAGATGAGCAACTCGGACGCAGCCATTGGGAACTTGCCACCTGGCACGCTGGCCAATGGGGCGGCGGTGGGGCCGTATTACATGGGCGGGCATGACTTGGAGTCGGTGCAGCCGACCGCCTTGTGGAGTGTATCGAATACTTCTGTTACAACTGCTGATGGATACACTATAATGAGGTATGTATCTCGAGACGAGCTGTTCAATGGATGCCTTTCAAGGCCCCTCAGAGGCACATAAGGGGTGGTAGCATGGGTGGTAGCAGTGGTGGTAGCATGGGTGCATTTAAGGCCCTTCAAAGGCATGTAAAGGGTGGCGGTGAGGCCATGCTACATGAGCGGGCATGATCTGGAGTCTGTGTAGCCGACTGCGATGTGGAACATTACAAACACCTCCGTTACAACTGCTGTTGGATACACCATAACACGGTACATGGATTTTGAGACGATAACAAGTGGAAACGGATGCACTTATGACTTGAGTGCGTTTTGAGAAGTCTCAACATCTGTTACTGACATGCTTTTTATAACAGTAGACGCATATTCCATTATGAGGTCTGTGGAAAGTGTATTACAATGTGGGTGGGAATTCAGCCTGTGTGTTGTTAACCTTCCCTCATTCCCTCTGGACTTGACGCCTCTCATCTCATCCCCCCAATCAACCTCCTATATCCCCCTTCGTCTACCTTTTCTAATCTAAACCTATTCGCGGGTTCACTCGCAGCTTGTGTCCCATCCATGCATTCGTGTTCTTGTTTTTCAAGACTTCCCCCCCCCTCCTCCTGTTAACCCTCCCTATCTTTTCCATACCCACTTTCCCTACCCCGCTACCCCCTCCCCCCTGCCCTCAGGTTCACTCGCAGCATGGGGATGGGCCAAGTGCCCATCAACGCGTTTGGCCCAAACACCATCATCTGGGCCTACTCGCCCGATGGCTCCACGGCTCTCGCTGACCATAGGAGCAACTAGTGAGTGAGATGGTGTCAATGCATGAATTGGCATGGCATGGCATGGCTGACTGCTGGAGTGGCTAGTGAGTGATAATATCAAATAGCACCATGTGATGGCACGATGGTATGATGGCATGATGGCATGATGGCACGATGGCATGATGGCACGATGGCATGTTATGGTACCGCCTAACAGGCACTGCTGTCCCTCTCCGCTCACTTCCCCTCCCTCACTACCCCCCCACTCCCTCCTATCTCCCTCCCATCTCCCTCTCTCCTCCCCTGCCTCTACCTCCCCTCTCCCTCCCCTCTCCCCTCCCTCTCCCTCCCCTCTCTCTCTCCTCTCCCCTCCCTCTCCCTCCCCTCTCCCTCCCCTCCCCTCAGCGGGACTGCCACCATCGACTTTGTGAAGGGCACAGTATCAGCGGGCCACGGCAGCAGCACAGCGGCGTACATCGCCCACGGGGTCCTCCTCGCCCTTGCCTTCGCCCTGCTCATGCCCCTCGCCATCCTCCTCGCCCGCCTCCTCCTCGCTGACCGCCCCCACGGGGCCCTCCTCAACCCTAACAGCACGGCATACATCCCCACCGATGCCAATGCGTACACCAATGGGAACGGGAACGGAAATGCCTCACCAGCGCAGCAGCAGCAGCAGCCGGCAAAGAATCTCCGGCCGCTGGGGTTTCAGCTGCACCGTGGGATTCAGCTGTTGGCTCTAGTGGTTGCAGTCGTGGGGATGATTGTGATCTTCGTGCAGGTGGGCTCCAAGGGGCTCAGCTGGAAGCATGGGCAGGTGGGGCTGGCGGCGGTGATTCTCGCGCTGCTGCAGGGCGTGGTGGGGTTCATACGGCCGGACAAGTCCGCGCCAAGCCGCTTCAAGTGGCTCGTGGCGCACTGCGTGATCGGAGCCACCACAATTGCGCTCGCATGGGCGGCTATTTTTCTCGGCATTGACCTGTACCACACCAAGTTTATGGAAAACGTCACGGTGAGCCATTTGAAACGCCTTCCACGCTCTATCCCTTTGTTCTTTTATTTGTTTTAGTTTAGAGGAGTGTTGGTCGGTGCGCAAGGAAAGGCATAATGGAGGGAGGAGGGGGTCAAGTTGGATTGGCTATGGTTTGGACAGCTGTACATAGCTTTTCTTATATAAAGCACTTCCTTCTCCCTTTCCCTCCCTCCCTTCGCTCCTGCAGTGGTGCTACTGGGTTTCCGGCGTGTGTGTCGGCATTTTTGGGCTCGCGTACCTTGTCTTGGTCATTCCAGACAGCATCCTTTCGTTAACCACACCTAAGCATAGTGGCAACACTGGAAAGGGCTCAGCTGGTGTATGAATCACGTCACGGGGCTTGTGGAGTAGGATGTGTTGTTTGTGTACATCTCTCTACACTCGAGAGAGCAATGTTAATTCTTCATGTCTTCTTGAGAGTCATACTATACTTCTCCTTTTGAGTGAGGCAATAATATGGTAGGCGCAAATATGTCCAATGTCTAGGACACAAATTTGTCTTAGTGCAGCAAGATCAAATAATCTGTAGGGGGGCGGTTTTGCGCAGCTGCCGAACTCCTTCAGTCGCATGACGGTCGCGCTAACCAGTTTGAGTCGCGCAGCCACACACAGCTCGTCGCACAGATCTCCTTCGTGTCGCTCATGTGGTCGGCTCCTCCAGGCGACGCAATTCTTGTGTCTGGGTGGTGGTGTTCGCGTGCGGGCAGCGGAACTTGCAGGTTGAACGGGCTGGCTGTCCGGAGTTTGAGAGTGGTTGAAAACGATTTGGCTAGAATCAAAAATTTAAAGAGCGGTACAATGTGGTGGAGCCGTTCCCCTAAGTTCCGCGCCCTTATCCGCGCCCTGCATGTGCGGCTCCGCGCCCTTTCTGCCTTCCTTGCATCTCGATTGGCTTGCATGTTGCTGCCTTGCCCGGCAAGCATCGCCATGGCCTTGCCAGCTTTATGCGATTAGGGCGTGTCTTGCGCGTACTGTACGTTTCTGCATTGCAGCTCGCCGCAACCGATAGCAGGCCTTTCCTAGAAGCAGAAGGGTCTTTCAGATTTTGGTGCGTAGCTTGTTCTTGTTGCCTGGCCTGTGACTGGCGATGTATATAATTCCCCGTTTTCGGTGCGGAGCAGCAGCAGTACAGCGTGTGTCATTCCTTAGCACCGGCTTTCTTCTTACCGGTATTTCAAGTACGGATGAGAGGGATGATGCCCCACTCGGAAGTTCAGCTTTCCCTGCGTTTATCCTCGGGCTCCGTTTGACTTGATCTAGTACGGATTAATCGCCTCGGCTCACCAAGTTGACCGCGTATAGCGTCCGCACGCGATTATGATGATGTTGACGATGAGGCTGATAACGGCGAGTCCAAAGCAGATCTTCCTACTACTACTACGGCTACACGTAGTAGCCGTCCTCGTACCGTGCCTGCTGACGCTGTTATTCGCGGCTCCGGTGGCCGCTCAGGGCGATGTCGGTGCGACGTGCAACCCGTCGTCTTTGCCGGGATACCAATACTCCGTCAAATTGACCGATCGCGGGTAATTACCCCGCCTGTCGTCACCACATCATTACCAGCTTCATCCAGGGTGTTTTTCTTAACTACTAGATTCGCTTAAACACCCTGCCTGTCGTCGACACATGATTAGCTTTCATCCAGTCGGCTCGACTTCGATCAGGGTGATTATCCCGTCGTGGGGCTCGAATATCAATATTCCGTCAGATTCTGTCAGATTCAATCAGACTCAGTCAGATTCAATCAGATTCAGTCAGATTCTATCAGATTCAGTCAGATTCACATTGAGCGATCGTGGGTAATCCTCCGCAATGCTTCCACCCAGTCGGATCGACTCCGTTCAGCCCGACGTCGGGCTAGCTGGTCGCGCGTATCCCGTGTGTAATGAGTCGATTTTTGAGTCGACTCAAAAGTCGGGCTAGCTGGTCGCGCGAATCCCTTTCGTTTCAGGTGGCTCGTCGCTACTTGTGAGTCGACTCAAAAGTCAATGGTCGCGCGAATCCCTTTCGTTTCAGGTAGCTCGTCGCTACTAGCGACATCATGGACATCGAATCTTAGGGCGCCGCGCTTTGGGTTCGGATTGGGCCGTAGGTTCGAACTTCCAGACGTTTTTCACACGGTTATGTGTGCTTCAGTAGGTTTTGCTACGGCTCAGTGCGGTTGTCGTTCGAACTTTTGCATTTTCTGCTAAAAGCACCCCGCCCTTAACAATCTCGCTAACTCCCTTCCTCCCGTCGCTCTCCCCTCTCCATCTTCCCCTCTTCCTCCCCTCCTCTCGTTCCCCCGTTCCCTCCCCTCGTTCCCCCCTCCCCGCGTCTCCCCTCCCCGCGTCTCCCCTCCCCGCGTCTCCTCTCCTGTTGTCTCCCTTCCTATCGTCTCCCCTCCTCTCGTCTCCCCTCCCCTCGTCTCCCCTCCCCTCGTCTCCCCTCCTCTCGTCTTCCCTCCCCGCGTCTCCCCTCCCGCCAGTCTCGTCCTCCACTGGAAGGTCGTCAACTCAACGACTGTCAACCTCGCCGCTCAAGCGCTTGCCGGGCCGGTTGCAGCCGGCTGGTTCGCCGTCGGGTGGTCGGGGTCGTCCGGCAGGATGGTGCCGGGAGAGGCGGTGATCGGCAATCTGCCGGGCGGGGTGATGCAAGCTTATTACCTGGGAGACTACGCCTTGGATTCGGTGGTCCCCACCACTCAATTCAGCATCGGGAGCGATGCGATGTTGACCACGAATGCTGACAACTCGCTCGTAATGAAGTGAGTTGACTTGTGAGCCCACTCGGAGCTTCCCTCAGAAAATTTCGGCATTGGGAGTTTCGGGAGAGGCGGTGATCGGCAACCTGCCAGGCGGGGCGATGCAGGCTTACTACCTGGGCGACTACGCCTTGCATTCGGTGGTCCCTACCACTCAATTCAGCATCGGGATTGGGTGATGCTGGCCGACAATGCGGACAACTCGCTGGTAATGAAGTGAGTCTGAGTGCGGGGGCGTGCTATCTGGGCGACTACGCCTTGGGTTCGGTGGTTCCCACCACCAGGGAATGGGGCGATAGGTGACTTTTGAGTCGACTCAAAAGTCACCTTGGGTTCGGTGGTTCCCACCACCAGGGAATTCAGCATCAGGAGTGGGGCGATGCTGGCGAAGAATACTGACAACTCGCTCGTAATGCAGTGAGTTGACTTTTGAGTCGACTCGTCAACAAGGATCGACTTTTGAAAGCTTCCCACCAAGGATCTGAACAATCAAATGAACATGCAAATGAACATGCAACTGAACATGCAACTGAACATGCAACTGAACAAGCAACTGAACAAGCAACTGAATAAGCTTGATTCTTCTTCCCTGGCCGTACTTCTGTTAACAATCTCGTCTATTTCGAAATTTTGAGGCGATGGATTCCAGCAGCTCTCCCTGCACATTCTGCTGTACCCCTTACTGCACTTCAGTCACTCCCCTTATTGCACTTCAGTCACTCCCCTTATTGCACTTCAGTCACTCCCCTTATTGCGCTTCAGTCACTCCCCTTATTGCACTTCAGTCACTCCCCTTATTGCGCTTCAGTCACTCCCCTTATTGCGCTTCAGTCACTCCCCTTATTGCGCTTCAGTCACTCCCCTTATTGCACTTCAGTCACTCCCCTTATTGCACTTCAGTCACTCCCCTTATTGCACTTCAGTCACTCCCCTTATTGCGCTTCAGTCACTCCCCTTATTGCGCTTCAGTCACTCCCCTTATTGCGCTTCAGTCACTCCCCTTATTGCGCTTCAGTCACTCCCCTTATTGCGCTTCAGTCACTCCCCTTATTGCGCTTCAGTCACTCCCCTTATTGCGCTTCAGTCACTCCCCTTATTGCGCTTCAGTCACTCCCCTTATTGCGCTTCAGTCACTCCCCTTATTGCGCTTCAGTCACTCCCCTTATTGCGCTTCAGTCACTCCCCTTATTGCGCTTCAGTCACTCCCCTTATTGCGCTTCAGTCACTCCCCTTATTGCGCTTCAGTCACTCCCCTTATTGCGCTTCAGTCACTCCCCTTATTGCGCTTCGCTTCAGTCACTCCCCTTATTGCGCTTCAGTCACTCCCCTTATTGCGCTTCAGTCACTCCCCTTATTGCGCTTCAGTCACTCCCCTTATTGCGCTTCAGTCACTCCCCTTATTGCGCTTCAGTCACTCCCCTTATTGCGCTTCAGTCACTCCCCTTATTGCGCTTCAGTCACTCCCCTTATTGCGCTTCAGTCACTCCCCTTATTGCGCTTCAGTCACTCCCCTTATTGCGTTTCAGTCACTCCCCTTATTGCGCTTCAGTCACTCCCCTTATTGCGCTTCAGTCACTCCCCTTATTGCGCTTCAGTCACTCCCCTTATTGCGCTTCAGTCACTCCCCTTATTGCGCTTCAGTCACTCCCCTTATTGCGCTTCAGTCACTTTCCTTATTGCGCTTCAGTCACTCCCCTTATTGCGCTTCAGTCACTCCCCTTATTGCGCTTCAGTCACTCCCCTTATTGCGCTTCAGTCACTCCCCTTATTGCGCTTCAGTCACTCCCCTTATTGCGCTTCAGTCACTCCCCTTATTGCGCTTCAGTCACTCCCCTTACTGCACTTCAGTCACTCCCCTTATTGCGCTTCAGTCACTCCCCTTATTGCGCTTCAGTCACTCCCCTTATTGCGCTTCAGTCACTCCCCTTATTGCGCTTCAGTCACTCCCCTTATTGCGCTTCAGTCACTCCCCTTATTGCGCTTCAGTCACTCCCCTTATTGCGCTTCAGTCACTCCCCTTATTGCGCTTCAGTCACTCCCCTTATTGCGCTTCAGTCACTCCCCTTATTGCGCTTCAGTCACTCCCCTTATTGCGCTTCAGTCACTCCCCTTATTGCGCTTCAGTCACTCCCCTTATTGCGCTTCAGTCACTCCCCTTATTGCGCTTCAGTCACTCCCCTTATTGCGCTTCAGTCACTCCCCTTATTGCGCTTCAGTCACTCCCCTTATTGCGCTTCAGTCACTCCCCTTATTGCGCTTCAGTCACTCCCCTTATTGCGCTTCAGTCACTCCCCTTATTGCGCTTCAGTCACTCCCCTTATTGCACTTCAGTCACTCCCCTTATTGCACTTCAGTCACTCCCCTTATTGCGCTTCAGTCACTCCCCTTATTGCGCTTCAGTCACTCCCCTTATTGCGCTTCAGTCACTCCCCTTATTGCGCTTCAGTCACTCCCCTTATTGCGCTTCAGTCACTCCCCTTATTGCGCTTCAGTCACTCCCCTTATTGCGCTTCAGTCACTCCCCTTATTGCGCTTCAGTCACTCCCCTTATTGCGCTTCAGTCACTCCCCTTATTGCGCTTCAGTCACTCCCCTTATTGCGCTTCAGTCACTCCCCTTATTGCGCTTCAGTCACTCCCCTTATTGCGCTTCAGTCACTCCCCTTATTGCGCTTCAGTCACTCCCCTTATTGCGCTTCAGTCACTCCCCTTATTGCGCTTCAGTCACTCCCCTTATTGCGCTTCAGTCACTCCCCTTATTGCGCTTCAGTCACTCCCCTTATTGCGCTTCAGTCACTCCCCTTATTGCGCTTCAGTCACTCCCCTTATTGCGCTTCAGTCACTCCCCTTATTGCGCTTCAGTCACTCCCCTTATTGCGCTTCAGTCACTCCCCTTATTGCGCTTCAGTCACTCCCCTTATTGCGCTTCAGTCACTCCCCTTATTGCGCTTCAGTCACTCCCCTTATTGCGCTTCAGTCACTCCCCTTATTGCGCTTCAGTCACTCCCCTTATTGCGCTTCAGTCACTCCCCTTATTGCGCTTCAGTCACTCCCCTTATTGCGCTTCAGTCACTCCCCTTATTGCGCTTCAGTCACTCCCCTTATTGCGCTTCAGTCACTCCCCTTATTGCGCTTCAGTCACTCCCCTTATTGCGCTTCAGTCACTCCCCTTATTGCGCTTCAGTCACTCCCCTTATTGCGCTTCAGTCACTCCCCTTATTGCGCTTCAGTCACTCCCCTTATTGCGCTTCAGTCACTCCCCTTATTGCGCTTCAGTCACTCCCCTTATTGCGCTTCAGTCACTCCCCTTATTGCGCTTCAGTCACTCCCCTTATTGCGCTTCAGTCACTCCCCTTATTGCGCTTCAGTCACTCCCCTTATTGCGCTTCAGTCACTCCCCTTATTGCGCTTCAGTCACTCCCCTTATTGCGCTTCAGTCACTCCCCTTATTGCGCTTCAGTCACTCCCCTTATTGCGCTTCAGTCACTCCCCTTATTGCGCTTCAGTCACTCCCCTTATTGCGCTTCAGTCACTCCCCTTATTGCGCTTCAGTCACTCCCCTTATTGCGCTTCAGTCACTCCCCTTATTGCGCTTCAGTCACTCCCCTTATTGCGCTTCAGTCACTCCCCTTATTGCGCTTCAGTCACTCCCCTTATTGCGCTTCAGTCACTCCCCTTATTGCGCTTCAGTCACTCCCCTTATTGCGCTTCAGTCACTCCCCTTATTGCGCTTCAGTCACTCCCCTTATTGCGCTTCAGTCACTCCCCTTATTGCGCTTCAGTCACTCCCCTTATTGCGCTTCAGTCACTCCCCTTATTGCGCTTCAGTCACTCCCCTTATTGCGCTTCAGTCACTCCCCTTATTGCGCTTCAGTCACTCCCCTTATTGCGCTTCAGTCACTCCCCTTATTGCGCTTCAGTCACTCCCCTTATTGCGCTTCAGTCACTCCCCTTATTGCGCTTCAGTCACTCCCCTTATTGCGCTTCAGTCACTCCCCTTATTGCGCTTCAGTCACTCCCCTTATTGCGCTTCAGTCACTCCCCTTATTGCGCTTCAGTCACTCCCCTTATTGCGCTTCAGTCACTCCCCTTATTGCGCTTCAGTCACTCCCCTTATTGCGCTTCAGTCACTCCCCTTATTGCGCTTCAGTCACTCCCCTTATTGCGCTTCAGTCACTCCCCTTATTGCGCTTCAGTCACTCCCCTTATTGCGCTTCAGTCACTCCCCTTATTGCGCTTCAGTCACTCCTTATTGCGCTTCAGTCACTCCCCTTATTGCGCTTCAGTCACTCCCCTTATTGCGCTTCAGTCACTCCCCTTATTGCGCTTCAGTCACTCCCCTTATTGCGCTTCAGTCACTCCCCTTATTGCGCTTCAGTCACTCCCCTTATTGCGCTTCAGTCACTCCCCTTATTGCGCTTCAGTCACTCCCCTTATTGCGCTTCAGTCACTCCCCTTATTGCGCTTCAGTCACTCCCCTTATGCCTTCAGTCACTCCCCTTATTGCGCTTCAGTCACTCCCCTTATTGCGCTTCAGTCACTCCCCTTATTGCGCTTCAGTCACTCCCCTTATTGCGCTTCAGTCACTCCCCTTATTGCGCTTCAGTCACTCCCCTTATTGCGCTTCAGTCACTCCCCTTATTGCGCTTCAGTCACTCCCCTTATTGCGCTTCAGTCACTCCCCTTATTGCGCTTCAGTCACTCCCCTTATTGCGCTTCAGTCACTCCCCTTATTGCGCTTCAGTCACTCCCCTTATTGCGCTTCAGTCACTCCCCTTATTGCGCTTCAGTCACTCCCCTTATTGCGCTTCAGTCACTCCCCTTATTGCGCTTCAGTCACTCCCCTTATTGCGCTTCAGTCACTCCCCTTATTGCGCTTCAGTCACTCCCCTTATTGCGCTTCAGTCACTCCCCTTATTGCGCTTCAGTCACTCCCCTTATTGCGCTTCAGTCACTCCCCTTATTGCGCTTCAGTCACTCCCCTTATTGCGCTTCAGTCACTCCCCTTATTGCGCTTCAGTCACTCCCCTTATTGCGCTTCAGTCACTCCCCTTATTGCGCTTCAGTCACTCCCCTTATTGCGCTTCAGTCACTCCCCTTATTGCGCTTCAGTCACTCCCCTTATTGCGCTTCAGTCACTCCCCTTATTGCGCTTCAGTCACTCCCCTTATTGCGCTTCAGTCACTCCCCTTATTGCGCTTCAGTCACTCCCCTTATTGCGCTTCAGTCACTCCCCTTATTGCGCTTCAGTCACTCCCCTTATTGCGCTTCAGTCACTCCCCTTATTGCGCTTCAGTCACTCCCCTTATTGCGCTTCAGTCACTCCCCTTATTGCGCTTCAGTCACTCCCCTTATTGCGCTTCAGTCACTCCCCTTATTGCGCTTCAGTCACTCCCCTTATTGCGCTTCAGTCACTCCCCTTATTGCGCTTCAGTCACTCCCCTTATTGCGCTTCAGTCACTCCCCTTATTGCGCTTCAGTCACTCCCCTTATTGCGCTTCAGTCACTCCCCTTATTGCGCTTCAGTCACTCCCCTTATTGCGCTTCAGTCACTCCCCTTATTGCGCTTCAGTCACTCCCCTTATTGCGCTTCAGTCACTCCCCTTATTGCGCTTCAGTCACTCCCCTTATTGCGCTTCAGTCACTCCCCTTATTGCGCTTCAGTCACTCCCCTTATTGCGCTTCAGTCACTCCCCTTATTGCGCTTCAGTCACTCCCCTTATTGCGCTTCAGTCACTCCCCTTACTGCACTTCAGTCACTCCCCTTATTGCGCTTCAGTCACTCCCCTTATTGCGCTTCAGTCACTCCCCTTATTGCGCTTCAGTCACTCCCCTTATTGCGCTTCAGTCACTCCCCTTATTGCGCTTCAGTCACTCCCCTTATTGCGCTTCAGTCACTCCCCTTATTGCGCTTCAGTCACTCCCCTTATTGCGCTTCAGTCACTCCCCTTATTGCGCTTCAGTCACTCCCCTTATTGCGCTTCAGTCACTCCCCTTATTGCGCTTCAGTCACTCCCCTTATTGCGCTTCAGTCACTCCCCTTATTGCGCTTCAGTCACTCCCCTTATTGCGCTTCAGTCACTCCCCTTATTGCGCTTCAGTCACTCCCCTTATTGCGCTTCAGTCACTCCCCTTATTGCGCTTCAGTCACTCCCCTTATTGCGCTTCAGTCACTCCCCTTATTGCGCTTCAGTCACTCCCCTTATTGCGCTTCAGTCACTCCCCTTATTGCGCTTCAGTCACTCCCCTTATTGCGCTTCAGTCACTCCCCTTATTGCGCTTCAGTCACTCCCCTTATTGCGCTTCAGTCACTCCCCTTATTGCGCTTCAGTCACTCCCCTTATTGCGCTTCAGTCACTCCCCTTATTGCGCTTCAGTCACTCCCCTTATTGCGCTTCAGTCACTCCCCTTATTGCGCTTCAGTCACTCCCCTTATTGCGCTTCAGTCACTCCCCTTATTGCGCTTCAGTCACTCCCCTTATTGCGCTTCAGTCACTCCCCTTATTGCGCTTCAGTCACTCCCCTTATTGCGCTTCAGTCACTCCCCTTATTGCGCTTCAGTCACTCCCCTTATTGCGCTTCAGTCACTCCCCTTATTGCGCTTCAGTCACTCCCCTTATTGCGCTTCAGTCACTCCCCTTATTGCGCTTCAGTCACTCCCCTTATTGCGCTTCAGTCACTCCCCTTATTGCGCTTCAGTCACTCCCCTTATTGCGCTTCAGTCACTCCCCTTATTGCGCTTCAGTCACTCCCCTTATTGCGCTTCAGTCACTCCCCTTATTGCACTTCAGTCACTCCCCTTATTGCGCTTCAGTCACTCCCCTTATTGCGCTTCAGTCACTCCCCTTATTGCGCTTCAGTCACTCCCCTTATTGCGCTTCAGTCACTCCCCTTATTGCGCTTCAGTCACTCCCCTTACTGCACTTCAGTCACTCCCCTTATTGCGCTTCAGTCACTCCCCTTATTGCGCTTCAGTCACTCCCCTTATTGCGCTTCAGTCACTCCCCTTATTGCGCTTCAGTCACTCCCCTTATTGCGCTTCAGTCACTCCCCTTATTGCGCTTCAGTCACTCCCCTTATTGCGCTTCAGTCACTCCCCTTATTGCGCTTCAGTCACTCCCCTTATTGCGCTTCAGTCACTCCCCTTATTGCGCTTCAGTCACTCCCCTTACTGCACTTCAGTCACTCCCCTTATTGCGCTTCAGTCACTCCCCTTATTGCGCTTCAGTCACTCCCCTTATTGCGCTTCAGTCACTCCCCTTATTGCGCTTCAGTCACTCCCCTTATTGCGCTTCAGTCACTCCCCTTATTGCGCTTCAGTCACTCCCCTTATTGCGCTTCAGTCACTCCCCTTATTGCGCTTCAGTCACTCCCCTTATTGCGCTTCAGTCACTCCCCTTACTGCACTTCAGTCACTCCCCTTATTGCGCTTCAGTCACTCCCCTTATTGCGCTTCAGTCACTCCCCTTATTGCGCTTCAGTCACTCCCCTTATTGCGCTTCAGTCACTCCCCTTATTGCGCTTCAGTCACTCCCCTTATTGCGCTTCAGTCACTCCCCTTATTGCGCTTCAGTCACTCCCCTTATTGCGCTTCAGTCACTCCCCTTATTGCACTTCAGTCACTCCCCTTATTGCACTTCAGTCACTCCCCTTATTGCACTTCAGTCACTCCCCTTATTGCACTTCTCGCTGCAGGCTCTCACGGTCTATCACTGACAGCAGGGTGAATGTGCTCTTAAAGGGAATAAACCACATATGGCTTACTCAGATGGCTCGCAGACCCTCTCCCTTGTACCCGTTATTGTGCCCCTCGTTTGTGTCTAAATGCAGGTTCTCGCGGTCTATCAGCGACGGCAAGGTGGTGCAAGGCGTCAACTCCATGATCTGGCATGGGCACCAACTTGTGTTTTCATACCCGTTTTTGTGCCCCTCGTTACTGTCTCCCGCACAGGTTCGCGCGGTCGATCAGCGACGGCAAGGTGAAGGTGGTGGTGCAAGGCGTCAACTCCATGATCTGGGCTTTCTCCGATGGCTCTCAGACCCTCGCCCAGCATCCCCCAACCAACATGTACGCTCCTCCCAGCGCCCCTCAAAACCCTTCTTTGACTTTTCGTGTTCTCGACGCTTCTTTATTTCTACCCTTTTAAACTGTTCGCCCAGCATTCTAAGGCCTTCTATACCCCTCTACAAATATTTACCCTTCTATACCCTTCTGATGTTCCCTTCTATACAATTACCCTTGAATGCCCTTTTCTATACGGTCAGTAGACTACAGCTACCCAGAATCACTAGCAGCAGCAGCAGCAGCAGCAGCAGCAGCAGCAGCAGCAGCAGCCGCAACTCAATGCAAGGATCTCCTTCAGCTCAAGGTCTTTATGAGACGCAGCGCAGTGCAAGGGTCTCCTGCTCGTCTCTTCTCGTTCCTTCACCCTTCTCCTCCTCCCCGTCTCTGCCTTTCCTGCCTCCAGGGGATCCCTGCCACTGGACTACAGCTGCCCCTCTTCCAGCGGCAGCACCAGCAGCAGTGGCAGCAGCAGTGGCAGCAGCAGCGGCGGCAGCAGCAGCGGTAGCAGCAGCAGCAGCAGCGGGTCGTCCTCTCAGGATAAGGGCTCTGCCTGCCAGCCGTCCTCCCTGCGGGGCTACACGTGCTCCCTGCAGCTCAGCCGGGCTGCGTGAGTGTGAACCCTGTTAACGGTGAATGGCCTCTCATGAAACACAAGTGTATCTCAACACAAGGGGCCGTAGTGAACGACCTCCTGCCAGCCGTCCTCCCTGGGGGGCTACAGGTGCTCCCTGCAGCTCAGCGGGGCTGCGTGAGTGTGAACTGCTGGAAGTGTTGGCTTCATGCTTTATGCTATTTATGCATTAAGTCAATTTGTAGCTAGTGAATCTCCTCTGTTCTCGAGCTAGTGAATCTCCTCTGTTCTCCAGCTTGTGAATCTCCTCTGTTCTCCAGCTAGTGAATCTCCTCTGTTCTCCAGCTAGTGAATCTCCTCTGTTCTCCAGCTAGTGAATCTCCTCTGTTCTCCAGCTAGTGAATCTCGTCTGTTCTCCAGCTTGTGAATCTCCTCGGTTCTCCCTCCACGGTATTGCCTTGTCCATCCCCTCGTTTACCCAGTGCTCCCTCCCCTCCTCACCACTTCCTCCAGTGCTCCCGCCCCTCCTCGTCTCCTCTGCTGCCGTCCTTTCTCCCTCCCCTCCAGCTACATTCTCCACTGGGTAGTGAATAAAGGCAGCTCTGTGAGCATGGCAGCGCAGGTGGCCACCACGGGGTACATCGGAGTGGGCTTCTCAAAGGACGGCAAGATGATCAACTCAGACGCAGCCATTGGGAACTTGCCACCTGGCACGCTGGCCAACGGGGCGGCGGTGGGGCCGTATTTCTTGGGTGGGTATGACGTGGGGTCAGTGCAGCCGACTGGCACGTGGAGCGTTACGGATACTTCCGTTACGACTGCAAATGGATACACTATAATAAAGTAAGAACAACTTAGAAGGTTGCAGTGTGTTTTCGTAATATCACTCCATCGGGCGTGTATGCGTACTTTTTTGGCTTCACACCATAATATGTTTTAAGACGTCTCAAAACAAATCTTCTATCACCTGATGGGATGGGGCACTGTTGTCCTCTATTGCGACATAGTAACGAGGTGACTTTTTTGGCTTCACACCATAACATTCGAAGCCTTCCTCCTCCATAACCCCTCCCTCTTCCCCTCTTGGCTCACTCGCAGCATGGGCATGGGGCATGTGCCCATCAACGCGTTTATCCTCGCACTAATGACAGTGTCTTCTCAATGCGTCTGTGAGCTGTCTCGTTTCCCCCAGGTTCACTCGCAGCATGGGCACGGGCAATGTGCCCATCGATGCATCAGGCCCCACCACCATCATCTGGGCCTACTCGCCCGATGGCTCCACGACTCTCGCTTACCACGGCAGCAACTAGTGAGTGGCAAGATGGTATGTGATGGCATACCGGAAGGGGATGTAGCATGGCATGTTGCCCCCACCACCATCATGGGATGGCATACCGGAAGGGGATGTGATGTGGCATGGCATAGCATTGTGGAGTGGAATGTGTGGGCACACCACAATCACCCGGGCCTATCGCCCGACGGCTCCGCTTCAGCCACTTGTGAGTCTTGGTGTGGCATAGGGTTGGATGTGTGACATGAGGCGATGTGATATGACATTCAGATAATATACACGGTATTAGATAATATGCATGGCATTAGATGATATACACGGCATTAGATGATTTTTATGGCATTATTTAATATTTGTGGGATTCTCTGATTTACAAAGGCATTAGAATATATACATGGCATTAGATGGCATACGTGGCATTATATCATATGCATGCAGGTGATGACATACATGGTATTGTACTATCTACATAGCAATACATGACATATTTTCGGTTATATGAATGCTTTAGATCATGTACATGGCGTTGGATGATATTATGGCATTAACATACATACATGACATAATATAAATGTTTACGGCTTTCGGTGATCTACATGGCAGAATATTATACGCATGGCATTATATCCAAAATCCACTTTCTGTCTCCCCATTTCTCTCCCTTCCTTCCCCTCAATCCCCCGCCCCCTTCTCCCTCTGCTCTCTCCCCTCAGCGGGTCAGCCTCAATAGACTTTGTCAAGGGCACATCAGCCGCCGGCCATGGCAGCAGCACAGCGGCGTACATCGCCCACGGGGTCCTCCTCGCCCTCGCCTTCGCCCTGCTCATGCCCCTCGCCATCCTCCTTGCCCGCCTCCTCCTCGCCGACCGCCCCCATGGGGCCCTCCTCAACCTCAACCACCCCGCATCCATCCCCACCGATGCCAATGCGTACACCAATGGAAATGGGCGCGCCTCTTCAGCCCAGCAGTATGGGAAGAATCTCCGGCCGCTGGGGTTTCAGCTGCACCGGGGGATTCATGTGGCTGCGCTCCTGCTGGCGGTGGCAGGAATGATTGTGATCTTCGTGCAGGCGGGCTCCAAGGGGCTCAGCTGGACGCATGGGCAGGTGGGGCTGGCGGCGGTGATTCTCGCGCTGCTGCAGGGCATGGTGGGGTTCATAAGGCCGGACAAGACCGCGCCGAGCCGCTTCAAGTGGCTCGTGGCGCACTGGGTGATCGGAGCCACCACGATTGCGCTCGCATGGGCAGCGATTTTTCTCGGCATTGACCTGTACCACACCAAGTTCATGGAAAACGTTACGGTGAGCCTTGGAAACGTGTTCCATGCTCCATCTGTTTTTTCTTCTTCTTTGTTTGAAGGAAGGAGTGTTGGTGAGTGGGGAAAGACACAATGGAGGGATGGAGGAGGAGGTTTGAGTTGGGTTGGTCCTCGTATAGCTGCATATTGAAGTAAACCACGAGTAGACTTCAACACTGCATAATTTCCGGCTATACAGCAAACCTTACAGTACCCTGTAAGCACAAAACTCTTGCCTGTGATCTAGTGCCCTCTTTCTCCATATCCCTACCTTCGCTCCTGCAGTGGTGCTACTGGGTTTCAGGTGTGTGTGTCGGCGTTTTTGGGTTCGGGTACCTCGTCTTGGTCATCCCGGACAGCATCCTTTCGTTAACGGCGCCCAAGGATCACAGCAATGCCGGAAAGTGCACAGCCGCAGGTGTATAAGGCTCTGGGCTTGTGGATTTGGATGTGCTTAGGTAGATCTCCTAAGAGAAGAGATTTCACTAGAAGCACGTAATTTCCAATAACGAAGTGGAGAACAAGGTTATGTCTGCTTTCTATTTGGTAGAAGTGCACAGAAGACGAACACTGGACGGGAGAAATGCTGGGTGCTTGCTTCTCATGAGCACAAGGTTCGTCTTCTGTAACTTGTGATTTTAATCTTACATGGTGCTTTTGGTTCGGAAGATTAAAATCACAAGTTACAAGTTTTAGAAGGGTTTTACACGGTGTTTGTGTGTTCTAGCTATGGTGCAGCACACAACTTATCATCTCCTGCGAAAAGGACTGCGCCCTTAGGGAGTGTCCGAAGTAGCGTGTAAGGTTTCGGGACGTCGCGGAACCGAGAAGTTTTGCTATCCAACCGTGTCGGAATTTGCAGATACCATACTGTTCCTCTCTGTGAGGTCCGTGGACGTCAGAGTCTGTTTTCCTTCAGACACCCCCCTAGGGCGGAAAAAATCAATGTTGAATGAGGCGGTTTTGAGAGTTTGTAAACGGTTCTGTGTGCTTCAGACGTATGCAAGCGCGGACCTGCAACTTGGTATCTGCCTGAAGGATGGCTCCCGTGAGGCGAGTGTTCGAGCAGGAGCCAGGAAATGTTCCAAACGTTCGTTTCTCTCAATAACCCACTCAACCTCCTCCGATCCTGCACAAACGCTCTAAAACGTAACGTAAACCGCAGTTTGAAGTACGAGAGTAGGTCTCATTTTGGTTTACACTTGCAAGCCCAGAATAGTTGCCTGAGTTGAGTAGGGTTCTGATGGAATAGAACCTCCTCTCTTTGGTAAGGACTCCTAGTTAGCGGGCCCAGACGGCAGCAGGCAGATGACACCTACGCGATGTTGAGTGGACAGGCAAACGCGAAAATCCCGCGCGACCAATGAGGCAGCAGCAGTGTGATCGGCTGGCAGCCGTCCATAAGTTCCCGAAATTCCAGTCCCGACCCAAACCTAGTACAGTAAGGTTTTTTTTGGCAAATTCCAGTTCCGGCCGGCTCTTGGTGCCTTCAAGTGCCCGGCACGAATCGACAGGGTGTGGTGTGAGTGAGCGTCCCACCCACACCACAATTATTGGAGCCAGCAGCGACAGGCAGCCTTTCCTGGCAACTATGAGTCTTTCGTACGTCCATCCGTGCATCTCGATTGCCCAGTTCTTGTTGCCTGGCGTAGCGTCCCACGGTCCCACCCACCCCAAACGATTATTGGAGCCCGCAGCGAGCGAGCGTCCGCGGTTCCTGGTAGCAGATAAGATGGCGGACCCAGGGCAAACGAAACTGCGAGTGTTCCCAGGGTTTCTTCCGACTCGGACCTCTGAGACCCTTGGCTACTTCAGTCGGGCTGACACCGCCTCGAACAGGGCATGTCCACCACCATCGCACTACCTCGCGATTCTCCGAGCTTGCAGCAAGAGACAGCCTTTCCTTCCCGACTCGGATCAGTCGGAAAGACATTTCTTTTCCCTTGACTCGGATCTTCAAGTTGCCAAGGAGTATAGTGCCCTGTTTAGCAGCAGCAGTACGGTGTCCATTATTCCTTCGCATCCTTCGCAGCTGCACGGGTTTCCTTCGGTGATTTTTCAGTCGACTAGATAATCTCGCACGGTGTCCATTATTCCTTCACTTCCTTCCTTCACATCGGCCATCGCCTATTTTAAAGAGGTCGGCTCGAAGAGAGTCTGCTAGACCAGGATTCAGCTTTCCCTGCGCCCCAGGCCTTCCGTCATTGGACGGTTCTATCAGCTCGGCTTCTATCGATTAATCACCTCGTCCGGTGACCGCCACACACAGCGTATCATGAGTGACTTTTGAGTCTGCTTTTGAGTCGACTCAAAAGTCACCCCGCCACACACAGGTGTATCATAAGTGCTACGCGATGATGATGGCGACGCTAAGGCGGGCTCGGTCGATTAAAAAATCTACGAGGTGGATCGTTCTACTGCAAGCACTCCTCGTACTACCGTGTCTCCTAACGCGACCATTCGCGGCGTTCGCGCCAGTAGCGGCCGCTCAGGGTGAAGCTGGTGCGACGTGCGACCCGTCGCCGTTGCCGGGATTCCAATACTCCGTCAAATTGAACAATCGCGGGTAAATTTCCCACCTCTCGCCGTCTATGCCATTGCCGTCAATGCCGTTGCCAGTCATGCAATCGACTCAATTCATGCCATCGTCGGGACAGCTGGTCGCGCGTTGCCTTCCTTCCAGCAGCTGGTCGCCCGTTGCCTTCCTTCCAGCAGCTGGTCGCCCGTTGCCTTCCTTCCAGCAGCTGGTCGCGCGTTGCCTTCCTTCCAGCAGCTGGTCGCGCGTTGCCTTCCTTCCAGCAGCTGGTCGCGCGTTTCCCTAAATCCCTAACAATCTCGCAACCTCCCCTCCCCTCGTCTCGCCGCGTGCCAGACTCATCCTCCACTGGAAGGCCGTCAACTCAACGACCGTCAACTTCGCCGCTCAAGCGCTTGCCGGGCCGGCTGCAGCCGGCTGGTTCGCCGTCGGGTGGTCGGGGTCGTCCGGCGGGATGGTGCCGGGAGAGGCGGTGATCGGCAATCTGCCGGGCGGAAAGATGGACGCCTACTCCCTGGGATTCTACGCACCAGATGGGGTGATTCCCACCAAGAGCTTCAGCATTGGGAGCGCCGGGAGCGACGCAAAGTTGACCAAGAACACTGATAATTCGTTTATCATGAAGTGAGTATTTCTTTATTTTATAGCATCTGATGTGATTTTCTCCTCTGCCCGTACTTCCGTCAATCGCTGCTGCAACACCTTAGCCTAGCGTGGGTAAGAAAGAAAGAAAGAAAAACAGATGATGTCAGTCGGTGGAATAAATGCACTTCTTAGACAATGAATCCCACCCCTTCCTGCTCATTCTGTTACCCCCTTCCTGCTCATTCTGTTACCCCCTTCCTGCTCATTCTGTTACCCCCTTCATTGCAGTTTTGAGGCGCCTCAAAACTAGACCCCTTTTGTTGCACTTCTCGTTGCAGGTTCTCGCGGTCTGTTAACGATGGCAAAGCGAAGGTGTTGCTGAAGGGAATTAATTCAATGATCTGGGCCTACTCCGATGGGTCTCAGACCCTCGCTCAGCATCTGCCAACCAACAAGTGCGCACTTGCTCTTCTATACTCTTCTAAACCCTGTGTAACCCTTCTAAATTCTACATCCTCTATGCCCTTCTATACCTTTTGATACCCCTCTATGCCCCTCTATACCTTTTTCTTCCCCTCTTCTATACCTTTCTATACCCCTCTATGCGCTTCTATACCTTACTATGGCGTTCTATGCCCTTCTCTTCACGTTCCTCCACCCCTCTTCTCCCCTTCTATGCCTTCGCCTGCCGCCAGGGGATCCCTGTCAGTAGAGTCTAGACTTCAGCTGCCCCTTTTCCAGCAGCAGTGGCTGTCGCGAGTCCACTTCCCAGGCCAATGGGTCTGGTCCGCCTTGCTTCTCCTGAAGTTCTTCCACACCTCTTCCCCTCTTCTCCTCTTCTCCTCTTCCCCTCTTCTCCTCTTCTCCTCTTCTCTGACTCTCTCCCTCCCCCCAGGGGATCCCTGTCAGTAGACTACAGCTGCCCCTCTTTCAGCGGCAGCAGCGGCGGCAACAACGGCAGCAGCGGCGGCAACAGCGGCAGCGGCGGGAGCAGCAATAGCAGCAGCGGTAGCAGCGGCGGAAACAGCAGCGGCAGCGGAGGGAGCAGCGGGTCGTCCTCGCAGGCCAATGGGTCTGGCTGCCAGCCGTCCTCCCTGCCGGGCTACACGTGCTCCGTGCAGCTCAGCAAGAACGCGTGAGTGTGACTAAACTCCTCTCACCATTAGTCCATCCTTCATTCTGCATTCAAGCTTCTCAGCACTAAACTCCTCTCACCATTAGCCCGTTCTTCATTCTACAGTCACCGTTCCTTCCCCGTCCCTTCCCCATTCCTTCCCCATTCCTTCCCCTCTCAGTCTGCACGTGCTCTTCTGCCCTCTGCTCTCCTCTGCTCTCCTCTCCTCGCCTCCTGTCTCGTCCCCCTCAGCTACACCCTCCACTGGGCTGTGAATAAAGACAGCACAGTCAGCATGGCAGCGCAGGTCGCCACCACGGGCTTCGTAGGGATCGGTTTCTCCAAGGACGGCAAGATGACCAACTCTGACGCAGCCATTGGGAACGTGCCACCTGGCGCGCTGGCCAACGGGGCGGCAGTAGGGGCGTATTACTTGGGTGGGCGTGACGTGGGGTCGGTTCAGCCGACTGACACGTGGAGCGTTACAAACACTTCGGTTACGACTTCAAATGGATACACTACAATGGTGTAAGACTATTATGATGTCGCACTGCTGTTCTCCCTAGAAGAAAATTGGTGTGTGGCATTATAGTGAGGTGAACTTTCGGCTTCCCTCCCTCGTTTAAGCCTTCGTCCTCCCCAACCCCTCCCTCCTCCCCCCAGGTTCACTCGCAGCATGGGCACGGGCCACGTGCCCATCGATGCTTCGGCCCCCACCACCATCATCTGGGCCTACTCGCCCGACGGCTCTACGGCTCTCGCTTACCACGCCAGCAACTTGTAAGCGATAAGGTGGCATGGGATGGCATACAGTACGGTATTGTAGCATGGCATGTGCCCGCACCACCATCATGGGATGGCATACAGTACGGTATTGTAGCATGGCATGTGCCCGCACCACCATCATGGGATGGCATACAATACGGTATTGTAGCATGGCATGTGCCCGCACCACCATCATGGGATGGCATACAGTACGGTATTGTAGCATGGCATGTGCCCGCACCACCATCATGGGATGGCACACGGTAAGGTGAGGTAGCATGGCATAGCATTGCGGGGTGGAATTTGCAGCTCCTCCTCTCTCTCCCCTCTTCTCTCTCCCCTCTTCTCTCTCCCCTCTTCTCTCTCCCCTCTCCTCTCTCCCCTCTTCTCTCTCCCCTCTTCTCTCTCCCCTCTTCTCTCTCCCCTCTTCTCTCTCCCCTCTTCTCTCTCCCCTCTTCTCTCTCCCCGCTTCTCTTTCCGCTCTTCTCTCTCCCCTCTTCTCTCTCCCCTCTTCTCTCTCCCCTCTTCTCTCTCCCCTCTTCTCTCTCCCCTCTTTTCTCTCCCCTCTTCTCTCTCCCCCTCCATCATCTGCACCGATTCGTCCGATAGCTCCGCCTCTTTGGCTGGCCACCGCAGCAACTAGCGAGTCTTGGTGTGGCGCACGGTTGTATGCATGACATGAGGCAATCTGACATGACATTAGATTCTATACATGGCATCAGGTTATCTACATGCATTAGATAATATTCATGGCGTTCGGTGATAGGCGTGGCATTATATCAAAATTTCATGTTCTTTCCCCTCATTTGCCCCTCCCCCATCCATTTCCCCCTCCCCCCCTCCCTCCTCTTCTCCCTGTTCTCTCTACCACCAGCGGGTCAGCCTCAATAGACTTTGTGAAGGGCACATCGACCGCTGGCCAGGGCAGCAGCACAGCGGCGTACATCGCCCACGGGGTCCTCCTCGCCCTCGCCTTCGCCCTGCTCATGCCCCTCGCCATCCTCCTTGCCCGCCTCCTCCTCGCCGACCGCCCCCACGGGGCCCTCCTCAACCTCAACAGCGGAAAGGACTTGCGGCCGCTGGGGTTTCAGCTGCACCGGGGGATTCAGCTGTCGGCTCTAGTGGTTGCAGTGGCTGGGATGATTGTGATATTCGTGCAGGCGGGCTCCAAGGGGCTCAGCTGGACGCATGGGCAGGTGGGGCTGGCAGCGGTCATTCTTGCGCTGCTGCAGGCCGTGGTGGGGTTCATACGGCCGGACAAGACCGCGCCGAACCGCTTTAAGTGGCTCGTGGCGCACTGCGTGATCGGAGCCACGACAATTGCGCTCGCGTGGACGGCGATGTTTCTGGGCATCGACTTGTATCACACCAAGTTTATGGAAAACGTCACGGTGAGTTGTTCGGAATGTGTGCGTGGTTTTCTGCCTCTTCTGCTTTCCAGGCGAGTGGTGTGGGGAAGGGTGCAAGTAGAAGGGGTGATTAAGAGGGAGGGGATTCAGATGTGTTTCCGATTTTGTGGATTCAATCGTCCGTATACAACTGTGTCATGGCGTTACCACCTGTTCTCCTGTTCCCGTATGTTCTCAAGCTTTCACCATTCACAGAGCATATATTTGTACATTTAATCGCATGTCTTTGTTCCTTTCCCTTCCTTCCCTTTTGCAGTGGTGCTACTGGGTTACTGGCATCTGTGTCAGCATGTTTGGGTTCATGTATCTACTCTTGGTTATCCCGGACAGCATCCTTTCTTCAATGAAGCCGAAGGAACACAAAATTGCCGGGAAGGGTGGTACAGCTGGCGGTGTATGACTCACTGGGATTGCTGACTAAGATATTTCTTTTATGTGGGTGGAGAGCTTGCATGGGCGCGAGAGCATTGTTTTCTGTTTTTCTTATAGGTTAGATGTGTTTGGGCATCTCTAGAATGCTCTTGCATGTGAAAAAACGTAGGCTACCTTAGTGTAACAGTGATTTTACATGTTATGGTTATCTTCCGAACTGGCCGTGCGGATGGCTTTTCCTTTGAGTGGTTTTCAGTGCTTGTAACGAGAAACAACTTTTAACGAGCACTCGCACTATCAGGAGCGACCAGCTGCGTGCTTGTGACTGGCTGGCGGTGATCCCAAGGCTCATCCACTCTGCTGCGCAAAATAAGAGATTCCTCCACCACACTAGACCATTTTATGCTCCTCATGTTTTGGGACAATTAGTAGTCCTTATTCTTGCGTGCTCCAGTTTGCGACGTACCGTCGCAGGCGGCAAAGAGTCGCAATCATCCGCGCTTGAAATCCGTTACTTGCGCTTCTTGCGTCTGATTGGCGTCTGATTGACTGACTGAGACGTGCTAGTCACAGGATCTTCCGCCATGGCTCTGGCCGCCGCACCTTCCGCTGCATGGCGGCTCGCCGTCTCCAGCGCGCTCAGCTCGGGAGCTAACGACGGATCGAGCGTTGAGAGCCTGACCTGGCCTGCCAGTGTACGTTCCGCCATGGATTCTGTTCCAATCTCTCGAGCCCGTTTTCTCGTGAAATGTCGGAACGTTGCATGCGGCTTTCAGTCGGCTTATGCCGCGGCTTTTGAGGCGCCTCTTAAGCAGCCTAAGAAACTTCGCATTCAGCTTTGAGTCGACTCAAAAGACATTTCATGCTGTTTTGTGATTATGCTCCTGGATCTGCACCGGCACTGCGACATACAACCGAAACATGGGAAATAATGTCACGTAGTTGAGTGAAGAAAATCCTCTTCTTTCGTTCCCTCTTCCCTGTAATTTCAGGAAGTCTCGTTAGCCGCTCCGCGAAGCTTCTCCGCCACTCCCCGCGGGTCCCGCCTCGTTGCGCGCGCCAAGTTCCAGGGCTTCCGCCAGCCGGTGACGGACGCGCAGGAGGCGGACGGCGCAGCCGTTGCGCCGGCGAGCGCGGAAGAGAACGGCGCAGCAGTTGCTGCTGCTGCAGCAGCAGCAGAGGGAGCCGTAGAGGGGACGAACGACGGACGCGATGACGAGTGAGTTACTTCACTCAACGACGCTTCCGTCGTTCACATCTGACTATATTCGTCTTTGTAATGAGCTCTTTGCTCAAATATTGACCCCCCGGATACACCCCCCGGATACACCCCCGGATACACCCCCGGATACACCTCCCCCCTCCCCCCACACACCCCCCGCTCTTATTCCCAATTGCCTGTCTCGTCTTTTCCCGCAGCGTGCTCCCGACGGACCTGGACGACGCTGTCCGCCAGGCGGCGCAATCCGCGGCGTACTTCTGCAACGGAGGCGGCACGCGCGCCATTGTAAGTGGGCTGCCGTTTCCCGTGCATGTAGGCTAGGCTTCGGAAGCAGTTCAAAGACAATCGCCACGCACGGGAACTCTGGCAAGTAAGATCAGAGGTAAGCAGTCGCGGACGTCAAGGAACTCGAATCAGACGGTCCATTAGAATTGGGCGCAGCGCATCAGACGGTCCGTTACGATTGGAGTCCGTCAGTTAGAATTCGGCGCGCGCATCGCGGGATGGCCGAGCGACCCCCACTGAATTTCTCTGGCGAATCAGTTCTTTTCGTTCCTGTGGAGTGAGTGAGTGATGGAAAGATTATACCCCATCAGCTAGCGCTTAGAACCGGATGCAGCTCATCGCGGGATGGCCGAGCGACCCCCACTGAGTCTCGTTGGGGAGAGCGCAAGAAACGGGGGGGAAGGAGGCTTCCTCCCCATCCCGCGAACATAGAGGCCCTCTTCCTCCTCTCTCCTATTTATCCCCTCGGGGACAGGAAGGGGGGGAGGGGGTCCGGGGGAGGTATAACCAGCCCCGTGTAGCTGAAGACATGCTGCACAGGTTGAAGCCTCCCCCACATCCAGCACCCTTTAACTGCTGCCTTGGTCAGGAGGAGCTGGTGGTACCAGATTTGCAATTTGAGTGGGATGAAGGTAAATTGAGGTGCATTGCTCTGTCCCTCTCCCTTCCCGCACATTCCTGTTCCCTCCCTTTCCTCCCATCCTCCCATTCCCCCCCATCCTCCCCATGCCCTCCTTGCCTCTCATGGCCCCTCTCGCAGGTGGAGCTGCTGGTGCCGGATGTGGAGATCAAGTCGGACGAGCGTGAGATGAGGTGCAATGTCCTGTCCCCCCTCTCTCCCCGCACATGCCTGTTGCTCCCGTTGCTCCCATGGCTCGCAGGTGGAGCTGCTCGTGCCGGATCTGGAGATCAAGTCGGACGAGGGCGCGCAGCAGCTGCTGTGGGACACCAGCCGCACCTTCCTGGACTCGCTCAAGGGACACCTCGACTTTGAGGTGAGGCGTGGTGCAGTGGAGTGGAGTGGAGCCGAGTGAGGTGCGGTGCAGCGCGGTGAATCCAGGTGAATCTCGGTGAGGTGCAGTGCAGCAGCTGCTGTGGGACACCAGCCACACCTTCCTGGACTCGCTTGGAGGCGGCCTGGACTTCGAGGTGGGGGCAGGTTCAGTGTGATGCAAGGTGATGGTGCAGTGTGGTGCAGTGTGGTGCAGTACAGTGCGGTGAAGCCAGGTTAGGCGGGGAGAAGTTTGGACATGACCGATCTGCGAGCCTGTCCAAATAATGTCTCCCGGATCTTCTCCCCTTCCCCCACTCCTTCCAGAACGTCCGAGCCATCTTCCCTGATGCAGGTTCAGCAGGGCTCATGAAGAACCACACAGATTACTTGACCCTCCCTTTCCTTGATCTCCCTCTCCCTAATTTCGCCCCTCCCTCCCTTCCGAACGTCCGAGCCATCTTCCCTGATGCCGGCTCAGCAGCTCTGCTGAAGAACCAGTGGCCCGACGCGCCGTTTGCCTTCTCCAGCCTGATGGACCGCAAGCCAGTTCAAGGCCAGGATGGCGTGGTGGTGCTGATCATGCCCGAGTACCAGCAGCTCAGCGTGGTGGAGGGCATTGCCGGCATGCTGGCCGCGGAGGACGGCTTGATGAAACACCTCATGTTTCCTTTAATTGTCTTCCCGGTCTCTGCCCTCTCCCCCCCTGCAGAACGTCCGAGCGATCTTCCCTGATGCCGGCTCAGCAGCTCTGCTGAAGAACCAGTGGCCCGACGCGCCGTTTGCCTTCTCCAGCCTGATGGATCGTAAACCAGTCCAAGACCAGGATGACGTGGTGGTGCTGATCACGCCCGAGTACCAGCAGCTGAGCGTGGTGGAGGGCATCGGCGGCATGCTGGCCACGGAGGACGGCTTGACCCGCCCGCTCATCATGTGGAACCCGCGCCTCGTCAGCGGCGATGTGGGCGTGGGGTTGAATGTGCGGCGGTTGCGGGAGCGGTTTCTGTCGACATTCACCACTGCCTTCTGCCTCCGGCCACTGCCTGTGGGAGCCATCTACAGGCGCTACCCCAAGTGAGTTGATTGCTCTGTCTGTGTGAGCACATGGGTCAGGTCAGCAGACGGTCTGCCCCTTTTCCATTCCGAAGTAGGGTTGCTGCTGATCTTAATTATCTTGTTGCTCCGTTGCTCGCTTTACAGCCCGTGGCAGTTGTATCTTGACGACCCCAAGGAGCCTGGGCGATACATTATGTTGCGACAACAAGGGTCAAAACCCAACATTGATGATATTGAGGTGATGTTTGTCACATTACAACTGGCCAATGGGTTGTGCTTTGTTACTGCATGTCAGGTGCTCATGCTTTGCTTGTCATGTGAACAGGATATGTACATGGCAGCATCAGGAGAGGGTGAGCCTGGAGCACAAGAGCCATCGTTTATTGAGCAGGCTTTTGGAGTTTTCTCATCATTCAACCGCTTCATGCAATCTCTCTCGAAGTGATAACGGAATATTCAGTCAAGGTGTTGCAACTTGTTGGCAGCTCTAGCCCTTATGATAGTGTATAGAATATTGTACAATGCCTTTTATCTTCTGTATCACACGGCGTGTTTTTTCACTATTTTTTGGGCTGACGATTTCACGTAAATGGCGTGTATCTTGAGCCGACGTGGAGTTCCGGTGTCCTACTCTGATTCGTTTATCAACAAAATTTCCCAGCATTTGGGAGCATGCACCGAGGCCGATACCCATCAGCTGCTGCCACGCGCTCAGCAACAGTTCGACAAACCCAAGGCTTGGCTCCAAGAAGGCCAATCACATTCGTGAGCGCAAAAATCAGGACCGGCGATCAAACCTCCTCCATTTCAATCGGTCCCACGCAACCTCCTCCATCTCAATCAGTCCCAGGCGTGGACACGGGTTAGGTATGTACAGTACGCTTCGGTGTGATTCAGTGTGGTGGGGATTCTGAAACCAGAATTCCGTCAACCTGCAAGACAATCTGGGATAGAAGGCTAGTGGGACCTTTTAGAACATACGTAGCGGTGCGTCAGTCAGCCATAGTGGTGGCTTCTATCTCCGGGCGTAAGCCACGCTTCTCCTGGAAAACTAGCTCGTGCGCAGACTGGGTTCCGAGTGTCTCCTCCTCCATGCGTCTGCTCGGGCTTATCCTGCGGCCTAAAAGATTCTTCTCTCTCCTGTAGCAGTTTCCCTGCGTTCCCGCGTCTGCAATACTTTACCATAGCAGATTATCCTTAGTCAGTACTACCTAAATCTCACATAAAAAAACAAACTGCAGTAAGTCATGAGTGCGACTGCAGCTGGCTTGGCCAGATGGGCTCCATCCACGCCCATTCAGACACTAACGCCGGCACCAGAGGCCTGCTACCAGCCAAATTCATCGACCCGGAGATCGTCACCACAGTCACGGGCTTTATTACGCACGGGGAGAGGTACAGGCACCACTCACCGACGAGCAGATCTGAGCATGGCGGTGGGGGTGACTTTTGAGTCGACTCAAAAGTCACCTCTGGCCATGGCGGTCGGGCTCTTGGATCTCGGGAACCGGAGATATGGAAGAGGATCACGAAGCAGGATTAACTCGCGAAGGCTGGTCCAGGTACTGCTTTTCCTCATGATTTTCTTGAGGCTCAAGGTGCAGTCTTTATGGCTCCCTACTTTTTTATGAAGTGGGTTTCTAATGGACATCGTGAAAGCCGTGCACCCGCGACATTGCCAGTCCTCCTCATCAGCGTCCTAGCGCTTCGCTTGGTCTTGCAGGGAACCCAGATGCCTCGGTTACATGTTAAAGCGGCCTTTTACTTGTGATGTGAAACAAGCGAGTACCCGAACGGCTTATGAATTCCGCTCCGCTCCGTGTCCGCGCGTTTGCTCGTCCTTCGTTCAGACCAACGCCAGCCAAACCTCCGGCGGCGACAGCAGCAGCAGCAGCAGCGGCAATGAAGATGATGGAATGTCGATGGCGTCCGAGCCTGGCGCCATGGATTGGCGGACGTTCCGCGCCAAGCTGGTGGCGAGCAACGAGGCCACGCGGAGCATATCCTCGCCTTCCCCCGCGCAGGAGGCAGTGGGGCTCGAGATCTGGCAGGTGCGTTGCTTGCCGGGGGATGAGCCATGAGGCGTATTCTAAGTAGACACGAAACGAAACCCACGAGGCCACGTGGATCATGTCTTCGCCTTCCCCTGCGCAGGAAGCCGTGGGGCTCGAGATCTGGCAGGTGCGTTGGCACAGCCTCACAGGTGGGGTGGAAATTTGGGCGTAGGGGAGGCTTGGTATCGGTGCGCAGTCGGTTGGAAAGAGATCGTTGCCTGCCTCTGCGGATCTCCGGATCACAATCGTCAAACCCGTTCCCCCAGCACGCGTTATCAGCCCGCTCTCTCCCCCTCCACGCATTTTCATCAGGATCGCATGCGCGTCGAGAACTGGGCGTTGCTGGCGTCGCAGAACCCACGCCTGGCGAAGGATCTGCCCCCCTCCCCGTGCTCCCTCTCCGTGTCCCCCGTCGAACAGTTCCTCCTGCATCCACACGTCCGTTCCCTCCCCCCCCCACCCCCCCGCCGCCCCCCCCAATCATCCCCTCTCCTCAGGACCGCATGAGTTTCGAGATCTGGGTGCTGCTGGCCTCGCAGACCAGCTGCTGTTTGTGAGCCGCTCTCTAGGATTCCATTCCGTGCTCCCACTTACTTGCCCCCCCTCTCCCCCCCTCTCCCTCCCCCTTCCCCCTCTCCCTCCCCCTTCCCCCTCCCCCCTCCCCCTTCCCCCTCCCCCCTCCCCCCTCCCCCTCGACCCATTATCACCAGGACCGCATGAGCCTCGAGAACTGGGCGCTGTTGGCATCGCAGAACCCCCGTCTGGCCAAGGAGGTGCCGTGGGTGCACTCCACAGGGGGCGCGGAGGCGGGCGGCGTGCTGCTCGCCGCGCCCTTTCCCCAGGGGCCGGGGCTCGCGAGCGAGGGACGGCAGGTTCCGGGTGCGGGCGGCTTGGACCAGCGGTTGTGGCAGGCGGCGGTGTTTCTGGTGGAGCATGGCGCCTCAGGGGGGGAGTCGTGGGGGTTGATGCTCAACCGGCCGTCAGGATACACGATCCAAAAGGTGGGCAGATAGGAGGTGCAAGGACAGAACCAAGGGGGGGGGGGAGAGGGGGGTGTGTCGGGGTCGAGGTTCTGGTGCGTTGGTTTGGCGGTTGTGGCAAGTTGTGGCAGGCGGCAGTGTTCCTGGTGGTTCATGGCGGGGCGGGCAGGGAGTCGTGGGGACTCATGCTCAACCGGCCATCGGGCCATCGGGCCATCGGGCCATCGGCCATCGGGGCATCGGGCCATCGGCCGTCGGGCCATCGGCCATCGGGGCATCAGGCCATCGGCCATCGGGGCATCGGGCCATCGGCCGTCGGGCCATCGGGCATCGGGCATCGGGCCATCACGATCCAGAAGGTGAGAACATAGGAGGTGCAAGGGGAGGGTTCGGGTTACCTGGTGCGTGGAGTGGAGGAGGGTGCTGCTCAACCGACCCTCTAGAAGGTGTATCCCCCTCTCAACCGACCCTCTAGAAGGTGTATCCCCCTCTCAACCGACCCTCTAGAAGGTGTATCCCCCTCTCAACCGACCCTCTAGAAGGTGTATCCCCCTCTCAACCGCCCCTCTAGAAGGTGTATCCCCCTCTCAACCGACCCTCTAGAAGGTGTATCCCCCTCTCAACCGCCCCTCTAGAAGGTGTATCCCCCTCTCAACCGCCCCTCTAGAAGGTGTATCCCCCTCTCAACCGACCCTCTAGAAGGTGTATCCCCCTCTCAACCGCCCCTCTAGAAGGTGTATCCCCCTCTCAACCGCCCCTCTAGAAGGTGTATCCCCCTCTCAACCGCCCCTCTAGAAGGTGTATCCCCCTCTCAACCGACCCTCTAGAAGGTGTATCCCCCTCTCAACCGCCCCTCTAGAAGGTGTATCCCCCTCTCAACCGCCCCTCTAGAAGGTGTATCCCCCTCTCAACCGCCCCTCTAGAAGGTGTATCCCCCTCTCAACCGCCCCTCTAGAAGGTGTATCCCCCTCTCAACCGACCCTCTAGAAGGTGTATCCCCCTCTCAACCGCCCCTCTAGAAGGTGTATCCCCCTCTCAACCGACCCTCTAGAAGGTGTATCCCCCTCTCAACCGACCCTCTAGAAGGTGTATCCCCCTCTCAACCGACCCTCTAGAAGGTGTATCCCCCTCTCAACCGCCCCTCTAGAAGGTGTATCCCCCTCTCAACCGCCCCTCTAGAAGGTGTATCCCCCTCTCAACCGACCCTCTAGAAGGTGTATCCCCCTCTCAACCGACCCTCTAGAAGGTGTATCCCCCTCTCAACCGACCCTCTAGAAGGTGTATCCCCCTCTCAACCGACCCTCTAGAAGGTGTATCCCCCTCTCAACCGACCCTCTAGAAGGTGTATCCCCCTCTCAACCGACCCTCTAGAAGGTGTATCCCCCTCTCAACCGACCCTCTAGAAGGTGTATCCCCCTCTCAACCGCCCCTCTAGAAGGTGTATCCCCCTCTCAACCGACCCTCTAGAAGGTGTATCCCCCTCTCAACCGACCCTCTAGAAGGTGTATCCCCCTCTCAACCGACCCTCTAGAAGGTGTATCCCCCTCTCAACCGACCCTCTAGAAGGTGTATCCCCCTCTCAACCGACCCTCTAGAAGGTGTATCCCCCTCTCAACCGCCCTCTAGAAGGTGTATCCCCCTCTCAACCGACCCTCTAGAAGGTGTATCCCCCTCTCAACCGACCCTCTAGAAGGTGTATCCCCCTCTCAACCGACCCTCTAGAAGGTGTATCCCCCTCTCAACCGACCCTCTAGAAGGTGTATCCCCCTCTCAACCGACCCTCTAGAAGGTGTATCCCCCTCTCAACCGACCCTCTAGAAGGTGTATCCCCCTCTCAACCGACCCTCTAGAAGGTGTATCCCCTCTCAACCGCCCCTCTAGAAGGTGTATCCCCCTCTCAACCGACCCTCTAGAAGGTGTATCCCCCTCTCAACCGACCCTCTAGAAGGTGTATCCCCCTCTCAACCGACCCTCTAGAAGGTGTATCCCCCTCTCAACCGCCCCTCTAGAAGGTGTATCCCCCTCTCAACCGCCCCTCTAGAAGGTGTATCCCCCTCTCAACCGCCCCTCTAGAAGGTGTATCCCCCTCTCAACCGACCCTCTAGAAGGTGTATCCCCCTCTCAACCGACCCTCTAGAAGGTGTATCCCCCTCTCAACCGCCCCTCTAGAAGGTGTATCCCCCTCTCAACCGACCCTCTAGAAGGTGTATCCCCCTCTCAACCGACCCTCTAGAAGGTGTATCCCCCTCTCAACCGACCCTCTAGAAGGTGTATCCCCCTCTCAACCGCCCCTCTAGAAGGTGTATCCCCCTCTCAACCGACCCTCTAGAAGGTGTATCCCCCTCTCAACCGACCCTCTAGAAGGTGTATCCCCCTCTCAACCGACCCTCTAGAAGGTGTATCCCCCTCTCAACCGCCCCTCTAGAAGGTGTATCCCCCTCTCAACCGCCCCTCTAGAAGGTGTATCCCCCTCTCAACCGCCCCTCTAGAAGGTGTATCCCCCTCTCAACCGACCCTCTAGAAGGTGTATCCCCCTCTCAACCGCCCCTCTAGAAGGTGTATCCCCCTCTCAACCGACCCTCTAGAAGGTGTATCCCCCTCTCAACCGCCCCTCTAGAAGGTGTATCCCCCTCTCAACCGCCCCTCTAGAAGGTGTATCCCCCTCTCAACCGCCCCTCTAGAAGGTGTATCCCCCTCTCAACCGCCCTCTAGAAGGTGTATCCCCTCTCAACCGCCCTCTAGAAGGTGTATCCCCCTCTCAACCGCCCCTCTAGAAGGTGTATCCCCCTCTCAACCGCCCCTCTAGAAGGTGTATCCCCCTCTCAACCGCCCTCTAGAAGGTGTATCCCCCTCTCAACCGCCCCTCTAGAAGGTGTATCCCCTCTCACCGCCCTCTAGAAGGTGTATCCCCCTCTCAACCGACCCTCTAGAAGGTGTATCCCCCTCTCAACCGCCCTCTAGAAGGTGTATCCCCCTCTCAACCGACCCTCTAGAAGGTGTATCCCCCTCTCAACCGCCCCTCTAGAAGGTGTATCCCCCTCTCAACCGACCCTCTAGAAGGTGTATCCCCTCTCAACCGCCCTCTAGAAGGTGTATCCCCCTCTCAACCGACCCTCTAGAAGGTGTATCCCCCTCTCAACCGCCCCTCTAGAAGGTGTATCCCCCTCTCAACCGACCCTCTAGAAGGTGTATCCCCCTCTCAACCGACCCTCTAGAAGGTGTATCCCCCTCTCAACCGACCCTCTAGAAGGTGTATCCCCCTCTCAACCGACCCTCTAGAAGGTGTATCCCCCTCTCAACCGACCCTCTAGAAGGTGTATCCCCCTCTCAACCGACCCTCTAGAAGGTGTATCCCCCTCTCAACCGACCCTCTAGAAGGTGTATCCCCCTCTCAACCGACCCTCTAGAAGGTGTATCCCCCTCTCAACCGACCCTCTAGAAGGTGTATCCCCCTCTCAACCGACCCTCTAGAAGGTGTATCCCCCTCTCAACCGACCCTCTAGAAGGTGTATCCCCCTCTCAACCGACCCTCTAGAAGGTGTATCCCCCTCTCAACCGACCCTCTAGAAGGTGTATCCCCCTCTCAACCCCCGGCCCCCCACCGCCCTCTAGAAGGTGTATCCCCCTCTCAACCGCCCTCTAGAAGGTGTATCCCCCTCTCAACCGACCCTCTAGAAGGTGTATCCCCCTCTCAACCGACCCTCTAGAAGGTGTATCCCCCTCTCAACCGACCCTCTAGAAGGTGTATCCCCCTCTCAACCGACCCTCTAGAAGGTGTATCCCCCTCTCAACCGACCCTCTAGAAGGTGTATCCCCCTCTCAACCGACCCTCTAGAAGGTGTATCCCCCTCTCAACCGACCCTCTAGAAGGTGTATCCCCCTCTCAACCGCCCCTCTAGAAGGTGTATCCCCCTCTCAACCGACCCTCTAGAAGGTGTATCCCCCTCTCAACCGACCCTCTAGAAGGTGTATCCCCCTCTCAACCGACCCTCTAGAAGGTGTATCCCCCTCTCAACCGCCCCTCTAGAAGGTGTATCCCCCTCTCAACCGCCCCTCTAGAAGGTGTATCCCCCTCTCAACCGCCCCTCTAGAAGGTGTATCCCCCTCTCAACCGACCCTCTAGAAGGTGTATCCCCCTCTCAACCGACCCTCTAGAAGGTGTATCCCCCTCTCAACCGCCCCTCTAGAAGGTGTATCCCCCTCTCAACCGACCCTCTAGAAGGTGTATCCCCCTCTCAACCGACCCTCTAGAAGGTGTATCCCCCTCTCAACCGCCCCTCTAGAAGGTGTATCCCCCTCTCAACCGACCCTCTAGAAGGTGTATCCCCTCTCAACCGCCCCTCTAGAAGGTGTATCCCCCTCTCAACCGCCCCTCTAGAAGGTGTATCCCCCTCTCAACCGACCCTCTAGAAGGTGTATCCCCTCTCAACCGCCCCTCTAGAAGGTGTATCCCCCTCTCAACCGCCCCTCTAGAAGGTGTATCCCCCTCTCAACCGCCCTCTAGAAGGTGTATCCCCCTCTCAACCGACCCTCTAGAAGGTGTATCCCCCTCTCAACCGCCCCTCTAGAAGGTGTATCCCCCTCTCAACCGACCCTCTAGAAGGTGTATCCCCTCTCAACCGACCCTCTAGAAGGTGTATCCCCCTCTCAACCGCCCCTCTAGAAGGTGTATCCCCCTCTCAACCGCCCTCTAGAAGGTGTATCCCCCTCTCAACCGACCCTCTAGAAGGTGTATCCCCCTCTCACCGCCCTCTAGAAGGTGTATCCCCTCTCAACCGCCCCTCTAGAAGGTGTATCCCCCTCTCAACCGACCCTCTAGAAGGTGTATCCCCTCTCAACCGCCCCTCTAGAAGGTGTATCCCCCTCTCAACCGCCCCTCTAGAAGGTGTATCCCCCTCTCAACCGACCCTCTAGAAGGTGTATCCCCTCTCAACCGCCCCTCTAGAAGGTGTATCCCCCTCTCAACCGCCCCTCTAGAAGGTGTATCCCCCTCTCAACCGCCCCTCTAGAAGGTGTATCCCCCTCTCAACCGACCCTCTAGAAGGTGTATCCCCCTCTCAACCGCCCCTCTAGAAGGTGTATCCCCCTCTCAACCGACCCTCTAGAAGGTGTATCCCCCTCTCAACCGCCCCTCTAGAAGGTGTATCCCCCTCTCAACCGACCCTCTAGAAGGTGTATCCCCCTCTCAACCGACCCTCTAGAAGGTGTATCCCCCTCTCAACCGACCCTCTAGAAGGTGTATCCCCCTCTCAACCGCCCCTCTAGAAGGTGTATCCCCCTCTCAACCGCCCTCTAGAAGGTGTATCCCCCTCTCAACCGCCCTCTAGAAGGTGTATCCCCCTCTCAACCGCCCCTCTAGAAGGTGTATCCCCCTCTCAACCGCCCCTCTAGAAGGTGTATCCCCCTCTCAACCGCCCCTCTAGAAGGTGTATCCCCCTCTCAACCGACCCTCTAGAAGGTGTATCCCCCTCTCAACCGCCCCTCTAGAAGGTGTATCCCCCTCTCAACCGACCCTCTAGAAGGTGTATCCCCCTCTCAACCGCCCCTCTAGAAGGTGTATCCCCCTCTCAACCGACCCTCTAGAAGGTGTATCCCCCTCTCAACCGACCCTCTAGAAGGTGTATCCCCCTCTCAACCGCCCTCTAGAAGGTGTATCCCCCTCTCAACCGCCCTCTAGAAGGTGTATCCCCCTCTCAACCGCCCCTCTAGAAGGTGTATCCCCCTCTCAACCGCCCTCTAGAAGGTGTATCCCCCTCTCAACCGACCCTCTAGAAGGTGTATCCCCCTCTCAACCGACCCTCTAGAAGGTGTATCCCCTCTCAACCGCCCTCTAGAAGGTGTATCCCCCTCTCAACCGCCCTCTAGAAGGTGTATCCCCCTCTCAACCGCCCTCTAGAAGGTGTATCCCCTCTCAACCGACCCTCTAGAAGGTGTATCCCCCTCTCAACCGCCCCTCTAGAAGGTGTATCCCCCTCTCAACCGACCCTCTAGAAGGTGTATCCCCCTCTCAACCGACCCTCTAGAAGGTGTATCCCCCTCTCAACCGACCCTCTAGAAGGTGTATCCCCCTCTCAACCGCCCCTCTAGAAGGTGTATCCCCCTCTCAACCGACCCTCTAGAAGGTGTATCCCCCTCTCAACCGCCCCTCTAGAAGGTGTATCCCCCTCTCAACCGACCCTCTAGAAGGTGTATCCCCCTCTCAACCGCCCCTCTAGAAGGTGTATCCCCCTCTCAACCGCCCCTCTAGAAGGTGTATCCCCCTCTCAACCGACCCTCTAGAAGGTGTATCCCCCTCTCAACCGACCCTCTAGAAGGTGTATCCCCCTCTCAACCGACCCTCTAGAAGGTGTATCCCCCTCTCAACCGCCCTCTAGAAGGTGTATCCCCCTCTCAACCGACCCTCTAGAAGGTGTATCCCCCTCTCAACCGCCCCTCTAGAAGGTGTATCCCCCTCTCAACCGACCCTCTAGAAGGTGTATCCCCCTCTCAACCGCCCCTCTAGAAGGTGTATCCCCCTCTCAACCGACCCTCTAGAAGGTGTATCCCCCTCTCAACCGACCCTCTAGAAGGTGTATCCCCCTCTCACCGCCCTCTAGAAGGTGTATCCCCCTCTCAACCGACCCTCTAGAAGGTGTATCCCCCTCTCAACCGACCCTCTAGAAGGTGTATCCCCCTCTCAACCGCCCCTCTAGAAGGTGTATCCCCCTCTCAACCGCCCCTCTAGAAGGTGTATCCCCCTCTCAACCGACCCTCTAGAAGGTGTATCCCCCTCTCAACCGCCCCTCTAGAAGGTGTATCCCCCTCTCAACCGCCCCTCTAGAAGGTGTATCCCCCTCTCAACCGACCCTCTAGAAGGTGTATCCCCCTCTCAACCGCCCCTCTAGAAGGTGTATCCCCCTCTCAACCGACCCTCTAGAAGGTGTATCCCCCTCTCAACCCCCTAGGTGATCCCCCTCTCAACCGAAGGTGTATCCCCCTCTCAACCGCCCCTCTAGAAGGTGTATCCCCCTCTCAACCGCCCCTCTAGAAGGTGTATCCCCCTCTCAACCGCCCCTCTAGAAGGTGTATCCCCCTCTCAACCGCCCCTCTAGAAGGTGTATCCCCCTCTCAACCGACCCTCTAGAAGGTGTATCCCCCTCTCAACCGACCCTCTAGAAGGTGTATCCCCCTCTCAACCGACCCTCTAGAAGGTGTATCCCCCTCTCAACCGACCCTCTAGAAGGTGTATCCCCCTCTCAACCGCCCCTCTAGAAGGTGTATCCCCCTCTCAACCGCCCCTCTAGAAGGTGTATCCCCCTCTCAACCGCCCCTCTAGAAGGTGTATCCCCCTCTCAACCGCCCCTCTAGAAGGTGTATCCCCCTCTCAACCGCCCCTCTAGAAGGTGTATCCCCCTCTCAACCGACCCTCTAGAAGGTGTATCCCCCTCTCAACCGACCCTCTAGAAGGTGTATCCCCCTCTCAACCGACCCTCTAGAAGGTGTATCCCCCTCTCAACCGCCCCTCTAGAAGGTGTATCCCCCTCTCAACCGACCCTCTAGAAGGTGTATCCCCCTCTCAACCGCCCCTCTAGAAGGTGTATCCCCCTCTCAACCGACCCTCTAGAAGGTGTATCCCCCTCTCAACCGCCCCTCTAGAAGGTGTATCCCCCTCTCAACCGACCCTCACTCTGTGCAAGGGGAGGGTTCAGGTTACCTGGTGCGTTGAGTGGAGGAGGGTGCTGCTCAGCCGACCCTCGGGATACACCTTCTTGAAGGTGAGGAGCGAGAAGGTGCAAGGAGTCAAGCAGGGTGGGAGGTTCTGGCGCGTTGTTTTGGCGGCTGTGGCGAGTTATGGCAGGCGGCGGCGTTTTTGGTAGAGGATGGCGGGGCGGGCAGGGAGTCGTGGGGGCTCATGCTGGACCGGCGTAGGGGGGGAGAGGGGGGGGGGGGGGGGGGGGGGGTGTTTCTGGTACGTTGGACTGGCTTTTGTGGTAGGCGGCGCTGTATTTGGTGGAGCATGAGGGCTCGGGCACGGAGGGAGTCGTGGGGTCTGATGCTCAACCGGCTGTCAGGATACACAATTCGGAAGGCGAGGAGCGATTCAGCATGCAGAAGGGAACAGAAGTGCACTGTTCTACACAATGTTCACAGACACACAACGCAAAGGGTGAAGGAGAGCACGCCGCGGTCTTCCCTCCTACACCCCCTCCCCGTTCGGCATTCCGCTCTGGGCCTCCCCACCTGCTTCCTCCCGTGCAGCCCCCCCTCAGGCTCTCGCCCAGGTGAATCAGGAGGAGGATGCGGCGCTGACAATGATCCAGTTTTGAGGTGCCTCGAAACTAGATTCCTATCACGCGGTTTTTGAGGCGCCTCAAAACTAGACTCCTATCACGTGGTTTTAGAGGCGCCTCAAAACTAGACTCCTATCTGCTTCCTCCCGTCCAGCCCCCCCTCAGGCTCTCGCCCAGGTGAACCAGGAGGAGGATGCAGCGCTGACAATGTTCGTGCGCCGTCCCTTGCGCGCCCAATGCACCCCCTCTCCCAATGCACCCCCTCTCCCAATGCACCCCCTCTCCCAATGCACCCCCTCTCCCAATGCACCCCCTCTCCCAATGCACCCCCTCTCCCAATGCACCCCCTCTCCCAATGCACCCCCTCTCCCAATGCACCCCCTCTCCCAATGCACCCCCTCTCCCAATGCACCCCCTCTCCCAATGCACCCCCTCTCCCAATGCACCCCCTCTCCCAATGCACCCCCTCTCCCAATGCACCCCCTCTCCCAATGCACCCCCTCTCCCAATGCACCCCCTCTCCCAATGCACCCCCTCTCCCAATGCACCCCCTCTCCCAATGCACCCCCTCTCCCAATGCACCCCCTCTCCCAATGCACCCCCTCTCCCAATGCACCCCCTCTCCCAATGCACCCCCTCTCCCAATGCACCCCCCCCCCCCCCCCCCATGCACCCCCTCTCCCAATGCACCCCCTCTCCCAATGCACCCCCTCTCCCAATGCACCCCCTCTCCCAATGCACCCCCTCTCCCAATGCACCCCCTCTCCCAATGCACCCCCTCTCCCAATGCACCCCCTCTCCCAATGCACCCCCTCTCCCAATGCACCCCCTCTCCCTCGCCCAATTTTTGTCCCCCCTTTCAGCCTTCCCAGGGGCGCGCCCAGGTGAACGAGGCGCACGCAGCTCTGACGGTGTTTGCCCATCATCCTCTGCAGTCGTGCGCCCCCTCCCCCACACGTGCATTCGGCATTGTCCCCCCCAGGCGTTAGCGCAGACGAACCAGGTGGAGGACGCGGCGCTGACGGTGTTTGCCCATCTTCCTCTGCCCTTGTGTGCCCCCCCCCTCTTCGGCATTCTTTTCTGGGTCTCCCATCTGCTCCGACCCTCCCAAGCGCTAGCACATACGAACCAGGTGCAGGACGCGGCGCTGGCGGTGTTCGCCCATCACCATCTGCCCTCATGTGCCCCCCCTCCCCCTCCCCCCCTTTTCATCAGGTGGAGGGCGCGGCGCTGACGGTGTTTGCCTATCATCACCTGCCCGCGTGAGTCCCCCTCCTCCCCTCCCCCCCCCCTTTCGCCACTCCGTTTGCTCTCCCCGCCCGGTTCACCCTTTAACCCCCCCCCCCCAGGCGCTAGCGCAGACGAACCAGGTGGAGGACGCGGCGCTGACGGTGTTTGCCCGCAACGCCATCTACATCGGCGGGTTCAAGTCGGACGGCCGCACGCTGCACTTCCTCCACGGCCACGACCTGCCAGGGGCCAAGGAGGTACACGTGTGTGTTATCTATGCCCGCCCCCCTTGCCTTTTTCCCACTCGTTGCCTCCCCTGCCCCTCTTGCTGCTATTATCTCCATAAGATTTCTTGACATTCCATGCCTCTCCGGCAACAACTTCTACCCCCACCGACCCAAATTCTGGTGCCCGGTCCCATGGATCTCTACATGCCTGGCGTGTTGTTGGGAGAATTTGCGGCAGCAGCCAAAGAGGCTCTTCTGGGCGACATGGCCCCATCCGATCAACGTCCAGCTTGGTCCTCTCTAACTCGATTCTGTTTCCTGCAACCCTTTCCTTTCCCCTGCTCCCTTGCTCCCCTTGCCCTCTCAGGTGATGCCCGGTGTGTTCCTGGGAGGGCTGGAGGCAGCAGCTGAGCAGGTTCTTATGGGCAACATGCCTCCGACTGATTTTAGATTCTTTGTCGGGTAAATCATCGCCTCGTTTATTGTACAGAATGTTTGGATTAGTTGTTTCCTGCCATTGTTTACTGGATGCAGCCGGCCTGTTTTCTAGACCGTTGTGTATTCGCGATTCCTGCTCTCGCTGTTTCACTGTACCATTGCTTTCCATCTTGCACCATTCCCTTATCCTTCATTGCAATCTTTCCAGTCGATTGGAGTGGCAGCCTGGCAAGCTGCAGGAGGAGGTGGATGCGGGGCTCTGGTACACAGCAGCGTGCGCCAGAAGCCTCGTGCTCAAGCAGTGCTTACAGCTCCCAAAGCCCCTCTGGTGAGCTCCTCCGTAAACCCCTATACTCATCCCCAAACCCCTTCAGGAATTGCATCCTCACTTTCATCATTTTCCGCCTGTGTTGTTTGGTGGGAGTTCGGTCGTGGGATGGGTTACAGCCTGATATGCTATGTGTTGTGTTTGGTCCTGGGATGAATTGCAGGCGAGAGATGCTGGAGCTGATGGGCGGTGAATATGCAGAGGCTGCAAGAAAGGAATTCGGAGATAGCATATGAGCAACACATGGGGCCCTAAAGTCAGTGGCTCGACGTCCCATTGATATGCATTTTGGCGACATAGGCGTTTCATTGATGGTATTGTCCATCCAATCGTCCCATTGGGCTGCTTTTGAAATCTACATAAGGGTAGGCGTTTTTCTTCACGTGTTTAGTGTTGTTTACTCACTTAAAAATGTCACCCCAGCAAGGTTGAGCACTAGGATCCTTCGTTGTTCCAATATCGCGGACAGCTAAGTTGTTGAAGGGCAAGGGGTGGCCAATCAGAGACCAGGGGGGCCAATCCGCTTGTTGCCGCCGCCACCAAACCACACACACTGTCCAACAAATTGCCGCTGAACCAATTTATCGGTTTAGTTCGGTTTTGTGCGCTGCTCTGCTGCTTGATCAGCAACGATTTGCTCGCCTCCTTATCAGGGAGCAGCCCTGGAGACTTTCTTCTCTGGCCGCAGCCGCGCACCTTGGGAGTTCCGCGGTTGTTGCAGCGGTGCTCCACCAACTCTCCGCGGCTGCGCCACCCCGCGTGGTCGGAAGGAAGCTAGACAAGACTAGATTGGGCTGGTTGGTTTGGTTGCGGACGAGATTGCTACCTGACGCGGCAGCAGGCGGTGAAGGACGGTCCCTGCGGTTTCCGAACGGTATAAAGCTCTGCACATCGGTTTTACAGCTCGGGGGAGATAAATCATCCAGTACACTATCTTGTCGGCCATGCTGGTGACAGCAAAGCAATTACATCCCTTATCCTTCCCTAATCTTACCTGCTTCCTGGTGACAGGGCCAGTCGGCGTATCGTTTATGGGCTGAGGGCGCCTCTCGCACCATTGTCGTGAGCGAGGTAGTGAAGTGGCTCTTTAGACAAGTTGGAGTTAAGAGGCGTTAGCGTTTTCTTCTGGCGTGGGAAAAAGGATATGTTATACTGGTGTCCCATTAAGCATAGTCCGTCTTAGCGGTCATTGTCGCAATGTCGTCACAGCCTCACACGCGAGCGTCTAAGCCCAGCGGCGTCGCTCTCGGGAGTCGCACGCGCGAGCCTAAAGCCGGTCGCGGGCGACGCATGCGACATCAAGACGGCGACTCCCCCAGATCGCCATCCGCGTTTCTCAATCGCTCAGCCGTAGTCGGAGGCAGACCCTGGCTCTTCGCCAGCTGGTGCTGCATATTCGTTATTGTGTTGCTCGCTTTCGTTTCAGGCGCCGTGATCGTGCTACAGTTAACGGAACACAAAACAATGTCCGGCGCTCTTGCGACTCTCCAGCAGACGGGGTCGGGTATCGGAAGCCACGCGCTGCTGGCGCTGAAGTCGAAGCTGAGCTTGTCAGGGAGGAAAGTGGGGAGCCTGACGGCCGGTACGCACCACCATGTCAAGCACGTGTTCGAGCAGCGGTTCCTTTACTACGGCGATGTGATCGATTCGACGACGACCGACTGCGGTAGCGTCAACGAGCAGGTGCGATCCCCCCCCCCCCCCCCCGTAAATCGTTTCAATGGACGTGCCATAGTACTTGATATTTATATTTTTAAAAAGCAGAAAACCAACCCGTCGTCGTTTGTTATCTCCCTTTCCTTTAATTGCACTCCGGAATGCTTCTGTGCCATTCTTGCGGAATGCGTTCGCGCTAAAGATTGCTAATGGCCTGCTTTTATCGCGTATGTGCATATGGATCTTCTATGCAGCACTCAAGCCTCCGGTGTGCGATGGAGGAGGCTCTGCTGACCAACAGGTACGCGGAAACGGGGGTTTAAGTAGGGTTTCTTTGTGGAGCAGTAGAGCGGGCAGCAGCAGCAGCAGCAGAGTTTGTGGGGCGCGGCATTGAGTTACGCAGCAACTTTTAGCTCACTGGGTGCATGAAAGAAGTCTGTAATTCCCAAACTGACGAGCGTCGAGGCCAGGGTTTCGAGCACGCAAGGCCTTTTGTGCAATGAACCGCACACGAAACCAACCTCAACCAACCCAGTCGAATCTCAACGCCACTGGATGCTCTACAGTGTGGAATCCCAACGCACGCGTATAACGACGCAGATTGCAGCCTACAAGGTCTTGCTTGGTTGGGTGCACAATGCAAGCAGAGATTGAAGCCATGCATTCTCATGATGCAGGCATTCTTCTCCCATCAACCGCTTCCCATCATTCCCCTCCCCATCACCCCCCCCCCCCTCCTCCTCTCCCCCCCCTCCTCTCCCCCCGCCCCTCTTTCCCATCATTCCCCTCCCCAACATGCCCCCCCCCTCCCATCATTCCCCTCCCCTTCATCCCCCCCACCTCCCATCATTCCCCTCCCTATCATCCCCCCCCCCTCCTCCCATCATTCCCCCCCCTCCCATCATTCCCCCCCCCTCCCATCATCCCCCCCCCTCCCATCATTCCCCCCCCTCCCATCATTCCGCCTCACCGCCATCGTGTCTCAACTACCCGTCACTCTCTGCCCTCTACCTTCGTCCTGTGATGTCAATCGTGGCGTCGATTCCGGTGTCAACTTCGTGTCATCCAGAACGTTCGTGTTGCCTCGCCACATCTGCATTCGCCCTGCCTTCAACATCGATGCCGCCAGAATGTGAGGCCCTCTTCCCTCCCAGCACCGCACTCCACCTCATTCCACCGCAGCTCATCCCGTCCTGCACGGCGCCCCACTCCATTCACTGCATTTCCCCCCATTGCATGCTCCTTTGCGCCCACAATGCCACGTGGCATCCTTCCCTCAACCATGTTGATTGCATTGCACCACACTCAACCGATTCGCACCAACTGCCCACTCCCCCATCCCTTCTCCCTGTGTGCCTGAATCAGAGTGAACCCGTCCCAATAGGAGATGCAGTCCACATCCCCCCTGAGGGCTCATGGGCAATCATTCACTCAACATTCTCCAAATTGTTGAATTGCCCAATTGCCCATGCGCATCCCCAACTTCATCCCCATGCCGGTGCCTGCCCGTCCCCATCCCCATCCCCTCTCCCTCCTTTGGAGTGAATACGTCCCAGACGGAAATGCCCATTCATATCCCCATCACACTCAACATTCTCCAAATGCCCATTCATATCCCCATCACACTCAACATTTTCCAAATGCCCATTCATATCCCCATCACACTCAACATTCTCCAAATGCCCATTCATATCCCCATCACACTCAACATTCTCCAAATGCCCATTCATATCCCCATCACACTCAACATTCTCCAAATGCCCATGCCCATGCCCATCCCCATGCCCAACCCCATCCCCTCTCCCTCCGCATGCCCATGTCCGTCCCCATCCCCATCCCCATCCCCATCCCCATCCCTTCTCCCTCCTTTAGAGTGAACACGTCCCAGACGGAATTGCCCATGCCCATGCCCATCACACTCAACATTCTCCAAATGCCCATGCCCATCCCCATCACTCACAACACTCTCCAAATGCCCATGCCCATCCCCATCCCCTCTCCCCGCATCTCCCCATCAGAGTGAACACGTCCCAGGCGGAGATGCGTCTCGAGGATCATTTCGATCTTAAAGCCATCTCTAAAGCGCTTCCTTATGGCAGCCCACGTCACACTGAACATTCTCCAGTTGCCCATCCCCATGCCCATGCCCATCCCCATGCCCATCCCCATGCCCATCCCCACCCCTCTCCCTCCATCAGAGTGAACACGTCCCAAACGGAGATGCTTCTAGAGGACCTCTTCGATCTTAAAGCCATCTCCAAAGCCCTCCCCAACGGCATTGTCTTTGCTGACGCGGTCGATTGGAAGCAGACGCTCGCCGCCGCCCAAGACGCACAGACCCTCGCAAACACGCGGACGAAAAGCGCCGCCCCTGGGGAGGAGGCGGGTGAGGGTGGGGGAGGAGGAGAGGAGGAGGAGGAGTTACCTGCGCAGTATTTGGTGCTTGAGGATGGGAGTGTGGGGTGGAGGGAGCTTCGGGACGTGCCTGATTATGCCGAGGCTAAGATCGTGCACCGGAATGAGGAGCGGCCCTGGTGAGTGGGGTGGTGAGGTGGTGTGGGTGGGGGGGTGGTGGGGTGGTGGGGTGGTGTGGGGGGTGGTGGGGTGGGCAAGAGGAGAGGGGAGGGTGGTTGGGATGGTGTGGCAAGATGGTGAGATTATTGGAATGGTGGGGATGGTCGAGCCTGCGGGTGTTAAGAAAGAGAGAAGGGTTGATGGAGGGGGGGAGATAAGGGTTGGTGGAGGGGAGGAGAGAAGGGTTGATGGACGGGCGGAGTGAAGGGTTGATGGAGGGGCGATGGAAAGGGTCTGCCGCAATGCAAGCAACGAGCGAATTGCTGTGCTTTGATTCGAATGCACACAACAGCTTATCTCTCTCACTCTTCTCTCTCCCCCCCCCCCCACACACACACGCACGCACGCACACACACACGCACGCACACACACACACACACACACACACACACACGCACTCACTCACCCACTCGCTCTGGCTGGCAGGAGGAGGGCGTGTGAGACGCGGTTCAACGGCACGGCAGTGATCTACCACGGCCCGCCCTTCGCCAAATACATCCGCGACCTCGCCATGCAGGTGGGTGCTCGGGCCTTCATGTGGGACCTTCATGCTCGGGCCTTCATGTGGGACCTTCATGCTCGGGCCTTCGTGTTGAGGCCTTTGTGTTGAGGCCTTGTGTCGAGACGTTGCCATGCAGGTGGGTGTTGGGACCTTCGTGTTGAAACCTCGCCATGCAGGGTAGTAGTTGTAGAGGCCTTGCCATGATGTAGGTGTCGAGACACCTGACGATGCCAGTAGGCGTTGAGACATCGCCTTGCGATTCAGGAATCAGGCCCCCAACCAACCCCCCTCCAGCCCCCTTCCTCTATTGCCCAACATTATTGCCCCCTATGCAGCCATCATCCAGATGTTGGCCTCAACCCATCTCCGTATGTCTCCCCATTGTCTCCTCCCAGTTGTGTGAGAAGCTGGGCCACTTTTTGTTCCTGCAGTGCGCCGCCACAACATGACTTTTGAGTCGACTCTAAAGTGCGCCGCCACAACATGACTTTTGAGTCGACTCTAAAGTGCGCCGCCACAACATGACTTTTGAGTCGACTCTAAAGTGCGCCGCCACAACATGACTTTTGAGTCGACTCTAAAGTGCGCCGCCACAACATGACTTTTGAGTCGACTCAAAAGTGCGCCGCCACAACACAGACACCTTGAGGGTCAATATTTCCCTTCCTGGTACCATTCCCCCTCCTTATCCTGTTACTCGCCCCCCCCTTAACCCCCCCCTCCTCCTCCTCCCCCCCCCCCCCCCCCCCGAACACACTCACCCCAATTTCAGTTGTCTGAGAAGCTGGGCCATTTCGTCTTCCTGCACGTGCGCCGCCACAACACCGACATCATGCGGGACGACGCGTCGTACCTGCGCTGCCGGCACCTCGACCGCGACACGCGCGTGCCGGCCATCCGAAGGCACATCTGGCGCCTCATCCCCGAGAACAGCACGCTTTACATCGCCACGGACGAAGTCAACAAAGGGTTCTTCTCCGGCCTTTCACAGTGGTGAGGAGACGTCTCGTAGTACGGTAGTGGCAGAGTGTTTCCCAGCCATGCGTAGACACACTTGGCGCCTCATTCCCAAGAACAGGACACTCTATATTTTCAGACGAAGTCAACCAGGGGTTCTTCTTGGGCCTTTCACAATGGTGAATCGACTCAAAGTAGTGAGACTAGAAGCACGTCATATCATGCGTGTGCCGACCATCCGAAGGCACATCTGCCGCCTCATCCCTGAGAACAGCACGGTCTACATTGCCACGGACGAAGCCAATCAAGGGTTCTTCTCCGGCCTCGCACAGTGGTGAGTTCTGATACACCTCATGTCATGCTTGTGCCTGTGGATTGTGGACACATCTGCCGCCTCATCCCTGAGAACAGCACGGTCTGTATCGCCACCGACGAAGTCAACCAAGTGTTCTTTCCAGGACTCAGGCAGTGGCGAGTCTTGAAGGGTCTCATCAGTGTGCTGGCTGTTTGCCGGCACGTCTGGCACCTCATTCCTGGAAACAGCACGGTCTACATCGCCACGGATGAAGTCAACCGGGTCTTTTTCTCCGGGCTCAGGCGATGGTGAGTTGTGAAACGGCTCATTGGCTCATATCAATGTGAGTTGTGAAACGGCTCATTGGCTCATGTCAATCATGTGTGTGCCTGGCGTTTGTAGACACATCTGACGCCTCCCCGAGAAGAGCACGGTCTACATTGCCACGGATGAAGTCAACCATGGATTCTTCTATGTGCCCAGGCAGTTGTGAGACTTGCAACGGCCCATGCCATGCGTGTGCCTAGCGTTCGTAGACACGTCTGGCTCCTTATTTATCCCTGAAAATATAACGGTCTGTGTCCCCCCGGACGAAGTCAACCAGGGCTTCCTCTCAGGGCTCAGGCAGGCAGTGGTGAGTTCTGAGACGCCCAGGGACACACATGCTTGCCCTCCGCCATCCGCTGGCACTTCTGTTTGATCACGGCAATGCCAGCCTCACAAGCTTCTTCCCATGTTTCTTTCCACAATAATGTCATCGCGCCATGTTTCATCAAAGTTGTTGTTGCAACCCATGGTATTGTCCTGTCATCACCAATGCAGGTACGACATCCGGCTTGCGCGGAGCTTTGACCATATGTTCAAGGGCAGCGTCACCAACAACTACCAAGTCTTTGCAATCGAGAAGCACCTCTCCAAGTTCGCATCGTTCTTTGTAGCCACTTTCTGCGATGAGGCCGATTCCTACGGCTGGCTTGGCCTTCATGCTTTCTACTGCCTATGCCAGGACTACCAAGAAGGTAGACGTGCTCAAACAATCAAGGACACGTCCGCTGGCCGATAGGAGCATTTGTAGAGCCCCTTTTAGGTTTCACTCTCAAGGTAGAATAGTGTGCACATATACCACCCGTAATTTATTTGCTACGGGTTTAGAGTTGGTGAGCTGTATTTCCTTGTATCAGGCTGGCCAAGTTCACTGTTCCTGGCAGTATTGCAGGATAATGTGAACAGTGTTCTGGGAGCAGCGGCTGGTGGGCAGGTGTGGGCGATGCGCCAAGCACACGAGGGAGGTTTCATCCGTGTTCTCCTTGCTGGCACTGGCCAATTCGTCAAGCTGCTCGACACGTCAGCAAAACCCAAGCTGGGCCCCATTCATTTGGCCAAAGGGCGCCGCCCCGGACCATCGCGCCCCTTCGGGTCAATGATAGGACGCAAGAATGATTGGCTGACGAGCGTTTCAAGTTCCTTGAGGTTGGGGGGTGGAAAGGTGAGGTGAGGTGAGGGGATGCAACTTTTGGTTGAGGGCAGCGTTGGCGAGCGCACTGCACTGCCCGCGTGGTTCAGCAACGAGAGGACAAAAACGAATCTTTTTCGCAGGCATTCCGGCGCAGGGCATTTTTCTGATGCACAAGAGCGTTATCGCCGCCAAGTTATCTCACCAACCATTTGTAGTCGCACTCGTCGCAAGACATCGCCCAATCAAGGCATCGCTCCATCCTCACCGTCCATTCTTCCGATGACGACGACTATTTGGTCGCAGCTCGATCGGTCACACTCACCAGCGACGATCACATGATCATGCTGTAACCAAGCTCTCCCCTCCCTCCCCTTCCTAGAGGGATTCAAATTCCTCGATTCTTCCTTTCAATGGCTCTCTTCCTGCTGCCTTCCTTTCCTTCTAGCAGCTGATTCCAACACAGCAGCAGCTCCTGTCCCGTGAGTCGTGACCCGTCCTGCGTGAGACACACCAACCAAGCCAAAGTTACAACAGAACGTCAGTGTCTCTGCGCACGGACTGTGCGTCTCTCTTTTACTGTACGATCTGCTCGCTACTATTGTTTGAAGCTCGCAAACTCTCGCACTGTGAAATGGCGGGAGCTCTTCAAGGCTTGACCGTGTTCGGTGCAACAGCCAGCCTGCCTTCAGGCTTGAACCCCTCTTCCTCTCGCAACCCGATCGGTCTACCGAACTTCTTTCAAACTCCAGACTTCTCCCGTCTGATTCCGATCAAGCTCTCACAGCAGCAACACCAGCAGCAGCAGCAGTACCGACCAATCGCTTGCCGATCCACCGTTTCTCAAGACCAAGCAACGCTCTCATCAGCACGGGACTCCGGTAACGTTAACGGTAACGTTAACGTCAACGCGGAATCCGTCGCCGTTCCGTCTTCCCCTATCAGCTACGACTCTCCACCTGCCGATCACACCAACGGGTCGTCCTTCTCGGAGTTTCCGCAACCGCTGTCCGGAAATTCGTCGTTTTCCCCGCGGAAGTTCGGGCCCTTGACGGAAGTCTCCGCGGAGGATTATGATCTGGCGGTGGCGGAGCGCGCGGTGCAGCTGTCGTGCCGGCTGACTCAGCGCGTGCAGGACCAGCTGCGACGCGCGGAGGACGTTGCACGGTCGAAGAAAGACAAGTCGTTCGTTACCGTCGCAGGTGCGATTGGTCACTGTTATTCTTCCACTATCATTGACCCAGTCACTGCCATAGACTGTGTTATGTTTTGAGATTTCCGAAAAACGTAACACTTACACTGTCATTGTCCCAGTCAATGCCATAGTCGCGGTCACTAACATTGTCACAGTAAAAAATCAATATCACGGTAAATTCGTACGTCGATGTCACTGTGAAGAGGAACGGGATGGTTAAAAGCACTTACCTTCTAGTTTCGCCTGACTTTTGAAACGCCGTCGTTGCGGCAGTCTCCTCCTCCCCCGACTTTACTTTCCGCTTGCCTTCTCCTCCCTCGCTTCACTTTCCTTGTCCGAGTCCGATTCCCTCTTTCCCTCAACCTTCGCTGGCTCCATTTCCAATTCTCCCGGCGTTCTTGCTTCACAACCCCATTGCTCTTTCTCTCAGACTGGGGCGTGCAGGCGGTGGTCAGCTGTGTCCTGAAACAGTCCAACCCCGACGAGGCCATCTCCATGGTGGCCGAGGAGAGGACATCAGGGAGCTCACCAATATCATTGCTCCTCCACCTCCTCTTCTTTTGTTTCCGTTGTTTCCCTTTCCAGACTGGGACGTGCAGGCGGTTGTCAGCTGGGTCCTAAAGCAGGCCTACCCGGATGAAGCCATCTCCATGGTGGCGGGGAGGACACCAAGGAGTTCACCAGCGTCACTCTTTTCAACCCCACTCACTCCCTCCTACCCAATCCCCCCCTCCCTCCCCCCCCCCCCCTCTTTCTGTCTGCCTTCCCCTTCCAGACTGGGGCGTGCAAGCCGTTGTCAGCTGGGTGCTAAAGCAAGCGTACCCCGACGAGGCCATATCCATGGTGGCGGAGGAGGACACCAAGGAGCTCACGGGCCAGGCGGGCGTGGCGGTGCTGCAGCGCCTCGTGCAGACGGTCAACGAGTGCCTTGCGGAAGCCGCCCTCGTCGGCATCCCGCCCCCAGAAGCGCCGCTCACGGCCGTGCAGGTGCTCCAGGCGATCAGTAGGGGTGGGTCGGAGGGGGGAGCGGAGGGGCGGCACTGGGTGCTGGACCCGGTAGATGGGACGTTAGGGTTTGTGAGGGATGATCAGTACGCTGTGGCGCTCGCGCTGCTGCAGGACGGGCAGCTGACAGTCGGCGCGCTGGGCTGCCCGAACTTCCCAGTCAGGTCGGGGTGGCTACGGCACCCGCACAGATTCCACCGGCTGACCGCTAAATATTTCCCGCCGACCAAATGGCACAAGGGGTTCGTGCTGAAGGCGAAGAGAGGGGGGGGCGCGTGGATGGAGTCGCTGGTGGAGATTGGGAGGGATGGAGGGGCGTTGAGAGCGGTTCCGGTGCCGGTTAGGGTTTCGCCAGTGCGAGACGCGGCGCTGGCGACGTTCTGCGAGCCTGTGGAGAAGGCGAACTCGAACCAGTCGTTCACGGCTGAGCTGGCAGACACGCTCGGCATCAGGTGAGGCTGGAGAGGGGGGGAGGGCGAGAGAGGGGGGGGGAGAGGGGAGGGAACCGTTTTTCTGCTATTTGAGCATTGTGGCCCATCGCTGTTTAAGGACTGAAGGGAAAAGTCGAAGGCTTGATGATTTGTAAAAGTCAAGATGAACACAGCTTGCCCTGTCATGGCCGCCTTTGGTGGTTAAGGGGATTAGAAAAGGGAGCCAAAAGAAAGACGCGAATCAGCCCCTTCTCTGTCCCCTCCCACTTCCCCTCCCCTCCCCCCCCTCCCCTCCCTTTTCCTTCCGACTACCACATCCCCTTTTCCTTCCGACTACCACATCCCCTTTTCCTTCCGACTACCACATCCCCTTTTCCTTCCAAATACCACATCCCCTTTTCCTTCCGACTACCACATCCCCTTTTCCTTCCGACTACCACATCCCCTTTTCCTTCCGACTACCACATCCCCTTTTCCTTTCTGCCTACACTGGCAGCAAGGAGCCGTTGCGAATGTAGCATGGCCAAGTGTGCCACGAGGAGCCTCAGGCCATGTCCCTTGTTCAACGCCTATTCCCTCCCTTCCTCTCCTCCCCGCCCATCCCCCCCAATCCCCACCCCCCCCCTTGCAGCAAGGAGCCTCTGCGAGTGTACAGCATGGCCAAGTACGCTGCCATTGCCAGGGGTGATGCGGAGATTTTCATGAAGTTTGCACACGGCAGCTACAAGGAGAAGATTTGGGACCATGCAGCGGGCGTGATTATAGTGGAAGAGGCAGGCGGCGTTGTGACGGATGCGGGCGGCAACCCCTTGGATTTTAGCAAGGGGAGGTTCCTGCTGGGGTTGGACAGAGGGATCATGGCGACCAATGGCGCGGATATGCATGACCAGCTGCTGAGCACTGTAGATGCCAGCTGGAGCGCTTCCCGGTTGTAACCGCTTCGACACGAGTGTAACATGACAAGGTGATTGTGTGTGTGTGGGATTATAGCGAATGGGTCTAGCCGTGTCGGGTGGGTGTTATGATTGAAAGCATTTGCTTTAGCTGTCGATTCGGTTTGAAGCTGCCTTCTGTGGCGGCTTTTGATGCTACCAAGAGAAACACCAAAGCTCGTAAGGGGGCATTGGTGGGGTGGTGGAGCATGGGCTGATTGTGGCAGTTGCATTATGCATCGCAGTGCATATTGGAGCACGATAGTGTCAGATTCTAAGAATTCGCTCCTCCCGTTTCTCCTCTCAGGGTGTCCATGACTGGTCCTGGAGAGCTGATCTGGAAGGGGTCCTGGAGAGCAGATAGGCTGCAGTGGGCAGGAATAAAAGTGCTGATGTTGGACATGTGACCTATCTCCTGAGTGACATGGACAAAGGGGAATGGGCGTGTTGGATGTTTGGTGCAAGAGTAAAGTGATCTCCAGCACTTAAAGTTGCACATGTTCAATGGGAACTGGTCATGCTATTTTCACATTTATTATCACAAATCCTCTTTTGCATGGTTTTAGTCGCTACGGTTTTGCGAGGTCATCAACAACCTTGTTGGCTTCGCGCGAGCGGCATTTGGTTGCTGCCCGAACTGAAATTTCAACTTGTGAGGTCCTGAAAAGGCGATGTACAACCTGACCGAACTGTAGCGATTCGTCAGTTGGTCCCTAGCCAGGTAAATCACGAGCCTCCCATAACCTTTGGCGAATGTGTATGGCATTGCGAAACAAACCCCACATTTCAGGCGATTCTGCGAACAAACCGAGCCTCGGGAAGCAGTTGAAACACGTGGTTTCCTCACACCGAGGCTGGAGCGTAGCTGCTTCGGCGTTTGCGATTGTCGTAAGCATCGCCTGACGACAGCGAAGCCCAAACCTCCAACCAAGGCGGCAACAGTGGAACGCTTTGGCCGCGCCAACAACCGAAGCGCTTGACAAGCACGCGAAACGGGCTCCGCGGTGCGCACAATTGTTCCGCAAGCCTCTCTCCACTGTGTCTAGCGCAAGCCCACTCCCCTGATCATGTCCATCTATGCCACGTCACCACATTTGTTCGCACCACGAAAGCGCTTGACGTCGGTAGCTACCTCACCAAAGCCGAGCCTGAACCTCATCCCCGAACCCCCTTCTCTAAGCCAGTCGTGTCTGTTTGGCAATTAGGCCCTCATCGGACCGTCCAAACATAACCTCTTGCGTCACCTCCAGCAGTCCGATTGAGAGATCACCCCGCCGAATCTCCGGGACCTGCTCGTCCTAATCGGACCGTCTACAGCGAAGCCATACCAGGGCGCATGACGAACCCGAAATGGAACCCCCAACCCTGGCCCAACGACCAGACCAAGCCAACCAGCCAGCATGCCATACCCATGCCAATACCCCATATCATCTCAGCCTGGATGCGGTTGGCTGGGGAGGAGAAGCGAGCAGAGGAGCGAGGACGCGGAATGGGGCTGGGGTTCTTCCGCCCATCCAGGTTGGGAAGGGACCCTCGGGGTTACCATTCCATTCCTTTCCATTCCACCCCAACCCAACCACCCATCTCGTCTCGCAGTTGGCTTGCTCTCGAGTCTCCACTTGAAAAACCCCAACGAGTCGACTCGACTTCTCACAAAGCGACTCCGAACGCCAACAGCGGCTCGCTTGAGAGACACTCTCCTCCAACCCCACCCCTCCCTCCCTTGGCCGCTCTACCAGCCAACTCGCCTCCTCCCTCTAGCGCTCTGAGGGGACCGACACCCGACCCGCGTTGTCCGCTGGTTGCTTGGAGTGGAGAAATTAGGCGGCGTTTCTAATTTGTATGTCGTTTGATCGATAGTCATGGCGGCTGGTTGTTATTTTTAGATCTGTGTAGAGTGTGTTGCTGTGGCGCTTTAGCTTTCAGTCTTCGGTTTTCTTCCACTTGAATTATTCTCTGGTCAGCGCTCTATGTTTTTCCACGATGCATTTAGGCTGACCAGTCATATCTCTGTTTGCTCTTTTTTTTTACTTTCTTCATGTTTGCAGGTTGCGTCGATCTTTGGATTTCGTCAGATCTTGGGGTTCTCACCACTAGAATTATTCCGGTTTTAAGGGGTCGTGACCATGTCGGCTCCAGAGCAACAAGGACAAACGGAGGAGTATGCAGGCAATCCCATTCCAATGACACCGCATCAAATGGCGTTGCTTCTCGAGGAAATCGCTAAGCTCGACACGGAGCGTTTGATCCTCGAGCCTGGCGTCATGCTCGCTGATACTGGAACAGTCCTTAATCTTAAGTGAGGCCATGTCCTTAACGCATGCTAAGCTTGCTAGCCCACAGGCGTCCATGAGACTATCGTGTTTCGGGATTGTTAAGCTCTAGACGTCCGTCTGGAGCCGAACATGTCGGCTTTCGAAGAGGAAACCGATACTAGGTTCGTTTCTTCGTGCTGGTTCGGCCTACGATTTGCGATTCGTCCGTTTTTGCGATTTGCGATTCGTCCGTTTTTGCGATTTGCGATTACCTCCGATATTTCTCCTTTTTTCTTACCTGCTTCTTTCATCGTTGTTTCTTCAGCGATTTATCACGGCCGCCCCTTCTTCATTTGTTCTCATCTTCCTTGCATGTGTCATTATGCGACTCCTCTCCCGTTACAGTCTGATCCGTCAGAAGGCCCTGAGTCCCGCCTACACGCTACCAGAGATGCTTATGGATCTGAACTCTATCTGCGAGCCGTTTCTAAATCAGAGCCCGAGCCATGCACAATACGCCAAGGGCTTTCTCGAAAACGCAAACGAGGCTATCGTTATCGCGGTCAGAGACGCTCAAGTCAGTTCAGGCGGCTACCCGGCCGATGGAACGGTCGCCGTCGCGAACGGCGATCCGAACCAGCCGCAAGGCCACGTGCAGTACGCCCAGCCGGGGCAAGATCCCCAGCAGCAGTACCAGCAGCAGCCGCAATACCAGCAGCAACCGCAGCAGTATCAACAACAACCGCAGCAGTACCAACAGCAACAGCAGCCGCAGTACCAGCAGCAGTACCAACAACAACCGATGCCGCATCAACAGCAGCAGTACCAGCAGCAACCGCCGCCGCAGCAGCAGCAGCAGTACGTGCAGCAAGACGGAACGATGTACGCTCCGCCGAACGGTATGGTGAACCAGCAGAACGGACAGGGGATGAACGGAACGGCCGGCAACTCCTGGGTGATGCAAGTCGTCGGAGATGACGGTAACGGTCAGACGGCGCCTGGCGGCGGCATGCAGAACCAGCACCAGCACCCGCACCAGCACCAGCAGCCGCCGCCGCCACATCATCAGCAGCAGCAACAGCAACAGGGGGGGTATCACCAGCAGCAGAACGGCATGGTGCAGCAGGGAGGGCAGATGGTGGGGTACCAACCGCAGCACCAGCAGCACCCGCACGGGTCCATGCCTGGTGGCCAACCCATGCCCAACGCCCCTGGTCACATGGGGGGAATGCCAGAAACGGTCGGCGACTCGTCGTTCGTCTCTAAGAAGCGCCAGCGGGTGGAGAAACCGGGCGGCGCGGGGCCCCCCGGCGCGCCACCAATGAAGGCCACGTCGTCAGCGCCCCGGTCGCGCGTGGAGGGGCGGCGGTGCGAGGTGTGCGCGGTGATTAAGAAGGCCGGGTGTGGCACGGAAAACGCACACTTCAGGTGCCTGAAGCGGAAGCTTCCGGAAGGCGCGCAGGAGCTGGAGCGGAGAGTGGGGGAGCTGGTGGATGTGGGGAAGGAGGAGAGAGTCACAGTGTGGAATCCCAAGGAGGGGAGGAAGCTCAGCGGGCAGGCGGCTCCTATGCTGAAGAATCTGGTCGGGTGGCTGGCGAGTCATCCCGGGTGGGAGGCGCATCCCCGAGGGTCCAGCCCTGTTGCCAGGTTAGCGACTGCTGCTGATGCTGATGCATCCGCCCCTCTTGCTCCGTTGCGTGCTGCTGTTGCTAATGGTGCTGCATGAGCGGGTAGGTCTGGCTGTCTGGTCTGGTAGGGTTGGGAGGAAGTGTGACTAGGCTCGGCGAAGGGTTGTTTGCTTGCTAGCGACTCGTTGAGGTGCGGTGCTTGTTTGTGCTCCTGCCTTGCTTTTTACCCATGTCTGTCTTGTCTTCTCACTTGCACGAAATATTTTTTTCTTACCGCTACAACTGATACATTCGTCTGGCGTTACCTACTGATCTGGCACCTTCTAAAAGACCAGCGGCATGATATGTGCCAAGAGGGAGCAATTGAGCTTCTGAGGAACTCTCAAATGGGGCATGTAACCTGCTCCTGGATGCTCTAAACCCGTGCTACTACATGATTTTGGAGTGATCTGCTTGGTTAGACTGTGGCTTCGACTATAAGCTTTAAAACGCCCGTTAGTACTACCACCCCTAGTGCTCTCCCTACTTCTTGTCCCCCATCGTCCTCACTCACTCCTTGTGCCACCCTTGCACACCTTTTCCCCTTGTCTGTTTCCTCTGGCTCCCCCTCCACCGTCCATCATCGCAGAAAGGTAACGAACAACGCACCGCCAGCGCCGCCTCCCCAGCCAGGCCCACCCGGTCACCTCGCTCCTGTGCCCATGCCGGCGCCTGTCCCTCAACAAGACCCCATCCCCTCGTGAACATGAGGCGTTTCTTCTGAGGATTGACCAGGCTTCAGGGGGGAGAGGAAGACAGGGCAAGAAGAGGGGGGGGAGGGGGAGGGGGAGGGGAGGAGGAAGATACGTTGTTGGAAGCGGCTTTGGCTTTGCTGCTAGTTACATTCTTACCGGTATGTTACAGCGAAGACCAGGGCTGGTCATGATGTATCGTGATCATGATCACTGGGCGCTTGAGAGCTGCTGATTGAATCGGGGGCTTCTTCTTACCAAGGGGGCTGAGTTGCATCCCCCTTACAGGGTGTCTACATGCGAAGTTTCAAGTAAATGCTCAGTACAAGCTCAGGTGGAAGGTCAGGTGAAAGTTCAGGTAGAAATGGTGGAATAAGAAGGGAGCGGCAGTAGGGGGGCTTTTAGGGGGTGGGGTGGTGGTGCAGGGGGTTCGGCCGGACCTCAGGAGGGTGTAACAGCTAGTCAGGTTGGGTTGGGTCTGACTGACTCATGCTGATTGTTGAATGTTGCCTGGCATGGCATGGCACAGCTCTGCATGGTTGTAGCTTATACGCTGATGGCTGTGCATGTCTGTTGCTTGTTGTAACAGTTGAAACACTTCAGTTTTAGTTGTATGGAATGTTCAGCCAATGTGATTGGCAAATTCATCCTTAGCATACATTAAGTTTCTCCCACTTGCATGTCTTTGAATGAACTGGAGAATTTCGTGCCCAGTACTTGGAAAGTAAAGATGATTCATCTGAAATAATCAAAAGCAAGAGCTGCTTCCCATACAACAGATAAGTAGTACTTGTATCAAAACGAGGGGTAAGAATTCACCCTTGCCATTGGGTGGGTGGGTGGGTGGCCTATCAGAAGTCTTCGTCATTGGCACTCGGCAGTGTAACGGGCACGGCCCATCGCCCCAAATGCGCAGTATAGTTGATACACCTCACCACCCCCTGCCCCACAACTCCTGCTGAAATCCCCTGCTTTCCAGTTGCCACTCCTGCTCCTCCTACCGCTCCTGCTGCACCGTCCCCCTTACTGTCAGACTCGTTACTGCTCTCAGGCTCGCCAACACCATCAGGAAAATCGACAACAGTGATGCTCCCAGGGTCGAGGCGGAAGCTTCCCAGGGCATCGTCAGGAAGCTTCAGGCAGGAAGCAAGCATTGCCTGGAACACTGTTTCGTGGCCGACCACTATAACGGTTTCGGATCGCTCAATGGGGGGACTTCCGGGGCCTGCTTCTGTAGCCGCTGCCACATCAGCACCTGCACTTGCTGACCTGTCGCGTTGCACTTCTGCCAGGTGGCGACGAATGACGGTCCATACCTTGTCAGCGCGGTCCCACAGGGATGGCAGGGATTCTCCGTTGGTAACGGCTGCAGATTTGATCTGATCCTCCCAGCGCTCGTGTGCTGATACCTCGGCCCTCATTGCTCCCTGCAAAAAATGGGAGGTCGACAGGGGGTTGTGAGGAGGACAGAACTAGAAATGTCAGGCAAAATGACAGGCAAAATGTCAGGTGAAATGTCAGGCAAAATGATAGGCAAAATGTCAGGTGAAACGTTAAGCAGACCCACAGAAGACAGTGAGGGACACAAAGGAGACAATGAGAGACACAATCCCATGGCCTCACTCCCCACTCACCTCCCACGTCCCGTAGCTGAGATCTGTGAGCCCTTGCACACATCTGTGAGTCCTCTCCACCTTGCACTTGCACCACATCCATGAATCGCGGTTCGCAGTCCGCTCCCGGGCAATACTCCGCCTCCTGCACCTCCAGCACCGCTTCAGCCTACCACCCACGTGCCTCCTCACTCACCTCCCATGTGCCGTATTCTAAGTCTGTCAGCTCGTCCACCTTCACCACATCCACGTATTGCGATTCGCAGCCCGCTCCCAGGCAGTCCGCCGCCTCCTGCACCTCCAATTCACACCAAGGGGTCATCTCACCTCCCACGTGCCATAGCCAAGGTCTGTCAGTTCTTCCACTGTCACCACATCCACATATCGCGGTTCGCAATCTGCTCCCAGGCAGTCCGCCGCCTCCTGCACCTCCAGCACTGCTTCAGCGGTGCGCGTGGCGCGGGGGAGCGGCGACGAGAAGATGGTGTCCACCCGCAGGTCCAGCAGGAGCTCGGCGGTCTTGCGCGACTGCACCACGCCCAGCATGTTCAGCGGCTCCTGGGAGGACCTTGGGAACCGCCGCTGCGCCGAGCTGTCGGTGTCACCGTGGCAGACCAGTATCACTCTGGCTTTCGCCTTTCTCCCACCCGAAACCCCGGCCAGTATGGGCGGGGCGGGGGTCTGGAAGCAGAGCAGAGGGGGGGAAGGGGAGGGGGGGAAGGGTAGGGGGGAAAGGGGAGGGGGGAAGGGGAGGGGGGAAGGGGAGGGGGGCATCTTGGAAACCGCCGCTGGGCTGAGCTGTCGGTGTCGCCGTGGCAAACGAATATCACTCTGGCTTTCGCCTTTCTCCCACCCGAAACCCCGGCCAGTATGGGCGGGGCGGGGGTCCGGAGGTGGAGGGTGTCGGAGCAGGGAAAGCGAGGGGGAAGGGGAGGGTTAGTTTGTGAAAGTCGTATTCTGAAAGAGATGGAGATTAGACAGCCTACTGAGGCACACGTAGGACAGCAGATACTCCTCCTCCTCCTCGTTTATCTGTTTGCGTCACACCTGACTGCATCACACCTGACTGCGTCACACCTGGTTGAGCCTGTTGAGGCACACATAAGGCAGAAGATACTCCTCCTCCTCCACCCCTTTCTCAGCAGCTGCCACAGCATCCACCACCAACCCCCCAGCCTCACTGCGGCTGTAATAGTGCGTCTACGGAGGCAAAGAGCCACTGGGACTGTGACACACCTGGTTGAGCCTGTTGAGGCACACATAGGGCAGAAGATACTCCTCCTCCTCCACCCCTTTCTCAGCAGCCGCCACAGCATCCACCACCACCCCCCCAGCGTGACTGTAGTCATGAGCCTTGTACGGAGGCACAGCCTCACTGTGGCTGTGGCTGTGCGGCTTATAATGAGGGACGAAGTCCAGCACGCTGACGCCGCAGTTGCTCTGCAGCAAGAGACGGAAATACTCAGGTCCCAGGCCTGGAAGAGGGGGGAGGGGGGAGGGGGAGTGGGGAATGTGGGGCGTGTGAGGAAAGGGGGGAGGCGAGAATGGGAAAGGTGGACATAGTGAGGGACGAAGCCCAGCGCGCTGACGCCGCAGTTGCTCTGCAGCAAGAGACGGAAGTACTCGGGCCCCAGGCCTGGAGGAGGAGGGCGGGGGGGAATGGGGAAGTGGGGGGGGATTTAGGGGGAATGGGAAGGGTAGTGCGAGAGGGAAGGGGGAAAGGGAAGGTAGAAAATTGGGGGAAGTGGGAAATGTGGAAAGGTGGGAGGAAAGAAAGGTCTCTCTGCAGTAGCGGGGGAAAGAACCCGGGAAGCATTTTTTAGTCGACTCAAAAGTCACCTCGGGAACCAGGCCCAGGGACTGGGTTGGACGGGACTGGATGTTGATCTCAAAGGCCTGGAGAGGTGCATGTTTCATGTATGCACGTCTCATGACATTGATGCAGGTTCGAGCACATTCAAGCACACTGATGCACACTGATGCACATTGATGCACATTGATGCACATTGATGCACACTGATGCGCATTGATGCACATTGATGCACATTGATGCACATTGATGCGCATTGATGCGCATTGATGCACATTGATGCACGTTGATGCACACTGATGCGCACTGATGCGCATTGATGCACACTGATGCGCATTGATGCACATTGATGCGCATTGATGCACATTGATGCACATTGATGCGCATTGATGCACATTGATGCACATTGATGCACATTGATGCACATTGATGCACGTTGATGCACGTTGATGCACACTGATGCGCACTGATGCGCATTGATGCACACTGATGCGCATTGATGCACATTGATGCGCATTGATGCACATTGATGCACGTTGATGCGCATTGATGCCAATTTATGCGCATTGATGCACATTGATGCACATTGATGCGCATTGATGCACATTGATGCACATTGATGCACATTGATGCACATTGATGCACATTGATGCACATTGATGCACATTGATGCACATTGATGCACATTGATGCACATTGATGCACATTGATGCACATTGATGCACATTGATGCACATTGGCATTGATGCACATTGATGAGCATTGATGCACATTGATGCACATTGATGCAAATTGATGCACATTGATGCACATTGATGCGCATTGATGCACACTGAGGCACGTTGATGCACATTGATGCGCACTGATGCACATTGATGCACACTGATGCACATTGATGCACATTGATGCACATTGATGCATATTGATGCTCATTGATGCACATTGATGCACATGGACGATTCAGATACAAAGTTCTTTTACATAGACATTAATGCAATCAGAGACACATTAATGCAATCAGAGACACATTAATGCATTCAGAGACGCATTAATGCACAATCAGGCACTCTCCTATGTGCATGCCTGCGGGAATGTAATCGTGCACATTCACGAGCACAGCATGCAGCATGCAGCACAAAGCACACAGTCATAGTTTTTTTTTTAATTCTCAAAAAGTTATCACACATGTACATGCCTGTGTGCATGTAATCCTGCACATTCACGAGCATAGCATGCAGCACACAGCATGCAGCACACAGCACACAGCACACAGCAAACAGTGATAGGGTTTTGAGAATTCTAAAAAAGCGATCACAGATGTACATGACTACATGTAATCCTGCACATTCACGAGCACAGCGCACAGCACAGCGCACAGCACAGAGCACACGCTCACCTGTGGCAGTGGCCACAAGAGCCTGGTTCACCGCATTATGTGCCACCACGAGCACGGACCGCCCCTCGCTCCGCAGAATTTCCTGCCAGCACACCGCCGCCCGCGCCCACAGCTCCCGCACGGGGTAGTGCCCGTCGATCTCAAAGTTGGCTGCGTCCTTCTGCCACATGCGGTAGTTCTCGCCGAAACGAGCCTTGCCCTCTTCTTTGAATAGGCCCTGGTAGAGGGATGGGGTGGGGGGGACAGGAGGAGGGGGACGTCAAATGAGCAGCGCTTTCACACCTCAGAATATTCTGGGGTGTGCAAGGCGTGTTTTTTAGAAATCTCAACAAAAACCTGCAATATTCCGGGGTGTGCAAGGCGTGTTTTTTAGAAATCTCAAAACACACCCTGCAATATTCTGGGGTGTGCAAGGCGTGTGAAGAACCGAGGTTACCGTGACGTGACGGACGGACAAGTTCTCCTAACGAGTCTACCTGAAACGAGTACAGATCAATCTCCCTCAGATCGTGCAGCGGGATCATCGGCGCCGTGCGTGCCGCCCAAATAACCTCCGCTGTTCGCGCTGACCGCTGCAACGGGCTGCCCAGAAAACGAAATTCGAGGAGAAGGGGGACGGGAGGGGGGAAGGGGGAGAGGAGGGGAGGGGGAGAGGGAGAGAAGTCGAGAGGGGGAGAGGGGGAGAGGAGGTGAGGGGGAGGGTAGCAGAGCACATTAGGAATTGTTGACCTACGAAACCGAATGTGGACGCAAGCGAGAGACTAATCTCCTAAAAATATTGAAAAGGCGGAGTTAATCACCTATGGAAGCACAAATCGAATGAGTCCGCAGCAAGCATCTGCCGGCTCGTCTCGGCTTGGCTCTCGCCTTTCGCGGTCAGCACGGAAAAGTCCGAGCTGCCCTGAATCCTGCCCGTCGCGTTCCACGTGCTCTCCCCGTGTCGCACCAGCACCACGCGCTTCGCCTCCTTAATCACCGGAAACTCGAACCCAGCCAGATTCGGCGCGCTCTGCGGCGCCGAGCCTGCATCTCGAACCTCCGTTGCCGTCTCGGCAACGGTGGACGCCGTCGCGCTCGCTGCTACATTACCACCCGAACCTAACGTCCCCCAAGCTGCTGACGAGGCTCGGCTAACTGCCCTGCGCTGGAGGACTGGAGCCGAACCAGAGAGATATTTTCTCGCGCCGGCCAATAGCGTCGCGGGCAAGTGTGTTCGGCCAGAGGCGAAGGCGGTGCGAATGAATGGGAGAGACGCGGCGGAGGGCGACGCTGGGAGGAGGGACGAGGTTGATAGCCATGGGGCAGACACAGACAGAATGGGCGGCTGGGAACGCAGCAATGTCGCCATTTGGTAGAATCAATGAGCGGAAAAACCGCGAATGCGGCGTGTTGATCCTTCTAGCGGCGCGAAAATCCGCGAGCTTCTACGGCGGCGAGGAAGGAGCTTCTGAGCGGAAGGTCGGTCGACGAGTACCCACGGTGCAGGAGAAGCATTCGATAATCACTCCCTCACGCTGCTGCGCCAAACCAGAATGCAAGAAATAAGGGCGCGCTTCTCTGGATTCTCAACAGGGTTGTTTCATAACAGAAACATACTAAACGACAAGCATTTCCAGGGCCAAATTTGAGAACATCCGTTCTGTTGAGAGTACAGCGAAAAGGCTGGACGCATTTGATTTTTGAGGTGCCTCAAAAATCGTCGCATTTGATTTTTGAGACACCTAAAAAAAGGCTGGACGCATTTGCAAATGCGCAGTCCAGCCAGGCTTGCAACAATTTTCCACAACAGGAAGGCCATGGGTCGAAACCAGTGGCGGCAGAAAATGGCTGGCGGGGGCGGGCGGGAGGGAACAAGCATGGGTATGTGAAAAATGGCTGGCTGTTTCTATAACGCGTATTGTACCCGCCTGCTGTACTGTTGATGTTGGCCTAAGGACGCTAGAACTGGGGACTTCAATAAACTCACCTCTAGTAACGGATGTCATAACTTGAGTTCTGGTACATAAGCCCGATTATATACAAATTGAAAGCATGGTACATAAAAATACATGGCACAAGGAGTGCCGCAAAAACTAGAGGCCACAGAGACCATTGTCCAATCACCTGGTGCACCCATGGCAGGAGCCTCACCTCATATCCGTGCAACTTGTACTGCATAGCATCGCCAATTCTACCACTCCACGTTCCTCCTATCCAGACCCTGTGAACGTGAAATTGGCACACCAGGGGCAAAACGGCTTCCAAAACTGGCCCCTCATATCCCCACTTGGCTTACTGCTCGTCGTAAATAGCGCGTAATACTCCCAAGGTTTCTTCGTCATCGAGTTTATTGCTGTCTCCATGTCCTGGCCGTTAGCAACCGTAACCGCGCTTGCATTCGCGACAAACGAGTGCTTGATCACCTCGTACTCATCGTCGTCTATCAGCATCCACGACCCAGGGACCTCCATTACAAGCGGCCCCGTTTGCCCGTATTGCGCCTTGCGGATCTCCACTTTTTGCACATTCGGCAGGCATTTACTGTTTGCGTAAAATTTCACGTATGATACGTTTTGAGGGGACCTGGAGCAGAGGAGTGGAGGGGAGGGGAGGGGGGGGGAGGAGGAGGGGAGAACCAGAGAGCAATCTTGGGCCGAAAAGAAGCTGACTGAACGCAAGAGAAAAGCAGGAGGCAAGGGGGCAGGGGCAAACAAACAGACGAGTGAAACACATAGACAAGATCAAACACCGGGCAACGAAACAGAGATGCCGAAACATATGAGAGAGCAGGAGAGTCCGGAGGTGTAGGCGAGAGCAAACACGGAATCAAGAAAAAAGGAAGAGCAGCGGCGAGCGAGAAACTCACGTGTATTTGATGATGCGCACGTTGCCATTCGGCTCAGAGCAATCATCATGATGGTGATGGTCGTCATTACCATCGTCCCCTTCGTCATCACTGTGCTCCTGAATCTGGTACTGGCCCTCGCTCAGCTTAGTCACACTCGCATCAGGCGCTATAAAGAGCGCTGCACTCGAGCTTCCCAGCGCTTTGGGGATGTTTGGCTGCCGGAAAAAGGTCAGAATGGCTTTAAGCTTTCCCCTGGCGGCAGCGCTGGCAGTGCTGTTGCTGCTGAGCCATTGGACGCTGTTCCGGATGCTGCTGATGCTGTAACCAACGAACCGGTTACCCTGGAACCAGCGAAATAAGTTAGAAGCTTTATATGAATGCACTGTAGATACTGTAGACCGTGAGGAGGTTCTTGAGGGGGATAGCAGAGGGCGCGAGGAGGAGGAGGAGGAGGGGGAGGAGGAGGAGGAGGAGGAGGAGGAGGAGGAGGAGGAGGAGGAGGAGGAGGAGGAGGAGGAGGAGGAGGAGGAGGAGGAGGAGGAGGAGGAGGAGGAGGAGGAGGAGGAGGAGGAGGAGGAGGAGGAGGAGGAGGAGGAGGGGCGAGAGGCGGGAACTGGTGGGGTCTGACTGGAGGAGGCGTATTTGGACAGGCTGTTGCTGAGGGCGAGGTTGTACCTGTTGGCCTGGGTGAAAAGAATGGCTGGCGAAGAGGGAACAAAGGGGAGGGGGGAGGGGGGGAGGTGTGGAGCAGAGAGGGGGAGGGGGGGGGGGGTTGTGGAAGGTGGGGTTGGGGCACAACGACGGGCGAGGAAAGGGCGGTTTGTGAGGGCGGTGCGACGCGGGGAAGGCGACGAGCGAGCTACGCGGACGTGGTTGGTTGGGAGGGGGAAAAAGAGAACTCACAGTCGATCTTCCCCAGGGGAATCGAGCCGTTCAGAATGCCCTCGACAGTCGAGAAAACTCACAATTGATTACGCGACCATTGAGGCGACTCAAAAGAGAACTCACAATCGATTTTCCCCAGGGGAATCGAGCCGTTCAGGATGCCCTCGATGTAGTCCAAGAACGCATCGTAGCCGTCCGATTGAGCGAGGGAGAGAGGGGCGGAGGAGAGGAGGAGGAGAGGGAGGAGGAGGAGGAGCGGGAGGGCTCGGGCTGTTGGGAAGGACGTTATGGGAAAAAGATGGAGAAACAAGACAGAGTAAGATGGGGGAGGTGTGACAGGATAAGATGGTATCATGACAGGATTACAGATGGGACATAGGGCCATGAAAAAGATATGGCAGGGAGAGCGGGAAGGAAGGGAGATGAAAGCAATCGAGAGACACACGAAGAAGGGGAGGAACAGGGGAGACTTTTTAGTGGACTCAAAATACACCACGAGGGACGGCGCGATGCTCACGGGGGAGAAGGAGACGGGGAGGAACGGGGGAGGGCAGCATGAAGCTTACGCGGGACAAGGAGAAGGTAGTACCTAGTAGGATGTGGAGCTCACCTCCCCGTGCGGCATCGCGACCGGACAGCATCTCGTGCGACTGGCTCGGGATGTGACTGTGATCCCGTGCTCCCGCTTGTTGAACAAGCAAAAAAACAGATACTAGTGGAAGTTTAAAAACGGGATTTGAAATAATAGGACAATTGAAGTGGGACTTTTGGAAGCGTCGTGTCGGGATACTTCGCGAGAACGGCGAATATGTTATCCTGTCACGTCTAAGTGCACTACTACTATCGCGTACGTTCGCCCTCAGACGCTGGCGCGGTGCGTAGCCTATGTCACATGACTTAATCAAGCATGGAACCAATCTACTAGCAGCCTCGGCAGAGGTTCAACGGCTGTATGGTGTGGACAACACGACGCATCGTAACCCTGGGACAGCAGCCTAGGCGATGGTTCTTTTCTTGGCGAGTGAAGGGAGGTGGTGCTGCTGGGGGGAAAGTGAACAGTACAGTATAGAGCTGCTGGGATGGGTGTGCTCGTTACCGCCAGAAACAGGGGCAGTAAGGGGTAGAGAGTGGGGAGAGGAGAGAGAGAGCGGCGGGGGGGGGGGGGGGGGGGAGGGGAGGAGGAGAGGGGAAGGGCGCCTTGTGGTTCGGGGGTGTGTTTGGGACTTGGTTCGGTCAGCTAGCGGCGGCTGCTCTGGCTGGTAAGGTGGTGTTGTGTGACGCGGCGTGGTTCGCACCGTGCTTTCTGCCCCCTGCCCCTACTGGTTCGGAAGGAATTGCTGGTTCGGATACGGAAAAACGACACTCGTTGCAGCTTTGATGTGAGACGCGCCTCGGGACGAGGGGGCTGATAGGGCAGGACAAACGTCAGGAGAATTTCAGAACCTGGAAGCTCCACCAATCAGGTGTAACTGATTGCCTCAATGTGAAGCCGCAATATTGTCCCTGTCCGAACGAGGAAACGACTACAATCTACCTAGATAAAAAGTCATTAAACAAACATCTATCCAAATCCATAACAGTTACCGAATCTGTTTGTAGATTAATGTCGTTTTCTTTACTGTTGTCGTGTGACGACGCACTGTTCACGAAGCCATACAACTGTTTGATTTCATGACAAAAACGGAAACTCGCTGCAAACGACAGAAAATTATTATCGATTGCTAAAAGAAAAATCAGGACTGAGTCTTAACGAAAAACTAAAACCCTTTGGGAACCCGCATGCCTTTCGGGATGGGTAAACCCTCAACTCGCGGAATTGTTTACGAGTTCAGGGTTGATGCCTCCCGAGTCGTTTGCGGGTGCCCTAAGGGTATTAGTTTATTTCTTGTCACTGCCCGAAATACTGTTTCGTACAAATGCATCTAGGCACTATTTCTTGCGAGCACACACTGTATCAACGAGAAAGGCCATAAATGACAGTTGACTTGCGCGTCGTTTTCTATACAAAATGCTGGCAACGACAGCGCGATCTGCAAGTTTCGGAATTGTTTTTGAACTGTCTGGATTCCTGGAAAACATTTGTCTGTCAACTTTTCATTTGGGTAGATTTTAGTCGTTTCCTCTGCCCGAACGGGAATTTTATCATCGTCGACCAGGGGCGATGCTGCTCACCGACATGTTTCGTTTGGTGGAGAGGAAGCAATAGTGGATGCCAGCCCAACAGATCAGGGGCAATAAGCGTTACTGAATTCCCGACCACCATTGGCTCACGACGGTTGACTCCCGCTTCTGCCAAATATCAGCCGGAGAGTGCGATAGCTGGATGAAATAGACGACCGATCCACAAGGGCATTGTACTTCAAAAAGCAGTTAAATATACTAGCCATCGCAACTTCACTACACACTTTGCTTGGTTGGTAGATGCAACCTAAAGCCAATGACATACCGTAGTGACTTCCCTACCCACATGTTGGCGTGGCAAACTAAACCTACGATCCAGTGAAAGTAAAGTTTGCACACCATGGGCAGAAGGGCTTCCAAAACTGGCCCCTCATTGCACCACTCTTCTTGCTCCCTGTCGTAAAAATAGCGTAGTAGTTCCACGGCGCCTTGGTCATTGATATGACCGCCTCATCCATGGTCTGCCCATTCGATACAGTCACACTGCTCGCATTGGCAATGAAGGTGTGTTTGACCAGCTCGATCTCGTCATCATCCCAAAGAACCCACGATCCCGGAATTTCCATTACAAGGGCCCCCGTTTTCCCGTAAGGTGCGTTGCGGATTTGCACTTTGCGCACGTCGGCCAAGCATTTGCTCTTGGCTCGGAGGATCACAAAGGAGACGTTCTGAGGGGAGCTGCATAAATGGGAGGGGGTGGTTGCGAATACAAGCAGCAACGGAAGGGATATAATATGTGAATGCTTATCATGGTGTCCAGCACCTGGTTCTCAGATGGGTGGATAAAAGGATATTAGGGTCTGCAACCAAATATCATGCTCAAATCTCAAGGTCCTTCAAAGAACCTGGGTGAGGGTTAGGATACTGAACAGATGGGAAACTGTGCTGCTTCAGGAAGCACCATGCAGTAGCCAACTCAAATGAGTTCAATTGCATTCACACTTACGTGTATTTGAAGATTCGCACTCTCCCCGTCGGCTCTACGCACTCGGGCTCATCGTCGTCCTCCTCATCGTCATCATCGGACTCAATGCGGTACTGTCTCCCACCGTGCCGTGAGCTGGAATCATCATCACCGTCATCACTTTGCACGACAACAGCCCCACCACTTTGTCCATAACCTTGTGCGTAATTTTGACCCGAGACCTGCCCGGAATTCGACGGCGCAGCAATCGGCACCGCGCTTTGGGCAGCTGAAAGTTGTGTGATTCCTTGCGCTTCCAGAGAGACCTTGGCACCCACCGGAATGAAAAACGCAGACTGCATGGATCCCAGTGCTTTTGACAGGCTCGGCTGCTTCAGCAGCTTGAGCACCATGTTGAGCTTTGCGAGATTGGATTTGCTGACTGTCGCGTTGCTGCTCAGCCACTGCACGCTGCTCCGAATGAAGGCGAGAGAGGGCGAGTCGGATTTGGCAACGCCTAAGAGAACAAGGATGAAGCGTAAGAAAGGGCCTAGGTTGCTGCTGCTGCCGCCACTGCTGCTGCTGCCGCCATTGCCGCCGCTGCCAGCTGCAGTGGTAGAAGCAGCACTGGGGAGGGAGGCACTGCGGGAGACGGACTTGGTGCCGGCTTTATTGCTGAGGTACAGGTTGTACTGATTGGCCTGGGTGAACAACATGGCTGCAGGAGGAGGGGGAGGGGGGGAGGGGAGGGAGGGGGGGTGGGAAGGAGGAGGGGGTAGAGAGAGAGGAGGGATAAAGTGGTAAAGCGGTAGGGAGAAAGCGGACGGATTACAAGGAACAAGGCCCAATTTTGGAAGAAATTCCGAGTTTTTTATTTGTGGATTGCACCCGTTCCAGCACTCACAGTCGATCTTGCCGACGGGTGTGGAGCCGTTAAGAACGCCTTCGATTTCATCCAAGAATCCATCGTATGTCGTCTGCGTGCGTGTATGCGTGGCTAGCGACAAGAGCAGAGCAACCAGGAGAATCGGCCGAGCTGACACGTGGCGGAACGAGGAATGGAGAGTGTAAGATCACAACCATCATGACGAATCGTGGGGGGAGGGACGGCAGGAAAGAGTTGGAGTTGCGAGGAACAGAAGCAGCGTTGGGGGTGAAGGGAAGCGAAAGATAAACATCACGGCGTCATGCTTTTGAGTCCACGCAAAAGCATGTGTGCACATGAACCGAGCGCCTAATGCCTACTATGAGGTCTGAAATGAATGGAGCAGCATCACCACCTATTTAGCAGGCTCGTTGAGGCCCACACTACTATGTACTAGTAGGCTGGAAGACCGTGTTCCTATGTAGGCGGGAAGCTTACCCGGCGACCATGACGACCCCATGATGAGCGAGCGTCACGCTCTACCAAGATTTAATTGACGGTCAGCTTGAACTTGACGGCAATAAGGAGTCTCAACACGGCGCCTCCCACTGTGCGTCTTGTAGTAGACTTGACGTTCTAATAGGTGATCAATAAGGCTTCTCGCTAAGGAGTTTCGCGTTTCCGCGAGGCGTCACGTCTCAACAAGGCGTCTTTATCGGGCGATTCCAATTCGATATACCTTTGTCCGTGATTTTACGTAGTGAGTCGCTAATGAAGCCCCGAGCCCTTATCATGTGAGTCTGGAGTCAAAATTGAGACTGAATTTTGTCTCGTTTTGCTAGATAGACAATCTACCGGACTGAAATGAGTCGATTCAAGAGTAGGTAATTCGTAATGTCAATACTGCCATAAATCTAGGACGCGCCTCGCGTTAGACTGCAGTCTGAGCTCGGCAGGAAACTGGGCGACAGGGCCTGAGCTGTCAATCCAGTGAACCAGCAGCAATACAATCACAGTTCTGTAGCAATGGCGGCCAATCACAGTACTGTAGCAGTTTAGCAGCAGCCCCACATTGGGGTTTGGGGAGGGCTTGGTGTTGGGGGATGGGAGGAATGCGGCGAGGAGGGGCTGGGCAAAAGCCAGGGCTGGCTGGCTTGCTTTGCGTTGGGTTGGCTCGGGCAGCCCTTGCCTCCCTCGGTCTGAGCCCAGTCCATCCCTCCTGGCCTAGAATCCTGGAGTCCCCTCGCCTCCCCCCCCAGGAGCAGGAGGCTCAATTGTGTTGCTGGCGGGTGGGGGGGGAAGGGGGGGAAGGGGAAAGGACCTTTGGAGTTCTGGCCGCAACCCATCAGTGATTCGGTTTGGGATGACGGGCCAGTCGCCAGCAGCCGTTTTCCCCCGAACCAGCAAACTAGTGCCATTGGGTGACCTGCCCTCTCACGTTCGGCAACATTTGGTTAGATGACAACGGGGAAGACCCTGCTGCCAGACCGAGCCGAGCTGAGCTTCAGGTACTATGCTACAAACCTGGCGATGCGTCAAACTGTGCGACTCCTCTTCCCCCTTTTGAAGATCGAGTCAAATAGAGTACACCTGACCCAGAGTACATTCTTGAACCCGAGGCGCAGGGCGGCAGGGGAAGATTGGCTGGAATAATAACGAAAGCTCCCAAGTCCTCGGCCCAAGCAGTTCAAGAAGTCCAGAACTTGAAGCGGGGAAAGCACAAATCGGCACACTCAAGGGCGGCAGGGTGTGGCATGGTGCACTACGACAAATGTATTCCATAAAATCAACTGACGTCTAAAAACATCATACCCCTTCAACTTATTTCCCAAGGTCCAAACATCAGGACTCTAATAATCAAAAGCCACCGAGAAAGTGGAAACTCATGCCTTAATACGTAAATTTGGATGTGAATGCGAAATTCACAAAACACGGCCAAGGAGGCGCACCCCTAACTGGGGCCTCCACGCCTTGAAGACTCCTTTATCCTGTAAATGTATAGTTTGCGCACCAAGGGCAGAAGGGCTTCCACAGTTGGCCTCTTATCGCACCACTCGCCTTCGTCGCCGTCGTGAAAATGACATAGTAGTTCCACGGTGCCTTGGTAATCGTCCTGATCGCCGCCTCCATGGTCTGCCCATTTGATACAATCACGGCGGTTGCGTTGGCGATGAAGGTGTGCTTCACTAGCTCGATTTCCCCATCATCCCAAAGAACCCACGATCCCGGAATCTCCATTACAAGGGGCCCCGTTTTCCCGTAAGGGGCGCTGCGGATTTGCACTTTGCGCACTCCTTCCAAGCATTTGCTCTTGGCTCGGAGAATTACATAGGAAACGTTCTGAGGGGAGCTGCATAAACGGGAAGGGATGGTTGCGGACGGGAGAGGGGCGAGAAAAGGTGAACGCATTGCATGGTGTCCTGGTCACAAATCGCTAGTGAAAAGCACGAAGGAAATTAATGCGATGGGGGAACATATGACAACTGATCATGCATGTATTTAATCAAAACTCTTGCATGTATTGATTATGCACACTCACGTGTATTTGAAGATTCGCACTCTCCCCGTCGGCTCGATGCACTCAGGCTCATCGTCGTCCTCCTCGTCGTCATCGTGGCACTCGACGCGGTACTGTCGCCCGCCGTGGTGTCTACTCTCGTCGTCGTCGCCGTCGTGTAGCACTTCAACCGCGCCGTAGCTTCGCACAGAGTTCTGACTGTAACTCTGCGTGGAAACTTGCGCCGGCGTCGGCGCGGTATCGGGCACCGTGGCTTGCGCAGCCGTGAGGTTTGTAACGCCTTCGGCCTCCAGGGTAACCTTCGAATCCGGGGGTACGAAAATAGCGGTTTCTTTCTTCCCCTGAGCTTTAGCCATGGTGGGCTGCTTCAGCAGCTTCAAAATCGTGTTTAACTTAACGCGGTTGGCTGCTTTGACCGTCTCCTTGCTGCTGAGCCATTGCACGCTGCTCCGAAGGGTGGCTAGCGACGGAATTGGTTGCCACTTGGAGGTGGTAGCAGTGCCGCCGCTGCCGAAGCCAAAGAGTGAGGAAAAGAAACGAAAGATAGGGCCCGGGGTGTTGCCGTTACTGCCGCTCCCACCACCAATGCCGCTGCCACTGCCGCCAATGTCGCTGCCGGGATCCGAAGCAGAGCTGGGGAGCCCGTTACTGCGGAAGGCGGACCTGGGGGAGGTGGATTTGGCGCCGGCTTTACTGCTGAGGACAAGGTTGTACTGATTGGCCTGGGTGAACAACATGGCTGCAGGGAGGAAGAGGAAGAGGAAGGCGGGAGGAGGGGGGGAGGGGGGGGGGGGGGGGGGGGGGGAAGGGGAAGGGGCGGGGGAATAAAACGGGAGAGGGTAAGCGGAGAGCGCATCATGTAAGGGGATAAAAGGGGAAGTTTATCGACGCATAGAAAGTCGACGGACAAGGGAGAAAATCCTTGGTGGAATGGGTTCCCATATCGGTTTCATCCGTATCAAACACTTACAGTCGATCCTGCCGACGGGTGTGGACCCGTTAAGAACGCTCTCGATTTGGTCCAAGAAACCGTCGTACGTCGTCTGCGCGCGTGCATGCGCTGCCAGCGACAAGAGGAGGACGGCCAGGAGAATCGGCCGACCTGACACGTGGCAGGTGGGAAATGGAGAGCGCAGGAGGGGGAAGAGAGATACTATGGCAGACGAAATAGAGAGGAACAGGACTGATGGAATGACAGCGGCGCGCGTGTGACATGCGCGTGGCGCGTGCGTGGCTTGCGAGCGGCATGACGTGGCACTGTGCGACGGAAGGGACGCTCACCAGACCGTGGAGGCCCCATTAGCAAGACGGGAGTAGACGAATGTGAAAACTAGAGCGGATGGTTCGAGAAATTTTCTTGAAATTAGCAAGTGAGCGTAATTTATTGAACTGAACCTATCAGTCTGGGAGCACGGTCAGTAGCTCAGACAGTGCAGTGTATTCTAGAGGAACGAGCAAGGTGTTCTAGTGAGTATCATGGCGTCTCTCTCTAGCTCAACTCTTGCACGCGGACTTCCTGCTGATAGATTTGAGCCGCAGCAAGCACAAGTCACTGGCCGTGAACTGTTCACGAGCATCAGCCGCCCAAGCTAGAGAACAAATCCGATGGCAAGCTGCTGTGGTTTCTGCGTCTGGTATGGTCCGTCTGGTTGAGTCCAGGTTCCAGCCGAACAGCTGTGGCACGGCAGTGGCTCAGCCATGGGAGGGCTAGGTCACGGAGATGGGGCAGGGTTATCTGATGGGGAACGGGGCACTGCTGTAAAAAACGAGGCGAATGGGGGAATGGCATGAAAATGGGGCCAGGGGAAGGAATGTGGGGAGGGGACGGGAATCGGGATCGATGAAAGTGTGCTCGGATTGGGGGGAGGAACAGGAGGAGGGGGGACTCTTGCGGAGGCTTGCGGCGGAGGCGGGACAAGGATGGTTGAGGTGAGCGCGGAGGACCGAGGGGCATTTCTGCTTGCCCTAGGTTGGTCCAGCGGACTGCCAAGGGAAGAGCTTTCTGTATTTCGTTGTTGGGGAGGGGCTGCTTTGTTGAAAAACGCTTTGGCGGCGCGCACATGGCCCACCCTGGGTGAACCTGGGCAGGAAGGCTGACCATCGGAAGAAACATCCAGCGCCCCCTTGGGGGACTCTCTAGCCCCTGTTATTATATAGGGCTGCTGAAAACAGGGGCTTGCCCATAGCGGGTTTCAAAGCCTTTCCGAACCACTTGGCGCTTGCGTGCGATAGGGCAATTGTGCCCCCTCATGCTCGACAAGGCTTGTCTGGCTCGAGCCGAGCCTTACCTGACGTAATCCTAGCCGATTATTGGCCCTTGGCTGGCGCTTATATAGGGGGGTCCAGGGCTGTAAGACGCCCTGGGAAGGAAGATCCTCACAACAAGCATGTGTGGGTGTCACCCTGGGAGGAACCCTGGGCTTGTCGGCGGGACAAACTTCGATCACGACAAAATCAAGTTTTGTGCGAATGTAGGATGTTCCACAAAGTGCTCCTTCAACAGCATAAGTGTGTACTCTGTGTACTGATTCCTGCAAATGATAAAGAGTTTCTGTAGCTAGCGAAGCGATCAAGAACGTCTCTTCGTTTATGCATGCGGTACTGTCAAACACGAGTTTTTATCTTTTAAAGGGTTTACTATAGACTCATATTGATGCAAGAAATCATCCGCGCCTTTCGTCACTTCAGATTACAGTTTATTGAGTAGAAATGGGAATTATGGGAATCCCTATCAGGTAGTGCACAGGGAGTTGAATGTGGCCATTCTGTGGAAAATCCAGCCCTGTCGTGGAGCATTCTGACCCACAAGACGCTTCGGCGGGAACCACAAGGTCTCCAGCAAGACATCATCAGCGATGATGACATACCCTGCAAGGTGGCCATTCTAAGTCCTGGGAACCTCGCAATGGTAGAAGAGAATTTCTCGGTGAAATTTCTAATTATACCATCTGACTAGTGCGAGTTTGCCCTGACAGGAACAATGGCTGCGAACGCGGCTCACCTGGCGCGAGTGAATGTCTCATCCGGGGTGCACGTTAGCAGCAGCTTTACTGTCAGTAGCTGCAGCAAAGGTCAAGCCTGGCCATCAGGAGTAACGGCGGTGCCGAAGCCGACGGTTCATCGGAGTCAGCTGGCCGTCAGAGTCCGAACGGGAAGCCGAGGACTCAGTTTTCACTCGCAATTGCGAACATCGCGATGTGTTATAGCGAGAGCGAGCAGGCAGGATGGCATGGACGGTTCAGGAGACGTCAGCATGGCGAACATGGAAGCTGACGGTCATGGTCGACTAAGAATTACCAATCCTACGGCTCGCTGTTCGGCGTCAGAGGAAAATCTAGAGTCTGAATGTGATGTGTCTGTAACGGAATTCAGCTCAGACACACTCGCGAATCCGAGTGACTTTAACGGGGGACGGAGAAGGCTGTTCCTACTCGGAGCTGCCGCTGGCTTGTGGGGTCTAATCCCGTTACTGCTGCCGGACACAGCCTCTCGTTACAGTCACGCCCGGGCGTTCAGCCTTCCTGGATTTGGAGCAGAAGCGTCTAGCTCTGCCTCGGCTTCGGCCTCAGGATCCGTGGCGCTGTCCATGTCATTTTCCACCTCAGCATCCGCGTCGGTGTCCACGTCAGCAGCCACGTCAGCATCATCATCAGCCGCTGCTGCAGCGGGGAGCACAGGAGGGTTTGTTCCTGTTCCTCCTGCGCGGATCGACCTAGCTGCTGCGCCCAGAGGCACGTTTGACCCCACGGATGAGCGCCTCAGGGCGGCTGCCACCACCTTTGAACGAGCCCTCACCGCTTCCACTGTGAGTAACTGTGCCTATATGTGAAGTGCCTATACAGCAAGTTACTGTAACGAGATGTGACTCACATGGTGGAAAGTGCCAGGGTTGAGATTGTGGGGGGGGGATGGGGAGGGGGATTCTGTTCCTAGCTGCAGCGCCCCGAGGCACGTTTGACCCCACGGATGAGAGGCTCAGAGCGGCTGCCACCACCTTTGAACGAGCCCTCACCGCTTCCACTGTGAGTCCCTGTGCCTACATGTGATTTGCTTCAAGTGCCTTTCACTGTAGCTACATGTGATTATAAGTGGGGGTGCTTGAGTGCCAGCTTGAATCGAATGTGGGATTGAATTGCAGCTGTCAGTGCTTCTTTGCAACTCTCACGAAGTGTTGGTTACGTTCTCCGGACTGTGCGTGCTGGTGGGAGGAGGAATCGTGCAAGAGAGCAGGGAGGACAGAGTGGGCGCCAGACATATACCCCTCTCTATGCTCACATCCATTAGTCTGCCCCTCTATTAGTGGGTATAACCCATGTGTTCGTGATGTCCTTTTGAGGCGTCTACTAACACAGGGAGCACAGACTGGGTAGCAGGAATGTACCCCTCTCTATGCTCACATCCATTAGTAGGTGACTTTTGAGTCGACTCAAAAGTCTCTCTATGCACATATCCATTAGTCTGCCCCTCTAGTAGTGGGTATACAGTATAACCCATAGTGATGCCCCTCTGCTCCCGGTCACATCATCCTGGCAGGTGGAGGAGGAGGAGGCGCTATGGACGGTGGTGATTCAATCGTGCGAGAGAGCGGGGAGCGCAGAGTGGGTGCCGGACATAGCGTCGAGAGCGCTGGGCAACCGGGGCAATGCGCGTTCCCGGCAGGGCCGACTGGCGGAGGCTCTAGATGACTACAACAAGGCCATCCAGTTCGCCCCGTACGTGCTGCTGCTTGCCCCATATGTGCTTGAATTAGCCTGAGCCCATGCTATGACGAGTTGTTCCATGCAATGCGTGGTCCAGGCAGGGCCAACTGCCGGAAGCTCTAGATGACTACAACAAGGCCATCCAATTCGCCCCGTACGTGCTGCTGCTTGCCATGCTGCTTCGCTTGTCGGGCTGTGTTGTGCTGTTCTGTGCCATGTCATGTTGTTCTGTGCCATGTCATGTTGTTCTGTGCCATGTCATGTTGTTCCGTGATATGGCATCGAGCGCACGGGAAACCCGGGGCAATGCGTGGTTGATATGTCAGGGCCGATTGTCAGAGGCCCTCGATGACTACAGCAAGGCCATCCACCTCGGCTGATATGTGCTGAAATCAGCCCATGCCATGACATGTCGTGCTATGACATGTTGTTGCATGACAGCGTCGAGAGTGCCGTTGGGCAACAGGGGTTATGCGTGGTCGAGACAGACCCGACTGGCAGAGGCTCTAGATGACTACAACGCCTGCATCTGGGCCATTACCCTCGCCAGCTCCTACAGGCCCTCGCCCCGTACGACCTGCTCCCTCCCATGCGATACGGAGGTCAAAGCACCCTTGCTATGCGTTTCTGAATTTCCAGTACCGTATGTGTGCTATGCAGTGCACTCCTCTCTTCCCCTCGCGCCCCTTGGCCCATCTGCCCCCTCTCTCCCCCCTCTCTTCGCCCTCTCTTCCCCCCTCTCTCCCCCCTCTCTCCCCCCTCTCTCCCCCCTCTCTCCCCCCTCTCTCCCCCCTCTCTTCGCCCTCTCTTCCCCCCTCTCTCCCCCCTCTTTTCGCCCTCTCTTCCCCCCTCTCTCCCCCCTCTCTTCGCCCTCTCTTCCCCCCTCTCCCCCCTCTTTTCGCCCTCTCTTCCCCCCTCTCTCCCCCCTCTCTCCCCCCTCTCTTCTCACACTCAGATGGTCCTCATAGTAGGCAGCAAGGGGGTACAGGCCACGTATCAGAGAGGCATTACACAAAGCTGCATAGTAATCCCCACTCTCTCTCCCCTCTCTCCCCCCTCTCTCTTCCCTCTCTCCCCCTCTCTCCCCCCTCTCTCCCCCCTCTCTCCCCCCTCTCTCCCCCCTCTCTTCGCCCTCTCTTCCCCCCTCTCTCCCCCCTCTTTTCGCCCTCTCTTCCCCCCTCTCTCCCCCCTCTCTTCGCCCTCTCTTCCCCCTCTCCCCCCTCTTTTCGCCCTCTCTTCCCCCCTCTCTCCCCCCTCTCTCCCCCCTCTCTTCTCACACTCAGATGGTCCTCATAGTAGGCAGCAAGGGGGTACAGGCCACGTATCAGAGAGGCATTACACAAAGCTGCATAGTAATCCCCACTCTCTCTCCCCTCTCTCCCCCCTCTCTCTTCCCTCTCTCCCCCCTCTCTCCCCCCTCTCTCCCCCCTCTCTCCCCCCTCTCTCCCCCCTCTCTTCGCCCTCTCTTCCCCCCTCTCTCCCCCCTCTTTTCGCCCTCTCTTCCCCCCTCTCTCCCCCCTCTCTTCGCCCTCTCTTCCCCCCTCTCCCCCCTCTTTTCGCCCTCTCTTCCCCCCTCTCTCCCCCCTCTCTCCCCCCTCTCTTCTCACACTCAGATGGTCCTCATAGTAGGCAGCAAGGGGGTACAGGCCACGTATCAGAGAGGCATTACACAAAGCTGCATAGTAATCCCCACTCTCTCCCCCCTCTCTCCCCCCTCTCTCCCCCCTCTCTCCCCCCTCTCTCCCCCCTCTCTCCCCCCTCTCTCCCCCCTCTCTCCCCCCTCTCTCCCCCCTCTCTCGCCTCTCTTATGCAGTCGACCCGGTCCTCAACTGATGCATGGCCATGCAATTTCTCTCCTCACCCTTTCTGTTTCCCCCTCTCCTCTCCACTCCTCTCCTCTCCTCTTCTCTCCTCTTTTCTCCTCTCCTCTCCTCTCCTATCCTCTCCGCTCCTCTCCTCCCTCCCCCCTCCCCCTCCCCCCCATCAGCTATGCCGTCGATCCAGTCCTCAACCGAGGCGTGGCGTTGGAATCACTCGGACGGTTCCAGGAAGCGGCGGCGGACTACTCTGCGGTGCTGGCAGTGGCGCCCAACGACCCGGCAGCCTGGAACAACCTGGGGAACACGCAGGTGACTAGGCTGTCATGGTTGTCTATAATGCTCAAAAACCTAAGGGCGTGTGAGTTATGGAACCTAACACGCAGGTGGGCGTATAAACCTCCTGGTGGGGTTGTTGCCATGCTGGCAGTGGCGCCCAACGACCCAGCCGCCTGGAACAGCCTGGGGAGCATGCAGGGGGGTGGCACATGCAGGTGGGCTGTGTGAAAAGAGCCTGGAACATTCATCAAGCCAGGCAGGTAGGAACATCAATGTGGGGATTGCGTGTAGGGTGGGCTGTGTGAAAAGAGCCTGGAACATTCATCAAGCCAGGCAGGTAAGAACATCAGTGTGGGGATTGCGTGTAGGGTGGGCTGGGAACGGGATGGATTTCAGTCCACCTGCGTCCGCAATGCAGCAAGCCTTCCACACAGGTGTGCTCATTTTCCTCGATTTGAGGCGCCTCTATGCAAGCCATCCACGCATGTTTTGAGGCGCCTCAAAACTAGACGCAGGTGGGCTCATTTTCCTCATTGAGCCGATGGGGTCGTTGGGGTGGCTGGGATGGTTTGGGGCGTGGGGGAGATGCAGTGGAGAGATAGCAGGGGCCTGCCAGCATTGGGGAGCTAGAACGGGCTCTAATCCCCTTCCCCCTTCCCCCGTCCCCCGTCCCCCTTCCCCCGTCCCCCGTCCCCCTTCCCCCTTCCTCCTTCCCCCTTCCCCCGTCCCCCGTCCCCCTTCCCCCGTCCCCCTTCCCCCTTCCCCCTTCCCCCTTCCCCCGTCCCCCGTCTCCCTCTATGTGTTTCTGCTCTGCAGGCGGGCATGGGGGCGTGGTCAGATGCAGTGGAGAGCTACAGGCGGGCCAGTATGCTTGCTCCGGCTTTCTCCTTTGCTGCTGCTAACTATGCCCTCGTAAGTTAACCTTTACGAATAATCCTCCTCGTGCAATCCCTCGCAGGCCTGAGTCTATTTTTTAGGCTCCTAAAAAGTGCCTCTTCAACTGCTGGCAGTTCCCTTGCCAGCTCAAGTAATCTGCTAAATTCGTAGCGAGGGAATGCTCATTTACAGTGAACTAGCCGAATGCCCACCTGTCCGCGGCTGTTTCGTTTGCAATCTCATGTTTCCTTCAACACCAGCATCGGCAATACCCGCCCACTGGTCGTTAACATTCTTTTGGCGGGCGGACGCTGATCAGGCTAGGCGCTTCCCACCTCCCACTGTCGTCCGTTCTGCCTCGCCCCTGAGTCTGGCTGCACCAGGCGCTGCATGAGAAGGTTCCTCATCTTTCTGTGGATGCTAGACGCTTCCCACCCCCCCCCTATCTTCTGTGCCTCTCGCCCCTGAATCTGGCTGCACCAGGCGCTGTACGAGGTCGGAAACGACAATGCTGCCATCAAACAGATGAGGAACCTTCTCCGAAAGTACCCTGAGGTGAGAGGCACAGCAGGGCCCAGTTCGCTAGAGCCTTGTTCCGTGCTAGTTCCTGCCGCGGAATCTTCGACGCAACTGAGCTGTTAGGTTGGGTGTAGGCTCGTGCACTGAGCGTGAGGTTAGACAACAACGAACCTGACAGTGAGGTCTGGCTTGTACCGATAGGCCTTGTTCGGCGGCAACTGCAACAGTGCATTTCACCCTTTCTTTGCACGTGATCCAGCTCACAGTAGTAATCGTAGCAGTTTTCCAGCCAAAAACCCATCCGCTCCTGGACCCACGTGAAGGGGTGGTCTGCAAACTCCATGGGCTCGGAACAGATGGTCGACTCCCTGGTCCATGGAGTCAAACAGATTCCATGGTCCATGGTTTGACGGCAAACAGATTCTAGGTGACTTTTGAGTCGACTCAAAGCCAGAACAGCTGACGGCAAGCAGATTTCCAGCAGTGAGAATTGTTATATCCACGATCTAGGAAACAATGCAAATCCGCAGGGGATGTTTCCGGGTCCGTCAGCGGAAATTTCAGGCACGCCTTTCATGCTACTGTTGTGCGTTCATCATTTCGATGTCAGCGGACAAGCGGTTGGTTTGTCGTTATGCACCTGGAGGTTCGTTTTCCATTGTTTTCGGCGCACTCACGTTTTGACTGTATGTCCCCTCTCTGTGTTGAGGGTTGTCGGGGCTGGCAAACTGGGCCGAGAAGAGCGTCCAGTATGTATCTTTCCTCAGAGGTGCTCTATCTCTGTACAGCACTCACGTGACGTACACCTCTCAAAGGTACACCGCCTGAATGCAGCACCCACGTAAGGTGAGGTGAAGTACTCAGTGCTCTGCAGCAGAACATACAGGGTTTCTACAGGGTTTTTATGAAATGGCATGTGTTCACATACGATTCATGATCCTGCTGCTGAGTGCACCCAGTACCGCTTTGTGTAACTGGGTGCTGCTGCAGAAGGGTCCAGTTTCTCTTCCCTCTCTCCCTCCACCTTTCCACCCCCTCGACCCCTCCCCCTCCAGTTTCCCGACATGCGGGCAGGGCTGGCGATGGCACTCTATGCAGCAGGGTTAAGCGCCGAGGCATGACTAGTGCTGCTGCTTGCTCCCCCAGCATCACTTCCCTCTCCTCCCCCCTTCTTCTCTTCCCCATCTCCAGTTTCCGGACATGCGAGCAGCGCTGGCAGTGGCACTCTATGCAGCAGGGCTCAGAGCCGAGTCTGAAAACGCCTGGAGCAGAGTGGATGTGAGTTGCATCCTGCTCCCCGATCCTCTCTCCTCCTCCATCGCGCTTGCAATTATTCCACCTGTGTGAGTGACCTTGCCCCACGTGTGTGTGTGACCTTGCCCCACGTGTGTGACCTTGCCCCACGTGTGTGTGACCTTGCCCCTCGTGTGTGACCTTGCCCCACGTGTGTGTGAGCTTGCCCCACGTGTGTGTGACCTTGCCCCACGTGTGTGACCTTGCCCCACGTGTGTGTGAACTTGCCCCATGTGTGTGACCTTGCCCCACGTGTGTGACCTTGCCCCACACGTGTGACCTTGCCCCACACATGTGACCTTGCCCCACACGTGTGACCTTGCCCTGGCATTCTTGGGGATCATCAGCTCCCTCAAACATCTCCACACTCACCTATGCCTCCGTCTCCTCCCCTACTTCTCTCCTCCCTGCTTTACAATCCCCCCTCTCACACTCCTCTCACTTTCTCCTTCCCTCCTGCCTTCCGCACTATCCTTAGGTCTCCTCCCCTACTTCCCTCCTCCCTGCTTTACAATTCCCTCTTTCGCACTCCTCTCATGGCCCCCTTCCCTCCTTTCCATGCTGTCTCGTTCCAAACGCATCTCTCCCCCCCCTCCTTTCAGGATGGTCGGTATCGAGATCATGAGTGGGTGAGGGAGAATCGCCGGTGTTCCCTTCCCTGCCTTTCAGCTGTCTCCTCTCCTCCCAACACTTCCCTCCTCTTCCCACCCTTCAGGATGGTCGGTATCGAGATCGTGAGTGGGTGAGCGAGTATCGGCGCTGGCCGCCCCGTCTTGTTGCAGAACTAGCAGCCTTTCTAGACCTAAAGCCCGTATAGTACCTCTTTCTGGCAGTGCAGGGTGGTGTTTGAGCCAACTAAAAAAATGACCTCAAGCCCGTATAGTACCTCTTTCCGGCACAGCAGGAGTGGTTTTTTAGTCGACTCAGGAATCGACCTGACGACTGTATAGCACCCTTTCTCAGGCAGCCCAAAAGTCGTTGCGGAGCTAGCAGCCTTGCTCGCCCTGTAGCTTGCAGAATCATCCCTCCTATATAGATAGATACCGTACTGTGGTATCTTGGAGACGGCCTATGTAACTATGTAATGCACACGACCTTCTGGCCATTTCTAGTGTTGGGCTGAGATGGTTACTGTTGGGCTGAGAAAAAGCCCTTAGGATCTTTTGCAGAGACTAAGTCCCAGCTTGTAGAGACTTGAGACTTGGAGTAGTGCAGCGGAAGTTGAGGCAGTTGAACCCTTGTACTAGTATGTGAGAACAAGTGATTGATTAAAGAAACAAGCATACAGCAATATATAGAAGATAAGAAAGCAGTTGTAGAATACAGTTACAGGAACGGTTTATCGAGTCGCACAGCGACTCGATTGCCGCTTCGGTTACCATCCGTGATGTTGTAACGGTCAGTCGCAACCTCCAGTTGCGACCTTTCGAGTCCTTTCGCATTCTTTGTCCGCCTCCTCGTGTAACCTCCGTTGACTCGCGTGCTCCCCTGTAATCTTCCTCGAGTACAGTGTTACACTTCAGAAACGCTTAAGTCCTTGAGATATTTCCAACACTCCCCTTCGTTTCTGGAGTGCTGGAGTGTTCAGATCCGGTGACGTTTGTTTGCCCGGTTAGGAGCATGCAGTAGTCGAATTTTGCTTTCGCCAATTTCTTCGTCAGATAATCTGCGGCCATTTCTGTCGTCGGGCAGTAACTGAGTTGAAGTCTCCCCTTCGCGATTTCATCCTTGACGAAGAAGTACCGCAGGGCGATGTGCTTGGTTCGGTTGGCGAAGCCGTCCTTGTTCGCGATTTTGATCGCAGATTGGTTGTCGCAGAGGAGTGAGAAGGCGGGCAGGGTCGCGATCTTCGCTTCTTCGAGTAACTCTCGTAGGTAGAGTCCTTCCTTGGTCGCAGTACAAAGGGCGATATACTCTGCTTCAGCCGAGGATAGTGCGATTAACTCCTGCTTGCTCGACTGCCAGGAGATAGTTCCGATAGGTTCTAGTCGGTAGATGTAGCCCGTCCTAGACCGTCGATTTTCGCTGTCTCCCGCGTGGTCGGCGTCGACGTATCCGAGTAGTTGTACGGACGGTGTTGTTGTCTTGCTGTAGGTGAGCCCGATCGTCGGCGTGGAGACGAAGTAGAGTAGCGCTCGATTGAGTTCTTCGAGATCTTCCTGTTGCGGCTGCTTCAGATGTGTCGCCAGCTGACTCGCACTATAGGATAGGTCGGGTCGGCAGGTTACTGCTGCGAATAGTAGGCAGCCGAGCTTCTGTTGATACTCCTGGATTTGTTTCGCGGGGAGTTTTGTGGAGGCGCTACTGTTGTTCCCGTAGCGGTAGGGAGTTGGGACCGCAGTCGGTGCTAGACCGAATTTCTTCGCGACGGTGCTTGAGTACTTTCCAGCGTGTAGGTAGAACGCCGTGTCGTCTTCGACGATGTTCAGTCCTAGGTACTGAGTAACTTCGTCGGACACCGTGAGAGTTAAATCTTCTTTCAGCTCCCCTTCGAACCAGGTGGCGATGTCGATAGTGGAGCCGATGTAGAGCAGGTCGTCGACGTAGACGATGAGCAGAACATAATCTCTTCCCTTCTGCAGTCGGTACATCCCTTGGTCATGCGGTAATTGTAGGAAGCCGATCTTTGCGAGACGGCCGTGGAGATGCTGCTGCCAGAGCCGCGGGGCTTGCTTGATCCCGTATAGGGATTTTGTCAGTCGGCATATTTTCGTGGGATCGTTGATGAATCCGTGGGGTTGTTCGACGAAGATCTCAGCGTCCACAGGTGCGTATAGGAATGCATTCGCGACATCGATTTGGCGTAGTGGCAGTTTTTTCGTGGCCGCGACGGCGAGTAGGATGCGTAATGAGGTGTGACGGGAGACTGGAGCGAAGGTTTCTGTGTAGTCGGCTCCGTATCGTTGGTCGAAGCCTCGTACGACCCATCGAGCTTTGAATCGTTCGATGGAACCGTCTGAGTTGGTCTTGATGCGGTACACCCATTTCCCCGAGAGAACGTTTTTTCCGTTGATGCTCGTTGCAGGTACCAGTTTCCATGTTTCTCGGTCTTGCAGAGCTTTTAACTCCTTTTCCATTGCTTCCTTCCATCTTGCCCTATGTTCCCCCCCCAGAGCCTGCGACAACGTTGAAGGCTCTCGCGGAGAAGGCGGCGGCGGATTCTGGACGGAGACCCAGAGGCCTAGAATCTGGAGTCCCGTGGGCGTGTGTCGAGGGGAATTTTCATTCCCGGAATAAGCTGCTTCGTCACCGTCTTCGGGGTCAGGTAAGAAATTGGGGCCGATGCGTTCCGAAATATTCGTGTCGACGGGGTGAGGTGTAGCGTAACCTTGGTCGGCGAAGTGGTAAAAGGTGTCGAGGTTGTTGCTATCGAGGGGATTTTCTTCATCGAGTGGAACAGGTACGGAACAGAATGGGAGTGGTCCGGCAGCTTCCGAGGCTCCAGGTACGTCTTCTTCTGCTGCGTCAGCCTCGGCAGTATGGTCAGCGAAGGAGCGAAGGCCCGCGAAGCCGTCGGTGGGGTCTTGTGTGTTGGCAAGGTTGTCCAGGTAATGCTGCAGCGTCAGTCGTTCGTAGAAGATAACATCGCGTGATGCCACCGTGTTTTTGTCTTGTATGTCGAGAATTTTCCACGCGTGAAAATGTTTTGCGATGCCGAGGTGTAGTCCCCATCGAGCTCTTTGTGAGAAGCGTCCTGCTCGGGCTGTGTGGGGTCTGTACTGTACCATGCAGCCGAAAACGCGGAGTAATTTTGTGCTGCCCCTTTTTCTTGTCCACAACAGGTGCGGTGATGCGTTGTTGGGAAGTGATGACGAGGACAGCAGGTTGTGCAGGTGAACAGCATGTGTCATCGCGTCTGGCCACAGTGCGTTGGGCAGCCTCATCCCCAGAAGCAGTTTTCGCATCGTCGTCTGCAAGGTCCGGTTCATGCGTTCTGCTACCCCCTGCTGCTGGTGAGCATAGGGCAGAGACACCAGGCGTCGGATTCCCCTTTCCGCGAGATAGGTCCTGAAGCGTTGTGACTGGTATTCCAGTGCACCGTCTGACTGGAAACTCTTGAGTTTGGTTCCTGACTCTCGTTCGGCGATTGGAAGCCATGTGGTGAAGGCCTCGAAGGCTTGATCGCGCGTTTTGAGATTGAAGTGCCAGACGTATCTGGTTGCGGCGTCGATGAACGTGATGACGTAGTTGAAGTCGGCTTCGGTGTCGTCTCGAGGCATGTTTAGAATATCGCTGTAGACTTTTTCCATCGGAGCGTAAGTGGGTGCGCTTGGATTGTGATGGGCTTGGAAAGGTTGATGAGGAAGATCTGCTTCGGGGCATGTGAAACACCGTGCGCGTGGTCGTCGGAGTTCCTGGCCGTTCGTCGTCAGAAGGGCGTTGCGTTCTAACACCTCTGCTTGGATTGTTTGAAGTATCGTGCTGTTTGCAGGATGTCCGAGACGTTGGTGCCAGATGTCGTCGGGAGCGCGGTGGCCGGGCGAGCGGTGGTAGATGTCGGCGTTGGAGAAGAACGCGACGACTGAGGCGGGACTTCGACAAGCTTCTCGTGTGGCGGGCATAAGTTGGTCTGCTTCCGTTGGCGGTCCTCGTGTTGATGGTGGTGGTACTCGGCTGGGTCCTGCTGCTGATACTGCAGGTGATGGTTTTGTTGGGACACTTGCGGGTACTTGTCTTTCTTGTCTGATAACTGCTAATGCTCGTGTTCTCTCTGCTGCAGGTATGGTGTTGGAGTGCCAGAAGCCGTCACTGTCGAAGTCGGGGTCAAGATCCGGCGGGTGAGTCCAGGCGGCGAACGATACGATGCCATCGCTGTCGGCAGTTCCGCGGTCGGGGACGAAGTCCAACACGAAGACACCGGACTTCAGGAGGGCACGACCGATGAAGAGGCCGCCCTTCCCGTGGTAAAGCCGGAACTCGTTGGAGTAAGAGTCGCACTCCAGGTGAATCCCCTTGGCCATTAGTTGGCTTACGCTTAGTAGGTTGTATCCCAGATTGTCGACAATGAGCACCTTGTTGAGTTGAAGTATGACATTCGTCTCCATTGATTGTAACTGAACCACGCCCTGTCTGTTTGTCTTCAGGTTTTCGTTGTTGGCGACGGTGATGACGACGTCGCGGTTGAGTCGTTTCTCCTGTTGTACGAAGCGTCCCGAGGAGCACATGTGTTGACCGCAGCAGCTGTCCAAGAACCAGGTGTTTCGCCCGGTGGGTTCGGCGTTGGCGACCGCAGCGTATGTCGGGTTGACCTGAAGTCCTTGTGAGCGCGGCGGCGGGAATTCCTCTTCGTCTGGTGCGTAAGTGGGTGGTGATCTGGGTGCGCAGTTGTCGATGTGTACCATGCAGTTGATGATATTTGGTGTCCCTTGTGCAGATGTTGAAGAGCGCCTTGGGGAACTTGCTTGAGTGGAAGCAACTTGTGGGTCTGCTGCTCGGTAAACGCGAGGGCGGTTGCAGTTGACTTTGGAGTGTCCGGAAGTCTGGCAGTTGTGGCAGAACGGCGGCACGATGGTGAGTCCTCGGTTGTCGCGTTGATCTTGCTTGCTGCGTCGGTTGTAGTTTATGTCATTTCTTCTTTGAGTGTAGAAGACTAACTGCTGTTGCTTCCTTGGTTGTCTTTCCTCGAACAGATCCATCTCCTGTTGTTCAGCGTGAAGCTCGGCGCAGAGGTGCATCTCCGAGATCCTTCCGTGGGCGCGAAGAAGCGATCGTGTGGTTCTCCATTCTGGTCCGAGCCCGGCGAGGACAAGTGTGACGAAGCTTTCTTCAGTGATCGTTCCTCCGCACCGAAGCAGGCGGTCGCGCAGGGTCTGGCAGCGACTCATATACTGCATCGCCTTTTCCCCGGTCTTCATCTGTATTGTTGTCAGCTGTAGCATGAGTCTGCTTTGTATCACGCTGTCGTTTGCTTGGTAGAGGCATTTGAGATGATGCCATGCGAGTTCCGCGGAGTTTCCATAACTCCGATACGTTCTGATGCTCTGCTGCTCTTGTGGTGACAGGTTCCGCAGGAGGACTGTATACGCCAGTAGCGACTGATACGTGAAGATCTCTTGTTCCTTTCCAGTGCCGTTGCTTGGGAATGGCAGGGACCCGTTGAAGTATCCCAGAAGATGCGCGGCCTCCATCAGCAGCTCGAACTCGAAGCTCCAGGTAAAGAAGTCGTGTCCGTTGAACGGTGAGGATGTTTGTAACTTGATGACGTGTGAGAATTGAGCTTGAAGACTGAGAATCTCGTTTGGTGTTTGTTGTGATGCAGCTGCTGTTGGTTGGGCGCGGGGCGGCATGAACTCGAACGTCCCCGGTGAAGAATGATAAGGCGCAAAGGTAGGTGCTTGGTTGTGTCGCCCGAAGGATGAGTTGTCGAGGCTCATCGGCGCTAATCCCATGTTTCCTCCATTGCTCTGTGTTGAATGCGCAGGTGTCCTTGTCTGCTGTTGCTGGTCGAAGTGTGACATGAAGCTGAAGAATCTCTCCATGAGATTCGGGTCCACACTTGAAGAGGGAGACGGAGTCACCATCTCTGGTACTCTTCCTGTTGTTTCTTGAGCAGTCCCGGTCTCTGTCTGCAATCCTGAGGTGTGCAGACCAGAGTTGCCGTGTTGAGTTTCTTGGCCGCTGGGTGAGCCCGTAGAGGCTTTCTTGCCCTTGCTGTCCATGTCTTGTAATCAATGAAGTCGTTGAATTGAGTTGAGTTGCAGTTTGTTGATGGAGCGTAGTTGCTGGGAGTTTGATCTCTGACCAGCTCTCATACCATGTTGGGCTGAGAAAAAGCCCTTAGGATCTTTTGCAGAGACTAAGTCCCAGCTTGTAGAGACTTGAGACTTGGAGTAGTGCAGCGGAAGTTGAGGCAGTTGAACCCTTGTACTAGTATGTGAGAACAAGTGATTGATTAAAGAAACAAGCATACAGCAATATATAGAAGATAAGAAAGCAGTTGTAGAATACAGTTACAGGAACGGTTTATCGAGTCGCACAGCGACTCGATTGCCGCTTCGGTTACCATCCGTGATGTTGTAACGGTCAGTCGCAACCTCCAGTTGCGACCTTTCGAGTCCTTTCGCATTCTTTGTCCGCCCCCTCGTGTAACCTCCGTTGACTCGCGTGCTCCCCTGTAATCTTCCTCGAGTACAGTGTTACACTTCAGAAACGCTTAAGTCCTTGAGATATTTCCAACAGTTACTTCTCCAATTCTTTATTTCTAACAGCTAGGTTGCTATTTGGCATCCAAGCTATTCTATAACAGATGCTGAAGGGAAGCAAGCAATACTATGGGGGTGCTGCTGTACATCGAATTGTCATTGTTTGCTTGATTTCACTCAATCCACGAAGGCATGGATGATGGATACAAGTACAGGATTTATTATTTATATACGGGGGGGGGGGGGGGGGGGGGGGGGGGGGGGGGGGGTTATATCGGGCAGATCACATCGGCGCAGATTATATCCGCGCTGGCTGGCGCCCTTGTTCCCACTAGTACAGCATTTATTATTTACATGTGACCCCTGGATATCCTCTTACACCTCCCTCAGTGCTATCCTCTGCCATTGTTGTTACTATCAAGGCTGCCACCACTGTTGTTGTTGCTCCCCCCATTGTAGCTGCTGCCATTGTTGTAGCCGTTACCGTCACTGTAGCTGTCATTACTGTAGCTGCTGCTGCTGTTGGTGGGGCTGTTGCCGCTATTGTAGCTCCTGCCATTATTGTAGCTGTTGCCACTATTGTTGGTGCTAACATCATTGGAGATGTTGCCACTATTGCTGATGGTGCCATTACTGTAGCTGTTGCTGGTATTGTTGCTGCTGCCATCATTGTAGTTGTTGCCACTATTGCCGATGCTGACATTATTGTAGCTGTTGCCACTATTGCCGATGCTGTCATTATTGTAGCTGTTGCCACTATTGCCGATGCTGACATTATTGTAGCTGTTACTGTTATTGTTGATGCGGTTGTTGCTGTAGCTGTTGCCGTTATTGTAGATGTTGTCATTATTGGAGCTGCCACCATTATTGTTGCTGTTGCCATAGCTGCTGCCGCTGTTGTAGCGTTTCTCGTCACTGTAGCCGCCACCGCTGCTCTGCTGACTGCTGCTCTGCTGACCACTGTTACCACCACTGTAACCACCACTGCTACCACCACTGTTACCACATGCTGTCGTACTATTGCCATTTACATGGCCACTCAGAATGCCAACCACCCAATCTTTCTTCTGCTTCTCACTCCCATAACCGTGTTGGCAGCCCCCCTCAGCATGTTTCCCCTGAGATTTGTTCCCACCAGCCATATTCTCCTCTGATTGGCTATCACCGCCGCCGCTGCCGCCGCCGCTGCTGCTGCTGCTGCTGCTGCTTCCACTGCTCCCACCCTCCACAGCAGCACCCCGTGCACTCCTCTGCGCCTGCGGCTCGTTCTGAGTCACGGTACCATTGCCCGTAGCAGTGGCCTTAGTCACTGCTATTTGAGTCTGCTTGGTGATCTCTCCACTGTTGTTCAGCTGTCGGATTCCTGATATTTCCACTGGGCCCTGAAACACGTACGACCTTATGTTGATACTGGGAAAGGGCTTTTGTGACAGTAGCGAAGGGTTCCATAAGGAAGAATCACCGCTCTGATGCTTCCACGGTTTCTTGTTCTTGTGCGATTTGCCGCACTTGGACCGCTTGTTACAGCCGTGCCCTCCCTTCTCTCCCTTGCGCTTCCTGTGGCGCTTCTCTCCTCGGCCTCTCGAGCTGCTTCTCTTTCCTCCACAACGGGAGCGCTGCTGCAGCTTGTACACTGCGAAACGCCGGAGGGAAGGGACGAGGTGTGACGAGAGGGGTGGAGAGGGGTGGAAAAGGACATATGTAAATGAACCCCGGAGAGTCAGGAATTGAGATCAAACTCACATGACGTGGCATGGGTACAGGCATGGCAGGAGCCAGGATGGACGACGCATGGGATCAAACTCGGTGCATGCCTCACCTCCCGTGTCCAAATCTTCTATGACCTTGTGCCTGAGCTGTTTCAATCCACGGCTCACAGCGCGCAGCACTTAGTTTGTCCACATCTCCTAAATACATGCCTCACCTCGCTTGTCCACATCTTCTAGAAGCTTCTTTCTGAGTTGCTTCAACCCGCGGCTCACGGCACGTTTCACTTCATCCTCCATCCACCCCTCCATGCTCCTCCGCGTTTCCTCATCCACAGCTGCCACCACCGCAACCTTGCGCTGTTCGCTCCTGCTGGCGTTGTGGGCGCTGCTGCTGACGTTGCTGCTGACGTGGACCTGGCTGTTGCCAGCGTGGACCTCTGGCGGGTCGCCCAAGAGCTCGTGAACCTCACCAAGCTGCCGATGCGCCAAATCGTTGGATTCAGAATCAACGGTCCTGGACGCAGCTGGAAAGTCAACGCGGAGGCCCTTCCTCTCAGATTTCTTCCCTTCAGCTGTCCTCCTTCCAGGTTTCCTTCCTGCCGAATTCTCAAGTGTTCCCGAAACGACGCCTGCAGCACCGCCTGAGTTGGAAGCTGGAAGGAGCCCCCTCAGGTCCACGTCTTCAAAAAGCCCAGCCTGGCTGACGTCTTTAAAAGATTCCCCTAGGTCCATATCTTTAAGAAGCTCATCCTGGCTGACGTCTTTAAGGAACCCTCCTTGGCCGACCTCTCCTCGCAGCCCAACCTGCTTGTTCCGAGAAAGTTCTCGAACGGCAGCCAGAGGATCCCTAGATTCAGCTACCGCGAAAGCAGTGGTAGCGGTGACCGTTAGCAGGAGGAGAAGAAGCCGAGCGACGCGGGGGAGATGCGGAGGCGGTGGCTGAGCGTGGTATAAGGGGCACGACGCCATTGCGTCGTCCTTTCGGGAATCAATGGCTTACGGCCTAGTCCACGTGTAACGGCCTTCACTCTCGGAGTTGGAATGCGCGGATCAGTGAGTAAGAGAGGTATTGTGAAAGCGAATATGAGGAAAGCTCTGTTGCGCCGGTTTGCGTCAGAGAAATATCGAGAAAGCGAATACGAGTGAAGCTCTGTTCACGCGGGTTTGCGTTAGAGCGATACTCAAATCTCGGTATGCGTCCACCGAGCCGCGAAATGGAGGTGGAGGTCCTCGGCTCGGGCCGAGCCGACGACGTGTGCGCCTTGACAGGCGGCGCCTCGAGATCTGCTTCATTGCTGTGATGGTTTGACATGCGGTCCGATTCGGTTGTCTCCCGTTGATCCCTCTGATCTACTCGATTGCACGTGGACGGCTGCGATTTACTCTACCGGGCTTGGGTGGCTGGTGTGGTACCACAAGCGTCAGATGCTTGGCGTTCGGTCAGGGATGAAATCGAGGTGAGTGAGGTGACACAACACCAATGACACAGAAGCTGACGTTATAGAAGACTGCGACATTGAAACGGTAAGCAGCCAAGTACAGCAATAACGACCTATACAACAAAGTTTATAGCAAAGTTTCATCGATTCATATCTCAGCAGCTAATTCATTATATTCCAGCAGACAGTCGGAATTCAGTGCAACATGAACGTTTTTTTTGCAAGGATGTCGCGTCAACGTGAACTTGTAACGAGTTGGACGAGAAAACTTATGGAGCAGCAGAGTTTGTTGCACCAGCCTGAGCCTCAGCAATCAACGCCGCATGTGGCGCCGCAGGTGACAGCAAACCACTACCACCCCGCGAAGAGACCGCCCTTTCCTCCTCGGTCCTCTGGATTTCCCTTTCCTCCACTGTACTAGATGTAAGCTCTGCTCCAGCTTCAGGTGTCAAGGTGCTCTCTCCGCTCCTCTTCCTGTCAGCACTTGCTGCTGCCCGTTTCTCTCCACCACCACTCTCACTAGTGTTTTGACTTGATCCCGCGCTATCCGCTGCTTTCTGCTCCTGCGATCCCCCGGTCCCTAACGTGCTCTCCTGGCTTTGCGGGCTCCCCTGCGTTACCGTGCCGTTGTCTCCCGCCGTCGAGTTTTGCGATGCTTCAGAAACCCCTAACCCGCTCTCCTGCCTTTGCGGGTTGCCCTGCGTCACCGTGCCGTTGTCTCTCGCGAGCGCCGTTGTCAGCGCGAGCTGCGTATGCAGCGCCACGCTGCCCTTGTTCTCTAACGAACGGACGGCTGAGATCTCGATTGGGGCGTTGAACACGAACAGATTCAGCGCCATCAACGGATTTGCGAGCACTTGGTCACCACTCGGATCCGGGCTGTGCCCTGACCTAGTAGGGTCGGGTGACGAACCTTGCTGTCCGGCTCGGCGTCCGAGATCCAAGCCTGCAAGACAGCCACGGTACTCATTAGCAAGCCTTGGTAATGCGTGGTGATACAGTAGGTATAGGTGCACAGCATTGGCATTGGCATTGGCTTTGGCTCACCTTGCCCGTCGCTTCGGGTTCGACCAGCCACGGTTAGTCGTACAGCTGCGTCCGCCAATAGCGCGGCGAGCCATGATGGCAGTCCCTTATTACCGCCCGCCACGCCTCCCCAGCCGCCCAGCTGACCCGCGAGCGACTCGCCGATTCCTCTTCCGCCGCCGCTGGTCGACGAGGGCGACTTCACGAAAGTGTTACCACTTGAGTCGTTACACTCCTTGTGATCGCCGACCTCCTCGGACGAACCTCGATTGTCAGAGGAGGTCGCCGACCTCCTCAGATTGTCAGAGCTTCCCTTGGGTCTTCCCTCGCTCCCATTTCCCCTTTCGCCCTTCTCTGTTTTGCCACCTTTGCCGTCCTCCAAGGAGTCCTTGCGTCCACGGTCACTCTCCTTGAGCGTGTTCCCGCCTTTGCTCTTTTCGCTCTTTTCGCTCTTTTCTCTCTTTTCGCTGTTTTCGCTGTTTTCGCTCTTTCCGCTCTTTTCACTCCTTTCGCTCCTTTCCCTAACTATCTTCTCTGAGCTCTCTTCGCCTTCCCTATTCTCGTTCCGTTCCTCGCGGTCCTCACTCTGTCTGCTGCCTTGTCGCCCGCCCTGATTCTCCCGAGACCCATGACGACCATTCCCCGTTCTCCCTCGCTGGGTCTCGCTGTCGTCATCCGATGCTCGATTCGAGCCGACGCCATCGAAGCGAGACCCGTTACTAAGTGGGCTGCCGTTCGGGCCGTGCTTCTTCCCCCCAGCAGCGTCGGTGGAGTTGTCGTCTGCGAGAACGAGGAGGAGCAACCAACGCGAGGAGCAACGAACGCGAGGATCACACCCAGCACAGAATAAAAGCCATGAGGAGTCCATCCATTTTTGAGGCGCCTCTTAAAAAATAGGCTCCTCATGCGAGAACGCGGAGGAGCAACCAGCGGGAGGAGCACACTCAGCGCAGAATAAAAGCCATGATACGAGACGGGTGATTGTGAACGGGTGACAGGCGGCGAGTTAAGTGATACCTTATCAAGCCCAGCACCCGTCCGCGTCACACGTGAAATGATGCCCTTGGCTGGCAACAGGCTTACCGCAAAGGAGTCTCCCCCTTAGGCCTCCAGAAATTCCCGCGTCCGCAACCGCCGCTTCCGTTACTCCCGCAACAGCGACACGTGGACGACCCGCATTCACCGCTCCAGGGTGGATCAGCGCGTGACACGTGGAGGTCGACAGCAGGAGGAGCAGAAGCGAGCTCGAGGCGAGAGCAAGAGAAAGCGAAGGCGGCGATTCCCCCAGAAATAACACCATTCGCGATCAGCGTAGTCAGACTACTCAGAGTAACCAGCGGGAGAATGCTGTCAGTCGCTAAGTCCGCTGAATGTCAGAATGCCGTAAAAAATGCATTCAGGAAGTCTAATACAAGAGCTCTTCTACCAATGAAGTAAGATACCGGCATTGCGTCAACTCCAGGGGTATTCCGGATGAAACGGAATCGTCTACTGGGGGGCATTTTCCCAGAGTCACACACACGTCGACTAGGAAGGCAGAAACCTTCCCTAGAACCTTGGGAGTAGAATGCGAGAAATGGAACCCCCCCGGAACCTTCCCTGAGATGAATGTATGGTCCCAGGGTTGCCACACTTCCGGCTGGAACGCCGCGCATTGGATGGACGGGAAACGCAGTGGTCCCCATTTCTGGCTCTCGCGCGTAGGATGCGGAATGACAGGAAGGGAAGGAGGCGCCATAGCGGCTGGTCCTGTCAAATCTGTGGACACAAAAAGTGAATTAGATAGTACAATGTACAGACCCCTGTGTAGCATCAGCTTGTGTGCCAGTGGTCTAGTGGTAGAATAGCACCCTGCCATATCAGCTCGGTGCAGACCCGGGTTCGATTCCCGGCTGGCACAGTTCACCTTTTGCCACGTCCCCTTGGATCCTTTTGTGGTCCCCACTCAATCCCAGCAGTGCTCACATCCCGTGCCTGGCTTCTGGTCTGGAACAACCCTTAGTGTATCCCATGCATGTCAAGCCGGATCTTCAACATCACTTGCTTATTTGCAAAGGGGATCCTCCATTTCAAACGATCATGAGGCTTCTTCACAGCTAGACCCCAAACACTCAAACCAACTTAAGTAGCACCATAATAAGTGTTCACATATCCACCTGATGGTACTTTAAGCTCATCAAGATGCAGCAGCAGGTGCAGGTGCCTTCTTCTTTGCCTTAGGCGCTGGAGGCTCCCGGGTGAGCATGCGAGGCGCAATGGCCATGGCCATGAGCTCTTGGAACAGCAGCTTGCACGCATATGGCATGTGCACCTGGCGGGGGTAGGGATGGGTGATAACGGAAAGGAACGAATGTCGTATGAGTGTGGGTGGTGCAATGGCCATGGCCATAGCCATGAGCTCTTGGAACAGCAGCTTGCACGCATATGGCATGTGCACCTGGCATGGGTACGGCACGGAGAAGGAGCGAATGTCATGTATGGGTATGGGTGGTGCGTTGGCCATGGCCATGGCCATGAGCGCTTAGAACAACAGCTTGCATGCATATGGCATGTGCACCTGGTGGGATTGAGAGAAGGAGGAACAGGTTGGCGTGGGCGAGAGAGGTGGAGTGGTGGGGTGTGGCGAGGACCGAGGGAGTCATCTAAGCAGGTACATGAAATGAGCAGGTACATATTGCAGTGGCAACTCACCTGGCACTATCGCAGCTCACCTGCCTCTATCGCAGCTCACCTGCCTCTATCGCAGCTCACCTGCCTCTATCGCAGCTCACCTGCCTCTATCGCAGCTCACCTGCCTCTATCACAGCTCACCTGCCTCTCCCTCACTGCCCACCTGCACAATGTCTGTCTTGTTCTTGCACCCGCGGCACTCCAGCAGGCCCGTCTTAAAGCCGCGGTGCAAATATATTCAGCGAGGTTCAATTGTTCATAAGTTGAAATGATAGGTTACCTGGTGAGGCTGTGCTGGCTAGGCGAGAGCTCGCCAAAAGCCGTGCAAAAACTTGAACCAGAATGGTGCACTGCAAACCTCGAAAGTTGTCACTCTGCTCCCCGTGCGTTTGATTCCCTTCGCCTTGTTTCCTTCCCCCGAGCCCATTTCGTTTCCCCCCCACAGGCCCCCACCCCGCCCTCACTTTCCCACTTCCCCCACTCCCGCCACTGCGTTTTCGAGCTGGAATATACCCAAGGGGCGATTTCGATTCCGCCTCGGGGCTCAATCATTTCCGCCAACGACGGATTTCAAAATGTTTTCAACACCCCGCCCACGAAACCCCCCCTGCCTTTCCCCCCTACCCCGCAACATCCACCTCGAACCCACAGGCAAGACCAAAATCAAATTACAGCATGGCGAAATCACCAAATTCTTTCCATACCACCTCGCTAAACTCGCCAATACCCAACTACCTCTACGGATTTAGGGTTTTTTTCAATCTTGCACGGCGGCTTTTAAGATTGGCAATGGCGAAGAGTCCGCAGAACTCGCACGCGTGCACACATGCACGCTATGCCTCTCTTTGTACCTGCTACTCTCTGCGTACTTGCCTTTTAAGTTATAACAATGTCCGTCTTGTTCTTGCACCCGCGGCACTCCAGCAGCCCCTTCTTGAGATTCGCGATGGTGATGTGTACACGTGCCAAAGCTCTGTCCGCTAAACCCCTTCTCTACCTGCTCACCTGGAAGATGTGTCTCGCAGCTCACCTGCACAATGTCCGTCTTGTTCTTGCACCCGCGGCACTCCAGCAGCCCCTTCTTGAGGTTGGCGATGGCGATGAGCCCGCAGAACTCGCACACGTGCACGCGGTACGCGTCACTGTGGTCAAACAGCCGCTCCTTGAGGAACGCCGCGGCGCCGTGCGCTATCATGCAGTCCCGCTCCATCTCGCCGAACCGCAGCCCACCGTCTCGTGATCGCCCCTCCGCTGGCTGCCTCGTGAGAATCTGGAGGGATGTAGAGGGTTTTAAACGGGTTCAAAGAGGTTCAGAGGGGTTCAGAGGAATTCAGAGGGGTTTCAATGAGTTGCGCAGGGGTAAAGTGCCTCTCGCACACGTGCACGCGGCATCTGACCTGCATGGTTCTCTCCCCCTGGAGAGGATCTTATAGTGCACCGTGTGCTTGAGGCGCTGGTAGTAGGTGGGGCCCAAGAAGATGACGGCCTGCTGGCTACAAGCCCACACGCCACTCATAGATCCACAAATGCACAGGTCCCCTACCAACCTGAACAGGCCCCCTGCCTCGCGAGCGGATCGTATTGTCCACCATATGCTTGAGGCAGTAGATGGGGCCCAGGAAGATCACGGCCTGCTGGCTGCAAGCCTACACCACAGAAATACATACCAGCACAGACATACCAGCACAGACATACCAGCACAGACATACGAGCACAGGTCATGTGCTAACCTGCACGGGTCCTCTCCCCCTGGAGTGGATCTTGTCGTCCACCATGTGCTTGAGGCGCTGGTAGTAGGTGGGGCCCAAGAAGATCATTGCCAGCAGGGGCCGGCCCGTGTGGCCGTTGTACATGCGCTCGAACCCCCGCATCTGGTACCCGCACTTGTGCAACGTGCGGCTCAGATTGTCCACCTGGGGAGAGCGAGAAAGTTGCGGCATGATACAAGATATGGGAAATGGATGACAAGCGAGAGATGAGGAAGAGAGGCACGCATCTGGTACCCGCACTTGTGCAACGTGCGGCTGAAATTGTCTACCTGGAGCAGATGATTCAGAGGAGTCTAGTTTTGAGGCGCCTGGAGCAGATGATTCAGAGGAGAGATTGGGAACGTATACTTTTGAGTCGACTCAAAAGCAGAGATTGGGAACGTATATAAAAATAAAGAACCAACTGCAACTGTACAGACTGAATGAAACAGGAATCACTATACTGTCAGGTTTGAAGGCACCCTGAATGAGGCGCATTGAAGGGAGGCTGACCCACCCACCACAGAAGAACAGACAAAAGCCACAACCCACAGACACTTGAGTCGACTCAAAAGCCCAACCCATCGACTCACCGCGACGTCAGTGAAGGGAGTGGAGTACCCCCCCCCTTGCGCCGCCACTTTGCTTGAGGCACTCGATGAGATGCCCGATGGTCAGGCGCGACGGACGGCAACGGGACTTGTGAGGCAACCCAAAAGCTCACCGTGACATCGGTGAACGGAGTGGCGTCCCCCTCCTTTCCCATGTGGGCCGCCACTTTGCTCATGAGGCACTCGATCAGATGCCCGATGGTCATGCGCGACGGGATAGCATGGGGGTTCACAACGATGTCCGGGGAGATGCCCTCGGCGCTGAACGGCATGTCCTCCTGGGTGTACGTCATGCCGATCGTGCCCTTCTGCCCGTGCCGGGAGGCAAACTTGTCTCCGATTTGGGGCACGCGGATGGATCTGACGCGGATCTTCACGAAGCGCAGCCCGTCGTTGTTGGTGGTGAGGACCACCTGGCCAATCAGGACGTGAAAAGGAGGAAAGGGGACAGGAAGGGATGGATGAGAAGCACTCAGGGTTGATGAACAATGATGGCTGGGGGGATCAATGCCCTCGGCGCTGAACGGCACGTCCTCCTGGGTGTACGTCATGCCGACTGTGCCCTTCTGCCCGTGCCGCGACACAAATTTGTCCCCGAATTGGAATTGCGGGGCGCAAATGGAGCGGACCCGGATCTTGACAAAATGGAGGCCGTCGTTGTTGGTGGTCAACCATACCTGGTCAACTGCAATCGGACCTAGCCCAATTGTACCTGGTCAACTGCACCTGGTCAACCGTACCTGGTCAACCGTGCCTGGACCTGGTCAACCGTACCTGATCAACCGTACCTGGTCAACCGTGCCTGGACCTAGTCCATGAGGGGTAGTACCCACCTGGTCTATCATGCCTGTTTCGCTGTGCTTGAGGCATGTGCTCATGTTCCGCTTGCTGAACACAACCCCTGGCTTCATTCCTCGAGTCAATCAATCATACCAGCTCGTTCAAACCTGGTTGACCATACCATACCTGGTCGATCATACCATACCTGGTCGATCATACCATACCTGGTCGATCATACCATACCTGGTCGATCATACCATACCTGGTCGATCATACCATACCTGGTCGATCATACCATACCTGGTCGATCATGCCCGTCTCGCTGTGCTTGAGGCACGTGCTCATGTCCCGCTTGCTGAATCGCTGCGCCACGCCACCCGTCTCGTCCAGCGGGAGGGGCGTGGTCTTGCCGATGATCACGTCCTCTGCTGCCACGCGCGAGCCCTGGGAATGGCGAGAGGGGGGAGCAAGGGGGGATTGTTGAGGGAAGGGGAGAGCATGAGGACGCAGGGTCGGCAGCATGAGGACGCAGAGGCAGGGGCGTGGTCTTGCCGATGATCACATCCTCCGCTGCCACATGAAAGAGAAAAAGGCACAGGGAGGGATCAGCCAGAGAGGCACGGGGTAAGAACAGCCAGGAGGCGAAAATGCGCGGGAATGAGACACCCACTCATGAACGGCATCAGCTGCCATGCCATGGAGGTCATGGGTGGGTGGGTGTCATCAGCATCATCAGCATGCCATTGCAATAGCATGCTGATGCCCATCTCATGGCTTACCCCGCGACAACGCAGCCAACCCTATCTCATTCTCCCTGTACCCATCTGCCCACACTCCTTGATTTTGCAGGGTGTTTTTGAGAATTCTAAAAAACGCTCCTTATGGAATAAATCTCAGGCCTTGAAATCTCAGGCCTTGAAATCTGATGCCATCATCGTCGTCCATCGTCGTCAGACAGGTCCAAAGAGAACGTACCGGAGGGATGATGCCATCGTCGTCCAGCTTGTCGTACGACCCATGCCGCATGCCCTGGTGCACAAAAAAGGGTACAGGCGAAACGTTTTCACTTAGGGCAAGGAGCAGGGAAAGAAAATATGGCATTTGAGCAGGGACAATGACATACGCCATACCCAATCACAACGACATCACGCCAGTGTAGTTTTGAGACGTCTCAAAATCGAACTACTGAACCACGGATTATACGTTATACCCAATAACAACGGATTATACGTTATACCCAACAACAACGACATCACGCCACGTCATCCATGCCATACCATGGTGATGTCTCGGTTGGGCCGCTCGAATTCCTCGTTCACCATGCTGCCGCTCTTCTTCTCCTCGTCCCTGCGGCACCGTGGCATGGGCGCGGAATGAGACATCAGTGGGTGAGTGATAGGGAGGGAGGAGTGAGTTTTCCCAAAGACAAGCACAGCCTCCTCGTTCACCATGCTGCCGCTCTTCTTCTCCTCGTCCCTGCGGCACCGTGGCATGGGTGCGGAATGAGACATCAGTGGGTGAGTGATAGGGAGGGAGGAGGGAGTTTTCGCAAAGACAAGCACAGCCTCCTCGTTTTCCATGCTGCCGCTCTTCTTCTCCTCGTCCCTGCGGCACATAAGAGAGAGGTGAGGAATAGGCGAGTGAGTGAGTGATTTTTGAGGCGCCTAAAAAAAGGGCGAGTGAGTGAGTGTCACGGGACAGGATGGAAAGACAAACACATATACAGGACTCTTTGTGCTAGCGATAGGACGGCAGTGATTCAGTGATCCAAGGGTGCTAGTGACTCGAGGGTTCTAGTGATAAGAGGGTTATAGTGATAAGAGGGTGCTAGTGATTCGAGGGTTCTAGTGATAAGATGGTTCTAGCGATAAGACGGTTCTAGCCATAAGAGAGTTCTAGTGATAAGAGGGTTCTAGCGATAAGAGGGTTCTAGCGATAAGAGGGTTCTAGTGATAAGAGAGTTCTAGTGATAAGAGGGTTCTAGCGATGAGAGAGTTCTGGTGATAAGAGGGTTCTAGTGATAAGAGGGTTCTAGCGATGAAAGAGTTCTGGTGATAAGAGGGTTCTAGTGATAAGAGGGTTCTAGCGATGAGAGGGTTCTGGTGATAAGAGGGTTCAAGTGATAAGAGGGTTCTAGTGATAAGAGGGTTCTAGCGATGAGAGGGTTCTAGCGATGAGAGAGTTCTGGTGATAAGAGGGTTCTAGTGATAAGAGGGTTCTAGCGATGAGAGGGTTCTAGTGATAAGAGGGTTCTAGCGATGAGAGGGTTCTAGCGATGAGAGGGTTCTAGCGATGAGAGGGTTTTAGTGATAAGAGGGTTCTAGCGATGAGAGGGTTCTAGTGATAAGAGGGTTCTAGCGATGAGAGGGTTCTAGTGATGAGAGGGTTCTAGCAATAAGATGGTTCTAGCGATGAGAGGGTTCTAGCGATGAGAGGGTTCTGGCGATGAGAGGGTGTTGCAGATGAAGGTGCACCTGTAGGACTTGAAGACGATGGAGCGGTGGAAGCCCCTGTCGATGGATGACTGGTTCATGATCACCGAGTCCTCCTGGTTGTAGCCTGAGTAGCACGCGATGGCCACTATGGCGTTCTGTGGAGTGATGGGGAGAGAGAGAGAGAAGGGTGGAGGAAGGGGGGGGGAGGGGGGGGGGTGGGAGAAGTTGAGAGGAAAGACGGGGGAAGGAGGGCGAACGAGTAGTAGCTTGTGTGTGTGTGCGCATTAATTTCCACGTATGTTTATGCCCAACCATGGCCACCCGTGCCCACCCAAGCGAGCCATTATGCTATCACTCATGATGCCAGCTGGCAGCTCTCGGAAGTGCAGGTGCTCCACGGTGTGCGTATGCATGCACCCTAACCTAACCATCTAGTCGGGTGGTCACAATCCATGGCGTGGGTGGTGACCTTTTGTGCGCGGGTGGTGACAATCCATGGCGTGGGTGGTGACCTTTTGTGCGCGGGTGGTGACAACCACCTCAGTGCTTTCCGTCCGAGGGGCTTGTGTGCGTGTGAGTACACACGCACACATGCATGTAGATACGTGTGCGGTACCAATCTATGAAGTTGCCCCTCACAATGCCAGCGGGCAGCTCGCGGAAGTGCAGGTGCTCCATGGCGCGGGTGGTGGCGAGGGGCTTCTGCGGGTAGTAGAGCACGTAGGCCACGGTGTCCATGCGGGATTGGTAGTTGGTGACATACATGCCCATCGCCTGCTTGCCCATGGCGGACTGGTACGTGTTCCTGGGGGACTGGTGGATGGGGGAAGGCAGCAGGGAAGAGCGCAGGGCAGCAGGGAGGAGCGCAAGGCAGCAGAAATTAAGCTGGATAAGAAAGAGCCGAGCACGTAGGCCACGGTGTCCATGAGCGACTGGTACTGGTCACATACACTTGCCCATGGCCTGCTTCTCCATGGCGGACTGGTACGTGTTCCTGGGGGGCTGGGGTGGTTGAAGGAACAACCAGAGGTAGCGGACGGAGAGCACTGAGGTGCCATTGGACACCTTTTGAGTCGACTCAAAAGTCACCTAAGGAACAACCAGAGGTAGCGGACGGAGAGCACTGAGGTGCCATTGGACACCTTTTGAGTCGACTCAAAAGTCACCTAAGGGACAACCAGAGGTAGCGGACGGAGAGCACTGAGGTGCCATTGGACACCTTTTGAGTCGACTCAAAAGTCACCTAAGGAACAACCAGAGGTAGCGGACGGAGAGCACTGAGGTGCCATTGGACACCTTTTGAGTCGACTCAAAAGTCACCTAAGGAACAACCAGAGGTAGCGGACGGAGAGCACTGAGGTGCCATTGGACACCTTTTGAGTCGACTCAAAAGTCACCTAAGGAACAACCAGAGGTAGCGGACGGAGAGCACTGAGGTGCCATTGGGGGGAACAGGAGCAGCAGGGAAGCACTGAGTGCCACTGGAGAGCACTGAGGTGCCATTGGAGAACAACAGGAGCAGCAGGGAAGCTGGCAAAGGCAAGCCACATGGAAACATCTTACCAGGCTTGCAACATGTTGCCAGAATGGGGAGGCATTACCTGGTTGTGGTCGGGGGAGGCATTACCTGGTTGTGGTCGGGGAAGGGGATGATCGAAGCGCACACCCCCAGGATGAGCGACGGGTGGATCTCGCAGTGCGTGTACGTGTCACTGTACGCCTCTCTGGGGTTGAGACGGGCTGCAGTGACGTCCTGATGGTAAGAGAGAGCACAGAGAGCAGGGATGGGTGGAAGGTGTGAATGAGACGGGTGGATCTCGCAGTGCGTGTGCGTGTCACTGTACGCCTCTCTGGGGTTGAGCCGCGCCGCAGTCACGTCCTGTATGAAAGGGGATGAATAAGAGTGAATAAGAGGGGTGAATGGATGGAGTGAGTTGCTGGGGGGGATGGAAGGAGAGAGGAAGGTGAGCTGCTGGGGGGGATGGAAGGAGAGAGGAAGGTGAGCTGCTGGGGGGGATGGAAGGAGAGAGGAAGGTGAGCTGCTGGGGGGGATGGAAGGAGAGAGGAAGGTGAGCTGCTGGGGGGGATGGAAGGAGGGAGGAAGGTGAGTTGCTGGGGGGATGGAAGGACTTGCTGAGAGGAGTGAAGACGCAGGGTGCATATCGCAGCGCCTTCCATCCACCTGGTGCCCGACAGGCCGCCCTTTGAGTTCCTGGGTGAATCACGGGTGAATCACGTATATGCAGTGCAAGAATGCATCGTACTCAATGAACCCCTTCTCCACCAGCTCGTTCCACCCGATGCCAGCCCAAGAAACAGTCATTCAGGTTATGGTGCTAGAACGGTTTGCCATAAGACGGTAGCACTCACATGGATGGTCATGGAGATCATAGTCGTCTCCTCCTCCATCGTGTCCACGTACTCGATGAACCCCTTCTCCACCAGCTCGTTCCACCCGATGCCCGACCCCTCCTGCTGCAGCGCCAGCACGTCGCGCTTCTTGATCAGCAGCCGCTGCTTCTCCACGATGAAGAGCGGCCGAGAGCACCGCCCATAGTCCGTGTACAGCCGAAGTTCTCGCAACTTGATGTCTCGCACCACTGACACCTCCGAGTTCACGTCCAGCTGAATGACGCAAAAGGGAAGGGAAGGGGGGGGGAACCCAAGGGGAGTGGGAACGACGTGAGTTGCTTCTCCGATAAGAAGAGGGCGCAAGAGCACCGCCCGTGGTCCGTGTAGAGGCGCAGCTCCCTCAGCTTGATGTCCCGCACCACAGACACTTCTCAGTTCACATCAAGCTGGAAAGGAGGGAGAGGGGATAGTGGTGTTGATCAGCAGTCGCTGCTTCTCCACGATGAACAGCGGCCGCGAGCACCGCCCGTGGTCCGTGTAGAGGCGCAGCTCCCGCAGCTTGATGTCCCGCACCACCGACACCTACGAGTTCACGTCCAGCTACAGGGAGAGAAAGAGAGGGGGGAGGGGGGTGGAGAGGGGTGGGGGGGGGGTTTGGTAGCATGCTCCAGCAGCACAATAGCAGCTACAACACGCACAACAATCCTACAACACGCAACACGGCACGGGGCCCTCGCTACAGCAAGCAACCCACGTGCGGCCTCAGCTGCGTGAGCGTGCGCACGAGCTCGGCAGGGTCCCCATGCCCACCCACCCAGCAGCCCATGAGTGGCCACTGCCCACTAAAGCTTGTTTCCCAATACACGGCCCATTCCTCACCTGCCTCCTCAGCTGCCTGAGAGTCCTCACGAGCTCGTCCGGGTCCCGATGTACGCCCACCCAGCAGCCGTTGACAAACACCTTGGTGGCCTGCGGGATGAGCGCTGGGGAGATCTCCTGGTGAAGGGAGGGACGGGGGGGAAATAGAACAGCGCATGGCAATAAGAGAGGGTTAGAAGAAGTGCCTTGCCATACAGCCACCCAGCAGCCGTTGCCTGCGGGATGGGCGCTTGGGAGATCTCCCGGCGAGGGGGGAAGTGTGGGAGGAGAAGGGGGAGGAGCATTGACTTAAATTGACTTGATTCGCTTTGACTAGCATTGACTGAGAAAAGAGAGACGGAGAGGGAGAGGTAGGGGGAGGGAGAGGGGGAGGGGGGCGGGGAGGGGGAGGGAGAAGGGGAGGGGGAGGGGAGGGAGAGGGAGAGGGGAGGGAGAGGGAGAGGAGGGGGAGGGAGGGAGAGGGAGAGGGAGTGGGAGAGGGAGAGGGGGAGGGGGAGGGGGAGGGGGAGGGGGGAGGGGGAGGGGGAGGGGGAGAGGGAGGGGGAGGGTGAGGGGGAGGGGGAGGAGGAGGGGGAGGGGGAGGGCGGGGGGAGGGGGAGGGGGAGGGGGAGGGGGAGGGTGGGGGAGGGGGAGGGGGAGGGGGAGGGAGAGGGAGAGGGAGAGGGAGAGTACCTCAAGGTTCTCAGTAATCCTTTCCTCCAGGAACTCCAGAGTAGGGGCGGCGTTGCTCCCCACAGTAATATATGTCATGAGCGCCAGGTTCCTCACCAGCCCCACCAACTGCCGTCTGTTCTGAGCTCGCTCAACCCAAACCTCATTGGGCTCAGCGCCAGGTTCCTCACCAGCCCCACCAACTGCCGTCTTTTCTGAGCTCGCTCAACCCAAACCTCATTGGGCTCAGCGCCAGGTTCCTCACCAGCCCCACCGCCTGCCGGATAGTGTAGTGTCGTGTGGCGTGGCTCACGACCAGCGTACCTCGAGGTTCTCTGTCAGCCACTCTTCCAAAAACTCCAGGATGGGAGCGGCGTTGCTCCCCACAGTGATGTACGTCATCAGTGCCAGGTTCTTCACCAGCCCCACTGCCTGCCCCTCGGGGGTCTCTGCGGGGCACATCATGCCCCACAGCGAGTTGTGCAGCTGGCGCGGCTTGGCTAGTTTCCCATCGCGGCCGATGGGGGAGTTGAGGCGACGGAGATGGGAGAGGGAGGATGCATAGGCCAGCCGATTCAGCACCTGGGGGGGGGCGGGAATGCAGGGCCACAGAAGAGAGAGAGAGAGAGAGAGTCTTGTCCCTGCGGTGCTCAGCAGGAGCGTGAGTGGGGTCTCCGCGGGGCACATCATGCCTCGCCGTGAGTTGTGCAGCTGGCGGGGCTTTACCAGCTCGGCAAACCAGCCCTGTGGGATGCACTCAGAGGGAACCGGCTCGGCAAACATAGATGGATGAGGTGGCGATATGAGAGGACAGGAGAGGACAAGTGTGGAGGAGAAGAAGCCTCAGATCCTACAAAACCCATTACCACACTCAGAGGACACCTTTCACACCCTCCGAATCTCCAATCCACCTTTCAGACTACAACCTGCGACATCCCCGCCTTGGTGCCCCCCTGGTTGGCCTGGCCCCAGTTGCCCGTGGCGTGGCGACACAGTACTTGGGTCCTCTCCACTTGCCCTTAGCCACACAGTAGTTGGGGCCTCCCGTGATGATATTTGTATTCACTGACCAACAGACAGGTCCAACCTGAAACCCGATATCTCACCTGCGACACCCCTGCCTTGGTGCCGGCCTGGTTGGCCTGCCCCCAGTTACCCGTAGCCACAGAGTACTTGAGCCCCCCGGTGATGATCTTTGCCTTGACTGCATATGTGATGTTGATCTCCTTGCCGTGGTCCACGCACTGGCAGGGACACACATGGAGATTTTGGGGGGGGAAGAGGGAAGGAAGGGGTGGGGGGGGGAGGGAAGGGGAACAAGGCGAGGAATCTCAAATGCCTTGACTGCGCCTGGTCCACGGCAAGGACATGTCATGTTGATCTCCTTGCCTTGCCGTGGTCCACGCACTGGCAGGGAAGAGAATGTGTGCAGGGGAATGGAACGAGCAAACCAGTAACCCAGCACAACTCTTTCCTCCTCGCCTGACCATTTAGCCTCCCCGCCCACTCCTTCCCTTACCCTATCTACTCACTTACCTGCTGCAGGGTAGCTGCGCACGTCCTTGGTGAGCTTGCGGAACAGCTGCTACCGTTCCCAGTGCCTATCTCCCCACCTTTTACCCTGCTCTACAGTACAGTTACCTCTTTCACCTTTCCCCCATTCCCTCTCACCCGCTGCAGGTAGCCGCGCACGTCCTTGGTGAGCTTGCGGAACAGCTGCACAGGGGGACGTACGCAAGAGAGATGGCAAGTTGAGGAAGAAGGAGAGACGAGGGGCACGGGAAACGGAGGTGGAGTGGGGTGGAAAGAGGTGACTTTTGAGTGGGGTGACTCAAAAGTGGGGTGGAAAGACAGCACAAGCTGGTGCCAGACGGTGGGAGAGAGAGCGCGAGATGCGCGCGAGAGGCGCGAGAGAGGCGCGAGAGAGGCGCGAGAGAGGCGCAAGAGGAGAGAGAGAGAGAGGCGTGGGGGGGGTGGTGGCGGGGGGGAAGGCAGCCTGCAATTGAAGGGAGCGAGGAGTCAGAGCAGAGCAACCAGCAGCAAACACTCAAGTTAGGGCTGGACCTCACCTGGCGGAACAGCCCTGCCAGCAGCGGCCCAGCGAGGTCCAAGCGCTTGTTGCCGTAGTGATCCCTGTCGTCCTCATTGCGCCGCCCCAAGGCGCAAAGCAGCAGACGGTGAATCATGTAGCTGCGGGGGGGAGGGAAAAGACAAGATCAGGGAGGGGCAGAATCGACAAGACCAGGGAGTGAAGGGCTGAAGCAGTGGCAATGACAAGGGAGGGGCAGAATAGTCATCCCTCGCTGCTTGCACCGCCCCAAGGTGCACAGCAGCAGCAGCCGATGAATCATGTATCTGGGGAAAGGGTGGGGGGGGGATAGGTAGAAGAAGGATGGATACCACCAGTCATGTTCAAACACACTAAACATAGTCACTTAGTGCAGGGACTAGGCTCGCCCAACAGTGAGATCCTGCTTTAAGGTGTTCCGAAACTCGAATACTGCAGAGCCCTAGCCGAGAATGCGATCCTCACCCAAAGAAATAGGCTTTCTTGGTCTCGCAGAACTCGCCCACGCCAACGTGAGGCAGGAACTCCCGCTGCAGAATGTCCTTGGCGTACCTGGGGTTTAGAGGGGGGGGAAAGGGGGGGGGGGGGGGAGGGAGGAAAAGAGGGAAGTAGGGGAAATGGTTTTGAGTCGACTAAAAAAAAGAACTCGCCCACGCCAACATGCGGCAGGAACTCCCGCTGAAGAATATCCTTGGCATACCTGGGAGAGAGAGAGGAGGGGGGGGGGGGGAGGAGGGATGCGGGGTGAAGAGAGGGAGGGTGAAGTAGGCTTTCTTGGTCTCGCAGAACTCGCCAAAGCCAACGTGAGGCAGGAACTCCTGCCGAAGAATATCCATGGCGTACCTGGGGGGGGTTGAAAGGAGTGGGAAGGGGCAGAAAGCAGAAACAACGGGTGTGTGCACGAATTTTTGAGTCGACTAAAAAATCAACTCATTACACACGGATTTTGGGTCGACTAAAAAATCGACTCATTACACACGGATTTTCGAGTCGACTAAAAAATCGACTCATTAAACACAGATTTTGAGTCGACTCAAAAAAAGAAGGGGCAGAACGCAGAAACAATGGGTGTGTGCATGGAGAATGCAGAGACTCGAAGGCTACTATTGAGGCGCCTCAAAATGCAGAGACTCGAAGGCTACTATTGAGGCGCCTCAAAATGCAGAGACTCGAAGGCTACTATTGAGGTGCCTCAAAATGCAGAGACTCGAAGGCTACTATTGAGGTGCCTCAAAATGCAGAGACTCGAAGGCTACTATTGAGGCACCTCAAAATGCAGAGACTCGAAGGCTACTATTTCAAGCAAAAGAAGAAAGAAAAGGAAAAGGAGGTGAAGCATAGGTTAAGTTTTGAGTCGCCTCTAAGCTACAGCGTTGGAGCAAAGGCTGATGAAATGGTGGTAAGGCGTAGATGAATGAGTATGAGGGGAATGGGCGTTGCAAATGTCTTTTGAGTCGACTTTTGAGTCGACTCAAAAGTCATGAATGAGTATGAGGGGAATGGGCGTTGCAAATGTGCGCCAACTGTCAAGCAGGGTGGGGGGAGGACCGCCTCACACTGCTTTTGAGTCGACTGAAAAGCAGACTCATTACACGCGGTTTTTACTTGTTGCTTGGCGTGAATGAATGAGGAGAACGGGCATTGCAAATGTGTGCCAACTGTCAAGCAGGGGGGAAAGGAAACTGCCTCACACTCGCTCACTTCATTATTGAAACGTTTCAAAACTTGGGGTAAAGGCTGAGCCATGGTGGAGGCGGCTATGGACTGGGGGAACGGGTACGGTGCGAACATGGGGCAAACTGTCAGTCAGGGTGGCAGGCAGCCCACAGGGCGGCGGCACCCGCCTCACTCACTTTATTCTTCGCTCGCGCGGCGCACCCACAGGCACGCCTCGTTTGCCAATGTAATCCAGAGCCACCTGAAGAGGGCACATTATGAAAATGAAAAGGAAGAGGAAACGCAACACAGTAATGTAATTTATTATGTCATTTATTATGTCATTTATAGAGAACCAACCTGACAAGAGGACGCAGCAGCAGTAGCATTTATTAATCCACACACCACACACACAGTGTGTAACAGCAGGTGACACTCTGCCCACCTGCTGGTTCTGGATGACAAACGCCCCCTCCAGGGAGGGCCGCAGCAGCAGCTCCATCATGGCGGTGTCAGAGAAGTCGTAGCACACGTGCTCCATGATGTCCTTGTCCGCCACAAACGAGTGGGACAGACAGCCAGCACGCACGGGGAACAGCGCAGCACACAGCACACAACACACAACACTAGTAGAGTAGTAGACTGTACACCCACCTGCTGGTTCTGAATCACAAAGGCTTCTTCCAGCGAGGGTCGCAGCAGCTCCATCATGTCGGTATCAGTGAGGTCGTAGCACACGTGCTCCATAATGCCCTTCCTTGCCCGCCACGAACAGGTGGCTCAGCACACACAGGAAACAGCGCGTGCAGTGCAACACGCAGGAGACACAGACACCCATACCCTCGCACCTGCTGGCTCTAAAAAACGAAAGCTTCCTCCAGGGACGGCCTTAGCAGCTCCATCATGGAGGTGTCGGTGAAGTCGTAGCACACTTGCTCCATGATGCCTTGTTCGCCACGAACAGGTGGGACAGACAGACAGACAGACAGACAGACAGACAGACAGACAGACAGACAGACAGACAGACAGACAGACAGCACGCAGGCACGTGGAACATCACAGCACACATCGCACAGTACTAGTAGACAGCGGTACACCTACCTGCTGGTTCTGGATGACAAACGCCTCCTCCAAGGAGGGCCTGAGCAGCTCCATCATGGCGGTATCAGTGAAGTCGTAGCACACGTGCTCCATGATGTCCTTGTCCGCCACAAAGCCCAGCGCTCTGAAGACCACAATGATGGGGATCTCCGCCTTGATGTACGGCAGCGTGGCGCGGATCACTTGCCCCGAGGAGCCCTGTGGGTGGTTGGCGGGAGCGAGAAGCACAAAGAGCAATATAGCAAGATTGGCTGTCCGCCACAAAGCCCAGCGCTCTGAAGACCACGATGATGGGGATCTCCGCCTTGATGTAGAGGAGGGTGGCGCGGATCACCTGCCCCAAGGAGCCCTGTGGGTGGTTGGGGGGAGAGAACCACGAAGCCCAATGCTCTGAAGAGACCACGATGAAGGGGATCTCCGCCTTGATGGACGGCAGGGTGGCGCGGATCACTTGCCCCGAGGAGCCCTGCGTGGGGGGGAGAGAGAAAAGAAAGGAACAATGGAAGTAGAAGGGTTATCCGCCGCAAAGGCTAATGCCCAGAACACCACGATGATGATGGGGATCTCCGCCTTGATGTAGGGGAGGGGAGGGTGGCTCGAATCACGATGATGATGGGGATTGGATGCCCAATGCCCAGAACACCACGGTGATGATGGGGATCGCCGCCCTGATATATGGGGGGTGGCTTGAATGACTTGGCCCTGAAGACCAGCCCTGAAGACCAGCCCTGAAGACCAGCCCTGAAGACCACATACGCGGCTGCCGCTTCTGAAACACAGATCTACATTCAACTGGCATGCCGTTTTGGAGGAGAAGCACAAGAAACATACCAGGTGAGACGTACCGGGAGAGACGTACCGGGAGAGACGTACCGGGTGAGACGTACCGGGAGAGGTGTACCGGGAGAGATGTACCGGGAGAGGTGTACCGAGAGAGACGTACCGGGAGAGACGTACCGGGTGAGACGTACCGTTTTGGATGAGGAGCGCGAGAGCATGCGCACGAAGCAGGAGCTGAGCGGGCGGTTCTGCCTCTCCCCCATGCTCCACACCTCCGCCACACATGCGTACTTCTAGGCCGCTTCTGGAACACATATCTACCTTCAACTCGCATGCCGATTTGGAGGAGAAGCAAGAGAGACGTACCGTTTTCGAAGAGGAGCGCGAGAGCATGCGCACGAAGCAGGAGCTGGGCGGGCGATTCTGCCTCTCCGCCATGCTCCGCACCTCCGCCACATACGCGTACTTGTTCGGCTGCCGCTTCTGGAACACATACACGTGATTACTCGCCATCTTCTCCTGCGCTATAAGCACCTTCTCGCTCCCATTGATCACAAAATACCCCCCCTGGTCATACGGGCACTCCCCCAGCTCCGTCAGCTCCTTCTCAGTCGCGTTATGCAGCGTGCAGTAGTTCGACCGCAGCATAATCGGGATCTTCCCGATGAAGACCTTGTCCGCCTGCTCCGCGCTGACCTCCTCCTCCCCGTCCTCGCCCCGCGTGGTGATGGTCTTGGTGATGTCCACGTAGAGGGGGGCTGCGTAAGTCAGGTTGCGGAGGCGCGCTGCTTTTGGAAACAAGGTATTCGTCTCGCCATCAGGTTCAGTCATGGTTGGCTTGGACAGGTAGATCTGCCCGAACGTCACCTTGCACGACATCTGGAGAGGGGGGAGAGGGGGGAGAGGGGGGAGAGGGGGGGGGAGGGAGGAGAGGATCGGGCCATCATTGGAGAGAGTTGAACATGCTCTCTGGCTCCGTCATAGTGGGCTTGGACAGGTAGATCTGCCCGAACGTCACCTTGCACGACATCTGGAGAGGGGGGGGGAGGGAGGAGAGGATTGGGCCATCATTGGAGAGAGTTGAACATGCTCTCTGGCTCCGTCATAGTGGGCTTGGACAGGTAGATCTGCCCAAACGTCACCTTGCACGACATCTGAGGAGGGGGGGTGGGTTGAGACAAAAAAGAGAGAAAGCATCAGAAAATGAGTCCAGCTGCTGGAATATAAAACCTCTTGTCAAACGAGTCCAGCCCAGCTGCTGCTGCCGCGATGGCTTCCTAATCAATTCCCAGCATTTGTTTTGAGGCACCGAAAGTGGCACCTACAACTCGTTAAACGAGTCCAGCTGTCGCCCCACCGCCCACCAGAAAGAGTCCGGGGATGCGCTGCGCCTGTTGAGGCGCCTAAAAAACAAGGGTTCTCGCCATACGTACATCTGTAGTGTCCGACCGGGGACGCGTTGCGCCTCCGGGCGAACCTCGATCTCCGCGGATTCATCCACGATGCTCTGCATGGCGTCGTGGATGAACTCATTGAACGACTACAGCCACACAAGACCGGCGTGGCGTGCCATACGTACATCGGTGGTATCCAATGGGCGCCCCGGGATATGCTGTACCTCCGGGTGAACCTCGATCTCCGCGGATTCGTCCACGATGCTCTACATGGTGTCGTGAATGAACTCATCGAACGAGTCCAGCCGCTGCCGCACGAGCCCCTTCTCCAGTCAAGTTGCTGCGTCTACCAACCAGTAGAAGCATGTTCGTGCCGTACATACATCGGTGGTGTCCATTGGTCGACCGGGAATATGCTGCGCCTCCGGCCGGACTTCAATCTCCGCGGATTCATCCACGATGCTCTGCATGGTGTCCTGAATGAATTCATTGAACGAGTCCAGCTGCTGCCGCACGAGCCCCTTCTCCTCGAAGTACGCGCTTATCACGGCCCACGCGTCCTCCTGCGTGATCTCCTCCTCCTCGCGCTCCCCCTCGTACTCCTCCTCCTCGCCTCCTCCGTACATCGCGCCTGCTCCACGCGATGCCGATTCTAAATCACTTGACACTAAGCCCTGATTTAGGCCTTGGCAGGACGGAAGTCTGCTTTGGTGACGCAAGCCGGAGTACGCTTTGCTGGAATTAATCGTAGCCTCTGATAAAAGGGTTTCGCAAAACTTGAATCAACCCTAAATTCCCTCCGAGCTTATTCAGCCCTAGAGATAAAAAAGAACCCCGCTTTGCGTCAACACGCGCCTCTCCGAAATCTCTTCCCCCACCGCTTGGCACGCTGACCTAATTTCGTTCCACCCACGCAAGCTAAGGGAAAGTCAACGTTCCGCAAAGCAGCTCCCGACAGACGACTGCGCCTGCAACATTAATCGCAACTCGAGTCGGATATAGCGCGGATAGCTTCCCCCACCGTGCTCCTGCTCTAGCAGTAGCACACACGCAGCACTGCACTTTCCTAACACAGTGCTTGCTTGCTGCTAGACACGCTGCTGGCACAAAAATGAAAATTTGCTCAACAGTAGCAGTATTTGTACTGAGGTGGGGAGGCTAGGTCAGGGAAACACAACGCATGCCTCAGAGTTGCTGCCTTGAGAGTGTTGTGTCAGGCAGACTCGATCCGTGGCTTGACCAGGAAGGAACCTCTGGTATGCACAGAGCATGTGGCTACACCTTGAGAATCATACAAATATTTTCCTTACAAGGTATGTACATAGGCTTTGACTTAGTGTGACGAACAACATCGACATGGAAATTGATTCTCTTGTGAATAAATCTAATCATATTCAATCAGTGTAAATAAACAAGAATTGAATAAGAATTATAAGAACCTCACCCATATCGTTTCACAATGCATCAAGGCCACAATATACATATCGAAGCTGTTGGAAATATCTCAAGGACTTAAGCGTTTCTGAAGTGTAACACTGTACTCGAGGAAGACTACAGGGGAGCACGCGAGTCAACGGAGGTTACACGAGGGGGCGGACAAAGAATGCGAAAGGACTCGAAAGGTCGCAACTGGAGGTTGCGACTGACCGTTACAACATCACGGATGGTAACCGAAGCGGCAATCGAGTCGCTGTGCGACTCGATAAACCGTTCCTGTAACTGTATTCTACAACTGCTTTCTTATCTACTATATATTGCTGTATGCTTGTTTCTTTAATCAATCACTTGTTCTCACATACTAGTACAAGGGTTCAACCGTCTCAACTTCCGCTGCACTACTCCAAGTCTCAAGTCTCTACAAGCTGGGACTTAGTCTCTGCAAAAGATCCTAAGGGCTTTTCTCAGCCCAACATGGTATGAGAGCTGGTCAGAGACCAAACTCCCAGCAACTACGTCCTATCAACAACCTGCAACTCAACTCAATTCAACGACTTCATTGATTACAAGACATGGACAACAAGGGCAAGAAAGTCTCTACGGGCTCACCCAGCGCCCAAGAAACTCAACACGGCAACTCTGGTCTGCACACCTCAGGACTGCAGACAGAGACCGGGACTGCTCAAGAAACAACGGGAAGAGTACCAGAGATGGTGACCCCGTCTCCCTCTTCAAGTGTGGACCCGAATCTCATGGAGAGATTCTTCAGCTTCATGTCACACTTCGATCAGCAGCAGCAGACAAGGACACCTGCGCACTCAACACAGAGCAATGGAGGGAATATGGGATTAGCGCCGATGAGCCTCGACAACTCATCCTTCGGGCGACACAATCAAGCGCCTACCTTTGCGCCTTATCATTCTTCGCCGGGGACGTTCGAATTCATGCCGCCCCGTGCCCAGCCAACAGCAGCTGCTTCACAACAAACACCGAATGAAATCTTAAGTTTACAGGCGCAGTTCTCACACGTGATCAAACTTCAGACATCCTCACCGTTCAACGGACACGACTTCTTTACCTGGAGCTTCGAGTTCGAGCTGCTGATGGAGGCCGCGCATCTTCTGGGATACTTCAACGGGTCCCTGCCATTCCCAAGCAACGGCACTGGGAAGGAACAAGAGATCTTCACGTATCAGTCGCTGCTGGCGTACACGGTACTCCTGAGAAACCTGTCACCACAAGAGCAGCAGAGCATCAGAACGTATCGGAGTTATGGAAACTCCGCGGAGCTCGCATGGCACCACCTCAAATGCCTTTACCAAGCAAACGACAGCGTGACACAAAGCAGACTCATGCAACAGCTGACAACAATACAGATGAAGACCGGGGAAAAGGCGATGCAGTATATGAGTCGCTGCCAGACCCTCCGCGACCGCCTGCTTCGGTGCGGAGGAACGATCACTGAAGAAAGCTTCGTGACACTTGTCCTCGCCGGGCTCGGGCCAGAATGGAGAACCACACGATCACTTCTTCGAGCCCACGGAAGAATTTCGGAGATGCACCTCTGCGCCGAGCTTCACGCTGAACAACAGGAGATGGATCTGTTCGAGGAAAGACAACCAAGGAAGCAACAGCAGTTAGTCTTCTACACTCAAAGAAGAAATGACAACAACTACAACCGACGCAGCAAGCAAGATCAACGTGACAACCGAGGACTCACCATCGTGCCGCCGTTCTGCCACAACTGTCAGACTTCCGGGCACTCCAAGGTCAACTGCAACCGCCCTCGCGTTTACCGTGCAGCAGACCCACAAGTCGCTTCCACTCAAGCAAGTCCTCCAAGGCGCTCTTCAACATCTGCACAACAAACACCCAACATCATCAACTGCATGGTACACATCGACAACTGCGCACCCGCTTCACCACCCACTTACGCACCAGACGAAGAGGAATTCCCGCCGCCGCGCTCGCAAGGACTTCAGGTCAACCCGACATACGCTGCAGTCGCTAACGCCGAACCCACCGGGCGGAACACCTGGTTCTTGGACAGTTGCTGCGGTCAGCACATGTGCTCCTCCGGACGCTTCGTACAACACGAGCGACGCCTCAACCGTGACGTCGTCATCACCGTCGCCAACAACGAAAACCTGAAAACAAATAGACAAGGCGTGGTTCAGTTACAATCAATGGAGACAAACGTTATTCTTCAGCTCAACAAGGTCCTCATCGTCGACAATCTGGGATACAACCTATTAAGCGTAAGCCAACTAATGGCTAAGGGGATTCACCTGGAGTGCGACTCCTTCTCCAACGAGTTCCGACTTTACCACGGGAAGGGCGGTCTCTTCATCGGTCGTGCCCTCCTGAAGTCCGGTGTCTTCGTGTTGGACTTCGTCCCCGACCGCGGAACTGCCGACAGCGACGGTATCGTATCCTTCGCCGCCTGGACTCATCCGCCAGATCTTGATCCCGACTTCGACAGCGACGGCTTCTGGCACTCCAACACCATACCTGCAGCAGAAAGAACACGAGCATTAGCAGTTATCAGACAAGAAAGACAAGTACCCGCATGTGTCCCAACAAAACCATCACCTGCAGTATCGGCAGCAGGACCCAGCCGAGTACCACCACCAGCGACACGAGGACAGCCAACCGAAGCAGACCAACTTATGCCCGCCACACGAGAAGCTTGTCGAAGTCCCGCCTCGGTCGTCGCGTTCTTCTCCAACGCCGACATCTACCACCGCTCGCCCGGTCACCGCGCTCCCGACGACATCTGGCACCAACGTCTCGGACATCCTGCAAACAGCACGATACTTCAAACAATCCAAGCAGAAGTGTTAGAACGCAACGCCCTTCTGACGACGAGCGGCCAGGAACTCCGACGACCACGCGCACGGTGTTTCACATGCCCCGAAGCAGATCTTCCTCATCAACCTTTCCCAGCCCATCACAATCCAAGCGCACCCACTTACGCTCCGATGGAAAAGGTCTACAGCGATATTCTAAACATGCCTCGAGACGACACCGAAGCCGACTTCAACTACGTCATCACGTTCATCGACGCCGCAACCAGATACGTCTGGCACTTCAATCTCAAAACGCGCGATCAAGCCTTCGAGGCATTCACCACATGGCTTCCAATCGCCGAACGAGAGTCAGGAACCAAACTCAAGAGTTTCCAGTCAGACGGTGCACTGGAATACCAGTCACAACGCTTCAGGACCTATCTCGCGGAAAGGGGAATCCGACGCCTGGTGTCTCTGCCCTATGCTCACCAGCAGCAGGGGGTAGCAGAACGCATGAACCGGACCTTGCAGACGACGATGCGAAAACTGCTTCTGGGGATGAGGCTGCCCAACGCACTGTGGCCAGACGCGATGACACATGCAGTCCACCTGCACAACCTGTTGTCCTCGTCATCGCTCCCCAACAACGCATCACCACACCTGCTGTGGACGGGAAAAAGGGGCAGCACAAAATTACTTCGAGTTTTCGGCTGCATGGTACAATACAGACCCCACACAGCTCGAGCAGGACGCTTCACTCAACGAGCTCGGTGGGGACTACACCTCGGCATCGCCAAACATTTTCACGCGTGGAAGATCCTCGACATACAAGACAAAAATACGGTGGCATCACGTGATGTTATCTTCTACGAGCGACTGACGCTGCAGCATTACCTGGACAACATTGCCAACTCAGACGACCCCACCGACGGCTTCGCGGGCCTTCGCTCCTTCGCTGACCATGCTGCCGAGGCTGACGCAGCAGAAGAAGACGTACCTGGAGCCTCGGAAGCTGCCGGGCCACTCCCATTCTGTTCCATACCTGTTCCACTCGATGAAGATAATCCCCTCGATAGCAACAACCTCGACACCTTTTACCACTTCGCCGACCAAGGTTACGCTACACCGCACCCCGTCGACACGAATATTTCGGAACGCATCGGCCCCAATTTCTTACCTGACCCCGAAGACGGTGACGAAGCAGCTTATTCGGGGAATGACAATTCCCCTCGACACACACCCACGGGACTCCAGATTCTAGGCCTCTGGGTCTCCGTCCAGCATCCGCCGCTGCCTTCTACGCGTGAGCCTTCAACCTTGTCGCAGGCTCTGGGGGGGGAACATAAGGCAAAATGGAAAGAAGCGATGGAAAAGGAGTTAAAAGCTCTGCAAGACCGAGAAACATGGAAACTGGTACCTGCAACGAGCATCAACGGGAAGAACGTTCTCTCGGGGAAATGGGTGTACCGCATCAAGACCAACTCAGACGGCTCCATCGAACGATTCAAAGCTCGATGGGTCGTACGAGGCTTCGATCAACGATACGGAACCGACTACACAGAAACCTTCGCCCCAGTCTCCCGTCACACCTCATTACGCATCCTACTCGCCGTCGCGGCCACAAAAACACTACCACTACGCCAAATCGATGTCGCGAATGCGTTCCTATACGCACCTGTGGACGCTGAGATCTTCGTCGAACAACCCCACGGATTCATCGACGACCCCACGAAAATATGCCGACTGACAAAATCCCTATACGGGATCAAGCAAGCCCCGCGGCTCTGGCAGCAGCATCTTCACAGCCGTCTCGTAAAAATCGGCTTCCTACAGCTGCCGCATGACCAAGGGATGTACCGACTGCAGAAGGGAAGAGAGTATGTTCTGCTCATCGTCTACGTCGACGACCTGCTCTACATCGGCTCAACTACCGACATCGCCACCTGGTTCGAAGGGGAGCTGAAAGAAGATTTAACTCTCACGGTGTCCGACGAAGTTACGCAGTACCTAGGACTGAACGTCGTCGAAGACGACACGGCGTTCTACCTACACGCTGGAAAGTACTCAAGCACCGTCGCGAAGAAATTCGCTCTAACACCGACTGCGGTCCCAACTCCCTACCGCTACGGGAACAACGGCAGCGCCTCTACAAAACTCCCCGCGAAACAAATCCAGGAGTATCAACAGAAGCTCGGCTGCCTACTATTCGCAGCAGTAACCTGCCGACCCGACCTATCCTATAGTGCGAGTCAGCTGGCGACACATCTGAAGCATCCGCAACAGGAAGATCTCGAAGAACTCAATCGAGCGCTACTCTACTTCGTCTCCACGCCGACGATCGGGCTTACCTACAGCAAGGCAACAACACCGTCCGTACGACTACTCGGATACGTCGACGCCGACCACGCGGGAGACAGCGAAAATCGACGGTCTAGGACGGGCTACATCTACCGACTAGAACCTATCGGAACTATCTCCTGGCAGTCGAGCAAGCAGGAGTTAATCGCACTATCCTCGGCTGAAGCAGAGTATATCGCCCTTTGTACTGCGACCAAGGAAGGACTCTACCTACGAGAGTTACTCGAAGAAGCGAAGATCGCGACCCTGCCCGCCTTCTCACTCCTCTGCGACAACCAATCTGCGATCAAAATCGCGAACAAGGACGGCTTCGCCAATCGAACCAAGCACATCGCCCTGCGGTACTTCTTCGTCAAGGATGAAATCGCGAAGGGGAGACTTCAACTCAGTTACTGCCCGACGACAGAAATGGCCGCAGATTATCTGACGAAGAAATTGGCGAAAGCAAAATTCGACTACTGCATGCTCCTAACCGGGCAAACAAACGCCACCAGATCTGAACACTCCAGCACTCCAGAAACGAAGGGGAGTGTTGGAAATATCTCAAGGACTTAAGCGTTTCTGAAGTGTAACACTGTACTCGAGGAAGACTACAGGGGAGCACGCGAGTCAACGGAGGTTACACGAGGGGGCGGACAAAGAATGCGAAAGGACTCGAAAGGTCGCAACTGGAGGTTGCGACTGACCGTTACAACATCACGGATGGTAACCGAAGCGGCAATCGAGTCGCTGTGCGACTCGATAAACCGTTCCTGTAACTGTATTCTACAACTGCTTTCTTATCTACTATATATTGCTGTATGCTTGTTTCTTTAATCAATCACTTGTTCTCACATACTAGTACAAGGGTTCAACCGTCTCAACTTCCGCTGCACTACTCCAAGTCTCAAGTCTCTACAAGCTGGGACTTAGTCTCTGCAAAAGATCCTAAGGGCTTTTCTCAGCCCAACAGAAGCAACCACTAATGCAGCAGCAACCACCTTGTCAACATATATTTGCATATGTTATAGGCTAGAGAGGTGGTTTTGTCATAAGGACTTGTACTGCCTATGAGCATGCATATATCTTAGTCAATAATATATACAAATATATGTTAAGACACCCCCTAGTAAGTGACAAGGGGCAACGACTAGTAAGAGACACGCAGCTCAGCGCAGCACTATTAGTCCAACCTCTGAGGCAAGGGTCTGAAGACCAGTCAGCAGGAGTACAAAGGAAACAAAAGTAACACAAGGCCGGTCAAGGTAATATAAGATATAGTATACAATCAAGGTTCTAGCAAGTGAGAAGCTATAGGAACTAGACCAAGCTAAACACAGTGCCGCTTATGATCTTTAGGCGCAAGCGCCTTCCTAAAGATATCAGCTATGTTGGCACCGGAGGCCTAGTGAACTACGCGGGCCTGGCGGCGCTGCTGTAGCTCGCGCAGGAGGAAGTACCGCAGCTGGATGTGCTTCGCTCTGCCCTCCAATCGAGGCTCCTGACACAGGAGGATCATGGCCCTGTTGTCAGCGTACAGGACAGGGGCAGAGCTAGGCCACTCACCTAAGCTTGTGAGAAAGGAAGTCAGCCAGCGGAGCTCTTGTGCCGCCATGGCACCAGCGTCGATCACAGCCTCACAGCTAGACTGTGCAACAGACGACGAGCGCGTGGACCTCCACAAGATGGCGCCTGCACTCTGGGCGGACCTGAGCGTTTCAGCGTCGTCTGCCCGCAAAGCGTCAGTGTGCCCAGTAAGGACCACTGGCATGCGTCCTCCTAGCACTAGCCCCATGCGCGATGTACTTGTTAGATAACGCAAAACCCTCTTAGCGGCCGACCAGTGCTGTGGTCGGTGTCTGCCTGACGCCACAAAGCGAGCCAGGATGCTGAGAGGGTATGCGAGATCTGGACGAGTGCAAGTCATCAAGTACATAAGGCAACCCACCAGCTCTGCATACGGACCACTAGGCTCTATCGACTCCTCAGAGACAAGAGCCAACAGCCTGTGACCTACTGGCAGAGGTGTGGGTCGTGCGGAGGAGAACAGAAGACCGAACCTCTGAAGGACCTGGCGCACCAAGTGTGACTATGTAAGACTGATGTTGCGTGCTGCTTTATCCCTGGAGATCTGCAGGCTAAGGTAGCGATGCAACTCTCCTAGGTCAGTACAGGTGTGTCTCCTCAGCAGCTTAGCCTTCACAGAGGCCAGTGCGTCTCTGTTTGCAGTAGCGAAGACCAGGCCGTCTACGTAGAAAAGGATGTAGAACGGTGTCTGGCCTGAAAGAACGAAGAGCGAGGGGTCTACAGATGACAGGGAAGAACTGCAGGTCAGCTAATGTAGCACGCAGCGTGTCGTGCCACTCTTGGGGCGCCTGCCGCAAGCCGTAAACCGGGCGCCGGAGGAGCGATTCGATACCAGGGGCAAAGGTGCCGGTGAAGCCTAGCGTACAGCGCAGGTAGACCTGCACGTGCAGACTGCCCTGGAGAAACATTATGGGGAAGTTGAGGGAGTGCAGCTCGTAGTCATGCTGTACTGCTACGTGTAGCAGCGCCCTAAGAGTGGTCATCTTCTGGGTCGGGGCGAAGGTCTGGAAGAAGTCAACTCCCTCGCGCTGACTGAAGCCTCTAGCAACGTAGCGCACCTTGAACACCGGCCGCTCTACAAGAGGGCGCTTCACCTTGAAGAGTCACCGGCGATCGACTACGTTTACCCTAGGTGGGGGAACTGCGTCGACGTAGATGCCGGTGGATCTCTAAGATGCCATCTCCGCGTCCATGACAACTATCCACTAAGAGGCCCAAGGTCCCGAGGCCACCTCAGCGTAAGTGCGAGGGGTCGGGATGTCAAAGGCGTCTTGGTCACCCTCAGGGACTAGCAGCATGGAACAGAGATGGGGAGCGGCCTCGGACAGGAAATCGAGCTCTCACTGCCTGCCTCTAGAACGTCACTGCCCAGGGCAGGTGCACCCCCGACAAACGGAGGACGGACAGGGTCAGAAACCAGAGCAGTGGCGTAGTCAAGGTGGCGAGTAGAGGCAAAATCAGCGACGGCAGCGACAAGAGCGTCAAGACTGGAGACATGAATGGACGGGTTGGTAACAAGAGAAACAAGAACGCGAGGGACAAGCGGACTAGCGGTACGGAGGAAGTCCGAGACAGGAGGAGGGGAGACAACAAGCGACGACTGAGGAGGCGACGGTAGAAGGGGAGCACGAGACGTGTGAGAACGGAGCAACATAGGGTGAGAGCGCTGAACAGGAGAGTCAGGACGAGCACGAGAGGCACGGTGAGATCACCAGCAGGAGGGGGGGGGTCGGGTCAAATGACAAGGGAGGAGACACAACAGGAGAATGAGGGGGGAAACAAGCTGGGGACGAGTTTTGAGAAGGAAACACAGGGCCGTAGACAGGCAGGGGAGGCGGAGGCGGGGAGACGAAGGCGGGCGGTCGGGGAAAGGAAGACCGAGGAGGCGAAGGGCGGTCAACGGTGGCGACTTCTGCTGCTGCTACTCCACGCTGACATCATAACCTCCAGCTGCACCACGGCTACCTCCAGGATGCTCCACGCCAACACCCCCAGAATGAAAACCCACTACAGCACCCGTGCCACCCCCAGGACCGTCGAGACAAGCCACGACAGTACCTTCAGGACGAGCACCCCCAGAACCAACACCCCCACAACCAGCACCCTCCTCAATGCCCGCACCCCTTGAGCTCTCAAACCCCTGCGTGGCGGCGGCTGCTGCTGCGGCAACGACGGCGACAGCTGCTGCGGTGGCGACGGCGACTGGGGCTGCGATAGCGGAGGAGGAGCAACCGGGGCAGAGACATGCGGGGAACGCGGAGCCACAGGGCCCCTAGAGTCAGCCGATTCCTCCACCGAGACGACCGACGGTAGGGGAGTAACGTGGTATAGCGCGTGTAGTCATCGTCGAGCACCAGAAAGTAGCACTCTCGAAGCGGCCCAGGGACGGAGGCTGGGCCCCAGACGTCCAGGTGCAGGGTCTGGAGTGGCGCAATGGTAGGGGGAAGCGAGGAGAAGTGAGGGGCATGGCACAGCCGGCCCTTGACGCAGGGCGTGCATGGCGGCGCAGGCGAGGGACGGAGGGCAGGGAGCAACGCAGGGAGACCTAAGACATGTCTATGCTGGGACATGAGATGCGGACGTGGGAGTGCGGGGTGACCTAAACGGTGGTGCCACATCAGCGATGGGTGGGTGAGCGACCGACACGAGCAAGTCGCAACAACCTAGAACGGCGCAACCACCTGAGGGGATGCTCCCACCAGGGGGGACGCGGTGTCTACAATGAACAGGCCAGATATCGGGTCCCGGGGGAACGTGATGAGAGGGGCACTAGTGGCGGCCTCGGTGCAGACTGCGTACCGCTCATGTCTAAGAAACGTAGGGGTGACGCCGAGGTCCTGAAGACAGCCGACACCAACTAGGTTCCTAGAGAACAAGGGGATGCGCAAGCCTGTGAGGGAGCCCGAGGGAACCGCCGGACAGGGAAGGGTAGTGGAGCTAGAGTGGCGGAAAAAAATGTCTGGATGTTTGGCACTAATGAGGGTTTTTAGTCTTTAATACCATTGTATATTAAACCTGCAAGATGCATGGTGGTACGCTTTGGGAGAGGGACATAGTGGATGCATTTGTAACACTAAGAACCAGAATGGTACACTGGATCTAACTCATACTCCAAATGATGTACAAAGAGTACATCCGGACAATAGTTTCCTAGGGGAAGAGCAAACTTTGGAATAGCGTTTATAGTAGCTAGTCCATCGACCCTTGGCCTTGATCACCACCCGCACCCTCCTAGGCATGTTATCTATGAGGTTAGTGCAAACCTTTGCAGGGATCTTTTCGCACTCTTCCTGGACCCACCCTTATGCATAAGGGGGTGAGAACTAGGAAAATCGCGCAGGATTTTAGCATATCCAAGAAAATTGTACACGATTTTGGATTGAATGTTATCTTTGAGACCAGTGACGCTGATATGTGGCCAAAGATGCCATAAGTCGATTGGTCCCATCTTATCATGAATCGTCTTCGTCGTGCTGTTGTAGGTTAAAATTGCGAACACAGTAAAAAAAACTAAAGTATCCGCCGCGAAACTTAGGGTAAGATAGCACGGTCAATTGTGCACCCTTTTACTATTAGAATCACACTAGGATCTGCAGGTCTCGTCACGGTGCAGCAGTCGAAGAAGCACCGACTAGTGGGGAAGAATATCCGGGTTGAGGTTTGGTGAGGAAGAGGGTCACTCTTGTGATACATACTCATGCTCTCCAAGTCATTCCAAGCCTAGGTGGGACAAATGGCATGGAATGGCTTGGAGAGCATGAGTATGTTGCCCTGTAGTGACCCTTTTCCTCACCAGACCTCAACCCGGATATCCTTCCCGAACAATCGCGACTTCTCCGATTGCTGCACCGTGATGAGACCTGCAGATCCTAGCGTGATTCTAATAGTGCAAGGGTGCACAATTGACCGTGCTACGTTACCCTCAGTTTTGCGTCGTACACGCTAGTTTTCGCCACTCTGTTCGTGGTTTTACCCTACTGCGGTACCACGAAAACGACCGATGATAAGACGGAACCAATCAGCTAATGACATCTTTGGTCACACCTCAGCATGGCTAGTCTCATAGATAACATTCAATCCAAAATCGTGCACAAAACTCTTGCATACACTCAAATCCATCACAATTTTCCTAGTGCTCACCCCCTTATGCAAAAGGGTGGGTCCAGGAAGAGTGCGAGAGAACTAACCCGAAGGTTTGCACTAACCTCGTAGATAACATGCCTAAAAGGTTGTGGGTGGTGATCAAGGTCAAGGGTCGGTGGACTAGGTACTAGAAACGCTGTTAGGAAGTTTGCTCTTTGTCCTGGGAAACAATTTTCCTGATGCACTCTTTGTATATCTTTTAGCACTAAATTAGATCCATTGTATTATTATAGATTTTAGCGCTGTGAACACATCCACTATGTGCCCCTCCCAAAACTTACCACAATTAAATATTAAGACTTTACGTACAGTGGTCAGAAAGCCCAAAAACCCTAATTATTGCAAAACATCCAGACAACTGTTTCCGTCACTGTACATGCAACAAACTGGACATGAGGAGGGGTCAGCATGTGCTACAACGGCAGGGGCGGCAAGCGACGTGAGTGCAGTGTGGTCACGAAAGAAACAGACGGACGCACCCGAGTATAGCATCAAAGAGAGTGCGGCGGTGGCGTCCAATGGCGGAGGAGCTAGAGTGGGGCCGTGTCTATACGAGGTCGGTGGTCCTACGCCTGACGCAGCAACATAGGCTACACACAGTGGACACACCTACACTAGGTAACACAGGGCAATAGGGTCCAGTCAGTCTAGGCCATTTGGCCTGACCCACGTTCTTCATTTCTAGTTCCTCTAGTTCTATTTTCAGTTCTCTCTCGCCAACCTGGCGAAAACCCAGTCACTTCCTTGAGGGAGGGCCCCGACAATGCTGCTTACCGACATTTTGAAGCACAACTTTACTTCGATGGCGATCGCGAACACGACTCCTCATCACCCAATGACCAAGGCTACTACCCCCATTAACCCTCCGGAGCCCGGAACTTCGGCCAGGGTAACCTCCCGTTGCCAAAAACGTCCTGCTGAGGACAATCCTAGTTAGGGGCCCTCGCCTGTCGAGGTCCTCCTCGGCGCCACTCACGCCCCTCCCAAAGAAATATGCGTAGCTACCAAACAGCCACACGTGTTGCCGCCCAAGGAGCACACGCCTGTGCACACCGCGATGGCTGCATGCTAGGCGGGCCCCACCGACCACACGCCCATTGACGAGGTCAAGCCGGTCGCTGCCGCCCCCGCGTTAATCGCGCAGCAGCTGCAGGCGCTGCTGGCGCTGTTACACCAGCAGCAGCCTGTTACAATCGGAACTTCATCCGACAATATAACTGCTACGACCAATTTTGCCAAGAAAAAGGAAATGTCAACGCCTCCTGGCGCGCCCAAGCTTCCGCGCCCCAACAACCAGCCCTCGGCACCAGTCCCTGTGCCCGCCAACGACATCAACGACGGCGAAAACTTCAAAAATAAAGATGGTGAGGTTTCTACCTACCTTGATCGCTGTCGCATTCTTGCCCCCTCTTCCCCACTTCCCCCCCTTGGTCCCACGCCCGCAGCGACTACCTCCGTGCGCAAGGGTGTGCGTGACCAAGCCGAAGTCTTCACTGCTACTCAAGCCCACGTGCAGCATATTGACTACGAGTTGCAGTATGGCAACGTGACCGTCGCGCTCAACAACGTGAAACACATCGAATTGCTTATTCATAAGCGTTTCAAGGTGCTTCTTGTGGTGGACGAGGCCGGCCGGTTTCGAGGCCGCTGATCGCTTCCAGCTCTACCCGTTTAAGAGCGTGCTCACGTCCCGCTCGTACAAGCTCGCGGTAGCCGATGTAGCTGCCCTCAAGCGCGCGCGTGCCACCAATCCCCGCGGTGGTCGTCTTGGTGGTTGTGACGGTGACATGGAGCTCAAAGGCTCCCCTCCCCTCCCGTGCCAACAGCCACGCTTCAAGGGAGTGTGTTTCCGCTTTGGCCTACCGGGCCACATGGCAAACGCTTGCCCCATGGGCGGGCGTGGAGGACAAGGCCCCACACTGGTGGTGTGAGCGGCGTGGTAGGGCGGTGCCCTATGCCAATATGCACGGAGCATATTGGGCTGCACTAGGGGTGCATGGCAAGCCTTAGATTAAGGCCAAGATTCTAGTGGACTAGGGTAGCCTTAGGGACAGAGGAGGTCGTGAGCCTATGATTTTGTGGAATTCCATGTATGGAACTTTGTATGCCGCCATGGCACATTGAGTCTAAGTTGAAAGAAGAAGAAGAAGAAGAAGAAGAAGAAGAAGAAGAAGAAGAAGAAGAAGAAGAAGAAGAAGAAGAAGAAGAAGAAGAAGAAGAAGAAGAAGAAGAAGAAGAAGAAGAAGAAGAAGAAGAAGAAGAAGAAGAAGAAGAAGAAGAAGAAGAAGAAGAAGAAGAAGAAGAAGAAAGAACATGGCATTGAGAGTCTCGCCATGGTGCGTGAGAAAACAGGACCAAGGCAAGCAACCACCCTTGTGAGAGTACGACCTCGTTACACTTCCTTTTATTTCTATATTCCATATTCCTTATTTTCCATAATCATTTGGTTTATCATGTTATTATAATTATATGACCGACCAGGCTCGGATGTACTGGCGCGCTATATATAGCGTAATCTTGTCGTAATCCTTTAAAGCCAATAGCCTTGCATGTCTATACGCAGGGTGATTCTATTTCTAGTAGGGTCTATTCCCTTTGGATAGGATAAACCTGGTTCCCAGATGTACCGTGGAAGTATAAAAGCTCCTTGTTTCAATCGATAGTGTAACTTTCTCTCGACCTTTTCGATCCTGTGACAATTGGTAATCAGAGCTTTTGTCACTTGGCCACGCTCAGCTAAGCAGCAGCAGCGGGAAAACCTGCCTCGAAAAACTGCCGGGGGTGACTAATTCGGCGCCGATTCTGGTAATCACCAGCTCCGCATTTTTTAATCAACCCCTCCGCGCGTTTTTTGAACAGGATGACGAACTTCGACAACACCAAAGTTACCCATCAGCTCTTCGCGCGCATCACCGCCCTACAGGAGGAGATGCGAGCTGACCGCGAAGCTTGGCGAAACGAGTTTGAGCGAGTAACTCGACTCGCCGGCGCACAGCACAAAACGACAATGCTGACGGAACAACAATCATACCAGTTTCTCGAGGCTCCAAAGCCACGCCCACCTGAGCAGTTCGATCAGAGCGATAGAAATTGTGACTTCCGCAGATGGATCGTCATCATGGAGATCTACTTCGGAGCCGTCGGATGGAGCTCGCTAGTCTACAACGGCCAGCGCGTGCGTCTCGCGATGACACTGATGCGAGGGCAGAAACTCGAATGGATTGGCGGCAACAGTACCTTCATCCACGGCAAAGCCACATGGCAGCAGTTTTGCACCGACTTTCTGAAATGTTTCGAGCCGATAAATTCGGGTTTCCTTGCCTGGGAAAAAAATCATCGCCATCGACAGTTTGGGAGTGTAGCACAGTACACACAGTAGATGGAGGAATTTTATAACTGCATTCCCGACCTGACCGAAGGGGAAAAGAGTGCAGTCATACCTTCCCGGGCTGAAGACCGAAGTTAAACGACTCGTAGCAGCGACAAATTACGCGAGCTATAGTGACGTCGTTTCGGCAGCAGAGCGTTTTGACATGGTCAACGCCGGAACACGACGGGCGCACGTTGACAGTACGTGACAAGGCGACCGCTCGGCACACCCCACGTTCGCCGATACGATGGAAATCGACAGGTTTGACGGGCGGCCATGTCTGGAAAACGCCAACTTCATGTGCGATTTTTGCGGATTACCGACCAATCGAATCTTCGGCTGTAACATATTGAAAGCCACACGTGCAAAGTATCAAGCATGCAATAGTGGCAGAAATTCATCGACCAACCAGAATAAAAAAAACGGGAATCGTCAGTGATTGCGGATCTACTATAGCTGGCGAAAACCAAATAATAATAATAATAATAAAAATCCCAAAGCGGCCGCGGGATTACGGGAAAATAAACTTCGATGAAGCTGATTCGATGTGAGCAGGAGGAAATGATGGGGGGAAGTCTCCACCCCACAACCAGTCTTTGCCAAGGAAAATCGCGGAGAAAAAATCTGACGTCGCGAAAGAAGACTCTGCCGAGACGGGGAAACTCCTTGAAGACCCAAGAAATGATAAGGATTCGTTAAAGTTATCTTATAAAGATGCTTTAATGAAAACTTATGATTCTCGAGGAGCTAAAGCCTTGGAGAAATTTTGGGAGGGACTCCAAAAGAAGCAGAAAATTGTAGAGATTGTACTAGTACCTGAGAACTTGGGGAAAAGATTAAGGAGTGTGGAAAGAAGCCGACCTTTCCACGGAGTCAACGTCCTCTCCCGACACTAGCCCACAGCGACTGCGCGCTCCCCAGGGAAGACGTTGGTGGAGCTGATGCAGCTCAAGAGGAAGTTGGGGGTCTACAAGAAGCTGCAAGAGCCCCGAAATCCTCCTTTGGATGCATCCAGCTCAACAACTTTGGCATCGATGACATGCAAAGTCCTTAAGGAAACACCGGACCCTGGAGAAGAGCCTTTCTCCAAGCAGCCTCGCCCAGCTGCTAGCTCAGGAGTAGGAAACAATCACAAGGTGTGTACGGAATATTGGGATGTACCCTATGATCCTATTAATGAAACTATCTTTGGGTACTCCGAGAAACGCCTGCCCCTCGTGCTCGAGGTCATCTACAAAGGGCGACGCCTCCAAGCACTTGTGGACAGCGGAGCGTCACACACCGTATGCGACAGGGCAACAATCGATCGACTTCGGGAAGAGTGCAAGCCTTCAGCATTCTCTGCAACGATGGTGGACGGCAGCAAGTTACCAGTCTACGGCAAAGTAGTGTTACACCTACATCTTGGACCACTGCGTTGGAGACCTGCCCTCCCCATCACCAACATAAAAGGGCTTGACCAGATCTTCGGGTGAGACTTCCAAAAAAAATTCAACCCCGAGATCAACTGGGTCAACCACATTGCAAGCATCTACAACAACGGAAGGAGAGTCCAACTACCAAACTGGGACGACACAGGAGAAATCCCAGCTCGCCAGATTTGAGAAGGACGTGAGACAAACCGACACCGTGTTCCTGACGAAGACGACGAAGAGAAAGCCTCGGAACCTCAGAAAAAATCAAGGAATTACTGAAGAAGTTCCAAGACATTCTTCCCGATGACCTTCCGAACGAGCTACCGCCACACCAAACGCACCAACATGAAATCATGGAGGAACCAGGTTTGAAGCCGACCTTTTGAATGGAACCGGACGGAAGCCTGTGCATGTGCATCGATTATCGAGCTCTCAACAAGTAGACCATCAAGAATAAATACCCGATTCCACGAATCGATGACCTGCTTGACCATGATATTTTCCAAACTGTATCTGCGATCCAGATACTGGCAGAAAAGAATGACATAAAATTCCATCCACAAAAATTTCTTCCGAACTCCGTATGGGTCGTAAGAGTATCTGGTCGTGCCGTTCGGACTCACCAACGCACCGGCAACCTTCCAAGCCGAGATGAACCACAATTTATGACCATTATTGGACAAGTGCGTGGTGGTGTACTTGGACAACATCTTCATCTACTCGCGCGACACGAAGCAGCACGTCGAATACCTGCTATGCGTCTTCGACATTCTTCGACGAGAACGACTCTACGTAAAATTATCCAAGAGCAAATTTCCCTTCAAGAAGGTCCAATTTCTAGGACACATGGTGAGCGCTCAAGGAGTTCACATCGACCCCAAGAAGATCGAAGCCGTACGCACGTGGAAGACACCCGAGAACATGAAGGAGTTGCAGCAGTTCCTAGTCTTGGCCAACTACTACAACTGGTTCGTGTCACAGTACGCGAAAATCACCGCACCACTCACGAATCTGCTGAAAAAGAACACACCCTACCAATGGGAGTCAAAACATTAGGAAGTCGTGGAGCAGCTGAAACAGGCACTCACATCCGCACCCGCACCTCGAATGCGACTACGTCATCGAAGCTGAAACCAATGACCAGGCAGACAAAAACAAAGCAGAGGCTCTCAGCCGGCCTGCATACGTTGCCGCTATCCAAGTCGAAGGGATGAAAATTCGCTACTCAGGGGACTCTTCACACACACGTACACCATCAACCCTGAAATTCCCTTGGCAGAGAAACGCCACCTGCTATAGAGGGACAGTGACATCGCGTACCGGAAAGGCTCAACAAAAATATGGGTACCCAAATACCGGCCTTAGCGTTAGTTACTACTCAAAGAATACCATCATGTTATGTATGCCAGACACTTCAACAGTAATCAGACACTCTCCGGTATTACAAAACACTACTACTGGCCCCACATGGCAGATGACGTACAAAAATTGTCACCTCAAGCGACACATGTCAGCGGATGAAAAGCAGCAAGTAGAAGAAAGCAGGACTACTACCGGAACATCCATGGCAAGTGGTTAGCCTAGACTTCATAGCCGGGTCACCACCAACCACAAATGGTTATGACGCAATCCTATTTGTCATCGACAAATTCTCCAAAATGGGACACTTCATCTCGACACACACGACAGCACGCATCGAGAAGGCAACAATACTATTCGTTCACTACATCATCTCACAGCATGGCATCCCAACCACACTCATCTCCGTCTGAGACCCTAAGTTTACCAGCAAGTTCTGGAAAGTACTGATGGCTGTGCTCGAGACCAAACTCGCCATGTCATTTGCCTGCCATCCACGGACAAACGGACAAACCGAACGCCTCTACCAAATTGTAGAGCAACTCCTCCGCGCAGCATGCAAGGGCGATATCTTCAAATGGGACTTGCATCTACTCGTCCTGGAGTTTGCCTACAATCACGCCACTCACGCTGCTACCGGACAGACACCATTCTTCCTCTGTTACAGGGAGAGAGAGAGAGAGAAAGAGAGAGAGAGAGAGAGAGAGAGAGAGAGAGAGAGAGAGAGAGAGAGAGAGAGAGAGAGAGAGAGAGAGAGAAAGAGAGAGAGAGAGAGAGAGAGAGAGAGAGAGAGGAGAGAGAGAGAGAGAGAGAGAGAGAGAGAGAGAGAGAGAGAGGAGAGAGAGAGAGAGAGAGAGAGAGAGAGAGAGAGAGAGAGAGAGAGAGAGGAGAGAGAGAGAGAGAGAGAGAGAGAGAGGAGAAAGAGAGAGAGAGAGAGAGAGAGAGAGAGAGAGAGAGAGAGAGGAGAGAGAGAGAGAGAGAGAGAGAGAGAGAGAGAGAGAGAGAGTGAACGTGATAAGATGAGAGCGTACATGACAGAGGTCATGAAGCCACGAACAATGAAGAGAGAGGCCATGGATATGAGCCATGTCTCTCGACACGTGATCCACTCTCCGAGCAGATTGGACGGTGCCCCTCAATTTGGATACCCATATCACCCCTATCATCCGAGCCTTGGTTCTGCATAAATTGGAAATCGAGGGCCACACAACGGACACGACCCCTACAAGTACGCCATTACGGACAAGGACGTGACAGTCATGCACAATCGATTGCGTCATGCCCTGCACTGGTGGTGCTCATGGTGCGATAGCAACTTCATCTTATCCATCATCACAACAGGGTATTGGTTGTCGTGGAAGGAAACTGTAACGCACGCATTCAAGGACTCCAACCATGCTGGATTCCGCACACAACTGGATTTCACTTGTGAGGCAATTAACGACCACGTCACCACGGGTGCCACCATCATGGTCCCTATTAGGGATGCACTACTGTGTATCAACCCACTCAACCTGGTTGAGCAGCGTAACAAGTGTCGCCAAAGCCAACACCTACCTTGAAATTCTAAAATTCAAGTACGAACCGGGATGCCGAGCTCATTCGTCCTGGCGATTGGATGTTCTTCATCAACCTGGAGTCCGGCTACCACCATGTCGAGATCCACGCCTCCTGCCGGAAGTTCCTAGGATTCCAGTTTGAAGGACATTATTATTCCTTCCGCTCGCTCCCAATTGGGCTTGCCACAACCCATCAGTCTTCACGCAGTTGATCAAGCAATTAGCAAAGAGATGGCGGGCGAGTGGCGTACGGGTTGTTCCGTACATTGACGACTCGCTGCTCCTTTGCAATTCCCATCTCCATGGGCGTTCGACTTGTGCAAACGTCGTACAGAACCTAAGGGCGACATGCTTTGTCATCAATGCAAAGAAATCGCATCTCAACCCCTTGCGTCATATAGCCTTCCTCGGCATGGAGATCGACGCTACCAATGGCACGTTCTCCGTTTGACTCGAACACCGCACACAACTTTTTACGACACTCCAAGCCCTCATCACCCAAGGCCAAGAGGGACGACAAGTCTCCATCCGGTCACTCGCACGAGCCACTGGAATGCTCTCCTCTATGAGTCTTGCATTAGGCGCCATGGCACGTGCCTTCAGCCATGAGCTCCTTTGACTCATTGCCGATGCCACCTCTTGGCACGCCAGGATACAACTGTCCCCGGCAGCGGTGGAGGAACTACAGTTTTTGCTGGCATAGTTCGACCATTTTAATGCCACCACATTCCACCTCAATCACCAGTAGGACGCCATCATACACGTCGATGCAAGCGCACACAGTTGGGGCGCCACCCTGACACAACTACCCGGGATGCCCCTTGAAGCCAGCGCCCGCATGCCAGAGGAACTCTTGCCCACCTCCAACACACGGCGCGAGCTCGAAAATTTACCCCCCATATCCTCAAGTGTCACGTGCTTATTCGCGTGGATTCATTCTACGCAAAGGGGGATCACGCCAGCCGACACTCACGATGCTATATCAAGCAATCATTCATCTCTGCCTCGAGCATCAGACAAGGTTGGCCGTCGAATGGATTCCCAGAGAGCTCAACGCGCACACTGACGAGCTCTCAAAGATCCAAGACCATGATGACTACTCCCTCCAAGCCCCTTGGTTTCGGCTCCAGGACCACATTCCATCGATCTTTTTGCAAATGTGCACAACGCTCAGCTGTAGAGGTTTTGCTCCAAGATTCCCACCCGGCGGCCATAGCATTTGACACATCGTCATTCAGCTGGGAGCACGAGCGTGGCTTCGCCTTTCCACCTTCCAACCTAATCCCAGCCACCTTGCGACACGCACAATGCACGTGTGCAGAGCTGACCCTAGTTATTCCCGAGTGTCCTAAAGCGCCATGATGGTCATTGCTCCAACCATCGCCTAACGCCTGGGCACCAGAAGTCAAAACACACATCCGCCTCACCCACGACAGCCAATGTCTCTGACCTGGCATGCACTCCCTTGCTTTTGCCGGCCAAGGCTTTCCTCCAAGTCAGATAATTGCATTGCATGTCAAGTACAAAAAATGATAGTGAAAACAATTATTCTATACGAATGTATCCTTTCAGGCATTTTGTCGAAGCTGCAGACACAACTACTCCACGTAACTGCACACGCCTGCGTCCCTTCCACCATCCGCACATATGAGCCGTACTGGTTCAAATTTCACGAAGGTCAAGTTGAGTCACTTGCATGCAACGGATGTTACCTTGGCACTCTACCTCGTCCATTCCTTGAATCAACAAGCCACAACATCCGCCATATCTCTCACATGCCTCGCGGTCGCCTTTGCACACTGGATGATTGGGGAGCTGTCCCCCACGGATGGCCGTTCAGGCTACCAGTACGTGATTTTGCCAAGCGCCATGGCCCATGCCCCACCCGGAACAAGGAACCCCTATCGCTTCACCAAGTGCAAGCCATGGCCCGCCCCTTCCTCGAGTCTACCAGGCCAGCCGAGTACCATAAAGGACTCATCCCGATACTCATGTTCGCTGCATTCCTGCGCTACTCTGACATGGTCAGCCTCTAGTGGACAATATACAATTCGAGCCCGAAGCAATGTGGTTGCTAATTCCCCACTCCAAGACCGACTAGGAAAGTCGGGGCACATGGATCCTGGTCGCCGCCACTGCCAGACCCTACTGCCCTGTGCATTGCACGCGACAGTTTCTACTCCTCGCAGGACTCACTGCCACCATTGATCCGAGCCTTTGGAAACAAAAAGAAGGCAACTCCACAAGGCAACGCACCTTCCTACACCACCATCCGGAACTGGTGCCTCGAATCCTTTACTAGGGCTGACCTCGACTGCACCCACCTCAGTACACACTCCTTCCGCAAAGGCGGAACGACCGCGGCAGCCAGCTTGGGGATCTCCGACCAACAGCTGTTCAAGTGACTTGGCTGCTCATGCAACGACAACGCCAAGGAGCTCTTTGTCACTATCGCACAAGACCAACTCCTTCTTGTCTCTACGAAACTCCAATATGCAACCACCACCTACACGCTCAATCAGTACCAGCTATCTATTGAACGACACCGCCCAACCATTCTGCACATGTCTCAGAAGACCCATATGATATGAAGCAAGCTGCCTTTACAAGAGGACCTAAGCAAGCTTTCACAATATGTATTTTTTTGAAAGCACGTAACGCTTTCTAAAAATATGTATTGTGAAAGTGTAGCAAGGGCCAACGCAGCAAAGACAACGTCGAAGCACTACTCATCCTCTTTTGCCTACAAAAGAGGGACGTGAGGCCATTTGGCCTCACCCACATTCTTCATGTCAAATTCCCGCCCACCCACCCGACCCGACTATGCGTGTACGATCATTTGTTGGATGAGGATCATGTATGTATCCCATATGAAATGAACCATGTTGCCCCATATGAAATGAAGCACGTTGCATTTACAAGAGGACATAAGCAAGCTTTCACAATGCTCTATTTTTACTGGGCCTAGTCCAAATCATAGAATGGAAAGCTGTAACAATATTCCAGTGATATAAAATCAAGCCTAGCTACTACTACCGTAAAATCTGGTGAGAAAACTTGCAGCGGCTACCACACAAGGCGTCTGAAAACTCCTCTTGATTGCAACCAGATTGCCTAAGCTGGCGAGAAAAACTGACTAAAGCATCCCAGGCCCAGCTGGCTAATGCATCCCTCCCAGCTGACTAAAGCATCCCAGTCTCTGACCCAGCTGACTAATGCATCCCAGGTGAGTAAAGCTGACTAAAGCATTCCATATGCTGATGCGCTACACTGCTGCAGCTGCTGCTGCGTCGCTCGCCTACAGAAGCTCATACACTACGGGTAGAGTCACCCTGCTGCGCCTGCGGCTGTGCCTGCTGCTCCAGGCAGCTCCCACCAACGCGTGCATCCTCCTTCCCCACCCTGCTGCTTGATCCATCCCTCTCTCTCCCTCCCTGACACACTCTAAGCTTGAGCATCTTCCAAACCACTCTGCACTGTTTGGGACACAGCTCTCAGCCCTCAATCCACTCCATGGCTAGATCCGACCCCCCCACCCACATAGTCTATGCTTGAGCAGCCTCCACACCACTCTGCACTGTTTGAGATGAAGCTCTCAGCTCTTCAAACCACTCCTCCATTGCTCGTTTCGACCCACTCCCAAACCCCAGCTCTCCCCCCCACTCCTCCCCCCCCACTCGTCCGCAATGTCTAGCTGCTGCGCGTACTGCATCAGCTCCCCACGACAAGCTGACTTTGAAGTCGAGTCAGAAGTCTGCTGCCCGCCCTGGCAGCAACTCCTGCAGACAAGTCATTTTTGAGAGTTCTAAAAATGACTCCTTTGAAGTCGATTCAAAAGACTGCTGCACGCATTGGCAGCACCTCCTGTAGACTCTCCTCCTCTCGCTTAACCGATCCATCCCTCTTTTTCGCCCACCCAACTTACTCTAAGCCTGAGCCTCCTCCAAACCACTCTGCACTGTTTGAGAGGCGACCCTCAACTCTTCAAACCACTCTTCTGTTGCCCTGTCTGACCCGCCCAGCCCTTGCTCCCCCATCCACTCCTCCTCCCTGCCAAAGAGCTCATCTGCCACACCCTCGTCCGCGATGTCAAACTGCTGTGCATACTGCAGGAGCTCCTGCAGACTCTCCTTCTGATCACCTCCCGGGCCAGCTCTGCCTTCTCTCGTAGAAGACACTCCACTTGCATGCGCAGCTGCAGGGGAGAAGGGGAGAGGGGGAGAGCGGATACACAAGGAGAAGGGAGTGTGAGAGAGGGGATGTGCGTACTGCAGCAGCTCCTGCAGACTCTCCTTCTCGCGCTTCAGCATCATCACCACCTGGGCAAGCTCTGCCTTCTAGCGTAGAAATCGCTCCACTTGCATGCGCAGCTGAGGAGTTGGGAGGGGTGGGTGCGTGCTATCAGCTCTGCCTTCGCTTGGAAGAGGTGCACCACTTGCATGGGCAGCTCAGGAGAGGTGAACAAGGGGGGGTGAAGGGGGGATCTGAGTCTCAATCAACAGGCCAGCTCAGGTGTCTCCCTCCCTCAACCGACGCTTCACTCGCACGCGAGGCTGAGTGGGAGAGAGGGGATAAGGGATAGCGAGGGGAGGAGGATGGGATAAAGGGAAGGGAAGGGGCACAAGAGGAAGCACATGCATACGTGTGATGTGATGGGATGTGATGTGATGTGATGTGTGTCTGTGTCTGTGTGTGTGCGTGCATGCGTGTGTCCTTTATTCACCTCCAGCAGCTCCTTCTGCTGCTTCAACTCCTCCCCCTCTTTCTACGAAGAGCGCCCGTACAAGCAAGTTGTTCATTCAATGAGGGCAGGCTCGCAACAGCAGCACGGGCACGGCTCCCACCCAGCAGCAAGAGCCACGGCTCACACCCAACAGCAAGAGCCACGTCTCACAATGAAGGTGTCTTCCTGCGAGTTGTGCAGCCCCTCGTTCTCCACCTCCAGCCTCTCCACCTGCTGCTCCAAGTCCTCCACCTCCTTCGCCAGGTCGCTCTCCTCCTTGCGGGACCTCGGCCGCATGTACCGCTCACTCTACCGGTTCTGGTGGGCCACACACAGGAAGGGGGGGACGTGGGGGTTGGTGGGGTGGGCCACCTTGAGGCACCTTATGGCTCCTCCACCTCCTTCGCCAGGTCGCTCTCCTCCTTGGGGGACCCCGACCGCACGTAGCGCTCAAGTCTCGGCCCTGCTGGTGCACAAGGGGAGGCGAGGAAAGGGGGGAAGGAAAGGCACGGGGGGGGGGGGGGTGGGTTGGCTGTGAGGCCTAGCTCCTCCAGCTCCTTCGCCAGGCCGCTCTCCTCCTTTCGACGAGGTGCCTTACACGCACATAGCGCTCGCCCTCTGGGAGCTGGTAGGGCAATGGAGGGAGGGGAGAGGTTACGGCTCTCCTCGAGGTTCGCGATCTTGCTTTCCCCCAGCAAAGAGCAAGGACCCCCTGGGCCGAGGCACCCTGCGCTCGCCCTCTCGATGCTGGTGCAGGGCAAAGCAAAAAACAAAGCGAGTGCAGGGAGGAGATGAGACGAGCTGGGCTTCCCTTTCACTCCCTCTAGTGATCCCTTCTCCTGGCACTATCCCCCTATCCCCAGCTTCCCCGCTCCCTCGCTCCCACCTCCCTCTTCCTCTCTACTTCCCTCACTCCTTTCCCCTCCCTCAACTCAACCCCCTCCCTTCCTTCCTTCCCCCAATCCCTTCTCTTTATTATATCTTGATGATGCACCTTCCCCAGGTTAATCAGCTCTTTGTACCCAAGTTGCTTGGGTGATTCCGGAGGAGGTCCTTTAGCGGCCACTTCCTCCGCTATTTCAGGCAGCAGGCGGAATTCACCTGAGGGAAACACGGGGAGGGGGGAACATGGGGATTCGGGAGCATGTGGGGGGAGAAACACAGGGAGCGGGGAATACAAGGAGGGGGCAATACAGGAAGGGGGGAATACAGGGAGGGGGGAATACAGGAGCGGGGGAACATGGGGGAGGGGAGAACACAGGGAGGGGGGAAAGATGGGGGATGGGGGAACGCAATGACTGGTAAGCATGGAAGATGACTTCTGAGGCGCCTCAAAGGGGGAGACTACTTTGAGGCGGCTCAAAAAAGGGGGAAGATGGGGGATGGGGGAATGTGATGACTGGTAAGCATGGGAGATTGGAGAGAAGTGGGGTAATGGCGGGCGACTACCATCGCTGCCCCTTCTTGCAAATGCAATCTCATTACTGCGACATTCACGAGCTGGCCTCATTACAGCAGTCACCCACATTATTGTCACACGTCTTACAGTCACACTCACCCATCCCAGCCACACCCGTTACAATCACAATCAACATAGGCGCTCTCACCATGGTGCCCTCAGCGGCACTTTAACGAGGAGTGGTCCTTGTAGAGGGGGCTGGTCCACTATTGCTTGTTACTCATTACAGTCACACCCATTACAGTCATACACACCATGGTGACCTCTGCGACACTACACGAGCAGGTCTACCTGCGCCGTCCACATGGCTTCACCGGTACCTTCCCTCTTGGGACCCAGTGGCTCCTCTGGCACCCGGTCTACGGCCTGCGACAGGCACCTCGTGAGTGGCACGACACTCTGCGTGCTACGCTAGCTGACCTGCACTTCTTCCCGTCGTCTGCGGACCCCTCGCTCTTCGTTCGTGCTGGCCAGACCCCGTTCTACATCCTTGTCTACGTAGACGACCCGTCCTTCACTACTACAGACAGAGACGCACTATCCTCCGTGAAGGCTGAGCTGCTGAGGAGACACACATGCACTGACCTAGGAGAGCTGCACCGCTACCTTGGCCTGCAGATCTCTAGGGACAGAGCAGCGTGCACCATCACTCTCACACAATCATACATGGTGCGCCAAGTCCTTCAGAGGTTCCGTCTTGAGTTCTCCTCTGCACAGCCAACATCTCTGCCAGAAGACCACAGGCTCTCTGCTCCATTTCCTGAGGAGTCAGTAGAGCCCAGTGGTCCTTACGCAGAGCTGGTGGGTTGCCTCATATACCTGATGACTTGCACTCGTCCAGATCTCGCATACCCTCTCAGCATCATGGCTCGCTTTGTGGCGTCAGGCAGACACCGGCCACAGCACTGGTCACCCGCTAGGAGGGTTTGTGTTATCTAGCATGCACATCGGGCATGGGGCTAGTGCTGGGAGGACACAGGCCAGTGGTCCTTACTGGGCACACTGGCGCTTCGTGGGCAGACGACGCTGAGACACTCAGGTCCTCCCAGGGCTACTGCTTTAGCCTTGGTTCAATTGCCATCTCGTGGAGGTCCACGCACTCTTCGTCTGTTGCCCAGTCTAGCTGTGAGGCTGAGATCTACGCCGGTGCCATGACGGCGGAGGAGCCCCGCTGGCTGACTTTCTTGCTCACCCACTTAGGTGAATGGCCCAGCTCTACCCCGGTCCTGTACGCTGACAACATGGCCATGATCCTCTTGTGTCAGGAGCCTCGACTCGAGGGCAGAGCGAAGCACATCCAGCTGTGGTGCTTCCTCCTGCGCGAGCAACAGCAGCGCCGCCAGGACCGCGTAGTACACTTGGCCTCCGGTGCCAACACAGTTGATATCTTTACTAAGGCGCTTGCGCCTAAAGATCATCAGTGGCACTATATTTGTATATGTTGTTGTGGACTAGATAGGGTCATGCCTTAGCGTGTACGACATTTTAGGTCAAAACCCCCATACTCTCATTTCTAGTTGTTCTGCTACTCTAACTAAGCCAACCTGCGACCCCCCTGTTTTTTCTCGAAACGTCAGTTCTTTCGTGTGGGTATGAATTGGTTTATGCCCAACCCCTGTGCTTGTTCCATGTTTGTCACTGTCGCTAATTTCGTCCAACCCTCTTGCTGGTTTTGGTGTTGGGGCTTTTGAGATCCTCGCATATTGTAACAGCGTTACATGATTTGTTATGGAATTTGTAAGGAATTTCCATTCCTTACTGAGTTGTACGCTAGCGCGTACACCCGAACTCCTCGACTCGTCACCTTCGGCCTCATTTGTCGGCCCAATCCTTTCCCGAGTCGCGTCCGGCACTGTCGCCACATTGCCGAACCTACCCACGTTCCGAGGTTATCGCCGTAGCATGCCAACCCCTATATTACCTTGTGCCTTCATTGCAATAGCGACCTTGTATTCTCACGCTATATTTCACTCTCACTTCCTATATCATAACAGCTGGTATCAGAGTCTGACCTTTCCAGGAACCTTCCATTTTCCTGTCTACTTTGTTAAGGGTGGTTAGAGGGGATTAGCACGGCTGCACAGCAGTTGTCTTGGATCATAAATATTTTTACGTCAACAACTACAGCGTGTGCGCTAGCTTCTGCCCCGTCCTGACCGCCATGGCCCCGGTAGACTCGATGGTTGAGGGTCAGTCCACCTCGTCTGCTGCGAACCCTGCCCGAGAAACTGTGGACCTGCAAACATTAATGGAGACAAGCGTCGGCAACAACCTCCGCGAACCAGCGACTTCGCCAAGCACAGGAGAGGCGTCTAGAGGAGCCGGGCGACAATGCACGAAGCGAGGCAGGTGAGCAGCAACCGTCGCCAGTGGAGCTAACAGGACTAGCAGCAGTAGCCCCGCGCTCGACAAGTGTCAGCGTAAGATATCAGCAACCCGCTCCTTTCGACCTAGCTAATAAAGGCATGACGGTACGGCAGTGGATATTCGCCATGAATATCTATTTTAACGCGGCGGGCATCAGAGATGATCAGAAGCGGATCAGCGACGCGTTAAAACTGTTGCAAGGGGCCGCCCTACAGTTTGTGGAAGGTCATCGTTGACTCAGCGGCAACTCGCACAGAAGGACAGCACGAGTGGTCCGAAGAATTTGACGACAAAGTCGAGGCAGATATGTTGTTCGGAGCGACCCACATTCGCGCGTGGGAAACGTGGTGCTCAGAGCTTCACAAGTAGTTTGAGCATGCACCTGACTCAGACAAGGCACACGAAACTCTACGCAAGTGGAAGCAGCTGGGATCTGTGTCCGAGTACACCGCGTCATTCCTGACGTTGGTGGACAGATGTGGCTACATGCACGAGTTGGAGAAGGTCAACAGGTACATGGGCGGCTTGAAGCCCGAAGTACAGTACCAGATAAAACTGTAACGCTCTGCGAAGCGGTTACAACACTACATCCAGCTCGCCGAAGCCGCTGATTCGATCACAAGGCCGAGGACGAACTTCTATGATGGAGGTCGCCCTCGAGAACAGTACCAGCGCGCCACGATAAAAGGGGTGGACGCAGTGGATATTTACACGGTTGCTCCATGAAATACGGGGCTATGCTACCACAGTGGCCGGCTGGGTCACATGCGACGCAACTGCCAAGAATTCATAGCCTTCCAGAATTCTATGGGGAAGATGCCGGAGGAGCGACCGGGAGATGGGTCGCGTCAGTAAGTACCGGTCCCCTTACTTTCGGGCAGGCTTCTTCGCCCAAACCACACAATCCCCACCAGGCTGTGATCCCGATTGCTGCAATCGACCGGACCTGGATGAATACGGGGGACAAACATGTTGATCACCCTGTGTTGGTGGAGGGTAAAGTTGACGGGGTATTATTGAAGATTTTTGTTGATTGAGGTGCAAGTCACAGTCTCATACAATTGGATGGGGCTAAAAAATTGGGTAAACCCTTACTCAAGTGTCTACCTGAGATCGATGCCCGACTGGTGGACGGAACACCGCTTGCAATACGGGAACGAGGGGAGAATGTTGGTTTTACCTGTGGGGAGCATGTAAAACTTTGGATGGGACTATTGGTGACTACTCTCGACGGGTGTGACGTGCTGCTGGGACTTGATTGGTTGGGACGGTACAACCTGAGGATTGACTAGACGGCGCGCGGCTGCAGAATCCAGCTCGATGGGATTTCCCGCAAGCTGCCCAAGTGGACAGAGCCTCGCATGCGAAGCACCCAAGTCCATGCGATCACTTCCAAGCGCGCGATGATGGCTTGAGCTGCAGCATACGCCATTGACATCGACAGTCGAGACCGAAGATATCGAGAAGCTGTGCAAAGCCATCCCTCTGGACTTTGCGAACCTGATTCGAAAATACCCAGAGATCTTCCCGGACAATCTGCCAGCCGGACTCCCGCCAAGCCGACTTGAGGACCACCGAATCGAGCTGGAACCAGGCGCCCAACCGACGGTACAGCGCCAATTTTGGCATAGCCAACCAGAACTGAAAGAATTACAGCAGCAGCTGGATTACCTTCTGACGAAAGGTTTTATCCGGCCTAGCACGTCACCATACGCCACCCCGATACTGTTCACACCGAAGAAGGATGGAGAATTCAGAATGTGTATCGACTACCGCGCGCTCAACCGGATCACCATCAAGTCGCGTTACCCGATTCCACGAGCTGACGAACTTCTCGACCAACTTCGTGGAGCCAAGTTACTTGAAAATCGACTTGAGAGGAGGTCACCATCAGATCCGCGTCGCCGCCGAAGATTGTCACAAGACGGCATTTCGAACCCGCTACGGCAGCTACGAGTACCTGGTGATGCATTTTGGCCTCACGAACGTGCCCTTGACCTTCCAAATGACCATGAATGGAATTTTCAGGGAAATCTTGGACAAATGCATCATCATCTACCTCGACGATATACTAATCTACAGCCGCTGCAGGGAGCAGCACTTACAGGATCTTGATGCAGTCTTCACGCTGCTACACAAGAATCGCCTCATCACCAAAGGGTCAGAGTGCGACTTTCTTAAGCAAGAGTTGAAGGAGTGCAAGAGTTGGAGTTTCTGGGCCACATCGTCTCTACTCAAGGAGTGAAAATCGACCCCAAGAAAATCAAGACCATACAGGAATGGAAGCTGCCAAGCAACATCAAGGAGCTGCAGAGTTTTTTGGGTTTCGTCAATTACGTCCGCATGTTTATACCCAACATGGTTGGGTTATCTGCCCCGCTAACTGACCGACTCAAGGATCACGATTTGTTTTTGTGGGGAGAGAAGCTGCAAGCTGCATTCGAGCAACTGAAGATCGTGCTAACATCACCACCCGTCCTTCGCATCTTCGATTCTGACCGTCCATACGAAGTAATCACCGACGCCAGCGACATCGCCATCGGCGCAGTTCTTCTACATGATTTTGGCGAAGGATTACAACCAGTCGCCTACGAATCACGGAAGCTGCAGGGCACAGAGAAAAATTACACGGTACACGATAAGGAATTTTTGGCGATCTTCTACGCGTTCAATGCCTGGCAGTGCTACTGACAGGCGCTGATGTCACTGTGCGTACCGACCACAAATCCCTCCAGTACTTGCGAGCCCAGCCGAATCACAACCCGCGACAAATCCGATGGCTCGATTTCCTTGAGTCAAACTTCCATTACACCATCACCTAAAAACGAGGCGCCAACAACATTGCTGATGCCCTGACCCGACCCACTACCCATACAGCCGCCATACTAGTCGCACAGACCAGCCCACTCCTTACCGGACTATTTACCCACGGCTACAAGATCGACCCCTTCTTCCGCTCTGCCATTCATCAACATCATACCACCGCTACCGGACACTACTTTAATAAACGCGACACTTCCCGCATATGGGTTCCCGGCTACAATTTACTTCGTACCCTTCTAATACAGGAATCCCACGACAATCCTACCTCCGGGCATTTCGGAGTCGACAAAACCATGAAGATGCTGCAGCGCAATTATTACTGGCCGAACATGGCCGACAACGTGCGCAAGTACGTGTCCTCCTACGCCGTCTGGCGGATCAAGAAATTATCCCATCAGCGAGCAGACGGACTCTTACAGCCGTTGGATCCGCCCGAGAGACCCTGGCAACACGTCACAATGGACTACGTGACAGGACTGCCGTCCAGTCCCATCCTCGTGGTCGTTGACCGACTCACAAAAAATGGCGCACTTCATCGCCTTCCAACATAAAATTACGACGGAGCAAACTACCCAATTGTTCATCGCCAACGTCATCAGACTGCCCAACGCCATTATTTCAGACCGAGACCCAAAATTCACGTCGAATTTCTGGCGTCACCTGTGGGACCAATTCGGCACCGAACTACAGTTTTCCTCTGCCTACCACCCACAGACTGACGGGAAACCGAACGAGTCAACCAAAATATGGAGCAACTCATACGAACTACCTGCACTGACCCACAGACATGGGAGAAATCCCTTCCGCTACTGGAATTCACGTATAATAATGCGCCTTCCGCCACAACCCATCAACCCCCATTTTCCCTTAATTACGGACAGGACCTAGTGGTGCCTGATAGAATGTTGAGAGAAATGTGACTAAGGGAGAAAGGCTGAGGGTTACAAAGGTGGGAATGTACCCTCTAAGAACTAACCTAACTAAGGCTATAATAAATATAATGTACCTATCATAGACAATTATATTTGTTGACACACCCCCTAGCCAAGATAGTGGCAATTCCTAACAAAGAAAAGTACACCAGGGCAGCACTACTAGTCTAACCTCTGATGAGTGTAATAAGAAAACTCAGGGCAGTACTACTAGTCTGACCACTGAGAATAGAGGCCACAAGGCTAGTCAGCAAGTGTAGCAAGACAAGCTGGTATAACACAACAAGTACAGGCTAGTATAGTATGACTCAGGATACAAGGAGAGGTGCTGCTACTGAGGCTAGACCAAGCTGAGTACAGAATAGCTGATGGTCACGAGACGCACGTGCCTTGGTGAAGATATCAGCGGTGTTGGCCTCTGAGGCCAACTGTACTACACGGACCTGACCGCGCTGCTGCAACTCCCAGAGCAGGAAGTACTGCAGCTGGATGTGCTTCGCCCTGCCCTCAAGTCGTGCCTCCTAACACAAGAGGATCATGGCCCTGTTGTCAGCAAAAAGGACCGCGGCAGACCAAGGCTGCTCACCTAAGCCAGTGAGCAAGAACTACAGCCAGCGGAGCTCCTGAGCAGCCATAGCCCCAGCGTAAATTGCCTCACAGCTGGACTGAGCTACAGACGATGACCTAGTGGACCTCCACAAGACTGCACCAGCACCAAGACTAAAGCAGTAGCCCTGAGACGACCTGAGCGTCTCCAAGTCGTCTGCCCACGACGAGTCTGTGTGTCCAGTTAGCACCACTGGCTCCCGTCCTCGTAGCACAAGCCCAGGAGCAGAGAGCTTGTGATCCACAGGCAGAGGGGTGGGCTGTGCTGAGGAGAACTGGAGACTGAACCTCTGGAGGATCTACTGCACCATATGGTACTAGGAGAGTGTGATCGTGCGAGTGGCACGGTCACGAGAGATCTCCAAGCCCAGATAGCGCCTCAGCTCCCCCAAGTCTGTACAGGTGTGTCTCCTAAGTAACTCGGCCTTCACTGAGGCCAGTGCGACTCTGTCGGGAGTAGCAAAGAAAAGATCGTCTATGTACACTAGAATAGAGAATGGTGTGTGACCCGTGCGAACAAAGAGAGAGGGGTCAGCAGAGGACGAAAAGAACTGCAGCTCAGCAAGAGTGGTGCGAAGCGTGTCATGCCACTCACGGGGTGCTTGACGAAGGCCGTAGATAGGACGGCGCAGGCTCCACTGGGTCCTAGGTGGAAAGATACAGAGAAGCCTAGAGGGCACTGGAGGTAGATCTGCTCGTGCAGACTGCCCTGCAGGAACACTGTGGAGAAGTCGAGTGAGTGAAGCTCGTAGTCACGTTGTGCGGCTATGTGAAGAAGGACCCGAAGATTAGTCATCCACGCTGTCTGAAGACTCTAGCCACGTAACACGCCTTGAACTTGGCGGCTCTCCAGGTGCGCGCTTCACCCTGTAGATCCACATGACATCGACTACGCTCGCCCCAGGCGGGGGAACTGCGTCGACGTAGGATGCCATCTCAATCTCCATGGCCTGTATCCACTGGGCTGCCCAGGGCCCCGACACCGCCTCAGCGTAAGAGCGCGGAACAGGGATGTCGAGAGCGTCTGGGTCGCCCTCTGTGGATACAAGCATGGAGCAGAGATGGGGAACAGCGGCAGCAAGGTAGGCCAACTCGTACTGCCTGTCTGCTAGCACGTCACTGCCAAGGGCAGGTGCACCCCCGACGGACAGAGGACGGACAGTACCAGAGACCAGAGTGGCAGCGTAGTCAAGGCAGTGGCTAGCAACAAAGTCAGCGACAGTAGCGACCAGCGCGGAGACAGACTCAGGAGGAGCAGTAGGGTCAGTGACAAGCGACGCAAGCAGGCGCGACAGGACTGGACGAGCAGTGCGAACAGCGTCGGAGTGAGGAGAGGGGGACGACGGTAGCGACGACGGGGGAGGCAACGGGAGGACTGTGATGGGAGGAGCACGCGAACGAAGGAGCATAGGGTGGACACTAGGACGGGGAGAGACAGGACGAGCACCAGAGGAGCGATGGACCCAGTGGGGAAGAAGGGACTGGGGACGAGGGGGGACGGGGGACAAGTCAGTGAACGGAGGGGAGCACGGGGGGAAACGAGCCGGAGAGGAGTCCGGAGGAGGAAACAATGGGCCGTAAACAGGGTTACGCACCGGAGGGGGAACGGGCGGGCTGACAGGGGAACCTGGAGCAAGACCAAGGAGACAAAGGGCAGACTGCCGCGGCTCCTGCTGCGGCGGCTGCACGTGCTGCTGCTGCTACTGGTGCAACTGCTCCCTGTCCGCTCCAGGACCTCCAGCGGCACCGCAGCCACCTCCGGCACATCGCGAAACAGCACCCCCAAGACTAGCACCCTCGGTCTCACCATCTACTGAATTAGCACCCCAGAAGTCAGCACCCCCAGAAATCGCACCCCCATAAATAGCACCCCCAGAGCCCATTGCTCCCTGCTGCTGCTGCTGCGGCGATGGCTGCTGCTGCTGAGGCAAGGGAGCAGGCAGCTCAGGGGCCTGGGGGACAGCAGGCGCACCCCCAGAGTCAGCCGACTCCCCCACAGAGGGAACCGAGTGGAACTGAGTGGCGTGGGAGACACCAGATTGGGCCGGGCGGAGCGGGTGGGGTGCTGCAGGCGGGGCAGGGACCAGGAAGAGAGGAGGAGGAGGCACAGGAGCGCTGCGGTGCGGGAATCACCGGTAGTAGGGGAGCGTCTTGTCGAAGTGAGGTTACGAGAGTGGTAAAAACGGTGGTGTGAGGGGTGGTAGAACAGCCAGTCAGAGGCATCAAGCGGGAACCCCAAGAAGACACAAGGAAGAGTGCGGGCTGAGAGCTTGTCCGCGGCAGTGTCGCGGACGTGAGAAAGGCTACCCCAGACGTGGAACGCAGACGTGTCACCAGGAGACCCAGTCCAGAGGAGGGTCGGCGAAACCTGTGGTCGCTGGGAGGGCGGCCACATGTTAAGCTGGTGAGTAGCGTAGTGCACGGCGAACGGCCACAGAAAATGGGGTGCATCGGCGTGGACCATGGAGGTGCGAGCCACCTCCATGATCAGGCCGATGCGTCGCTCAGCAACCCCATTCTGCTGTGGGGAGTCCGGCAGCATGTACGTCTGGCGGATGCCGTCCGCACGACAGAACCGTCCTAGAGAGCCAGAGGCGAACTCGCCACCGCGGTCAGAGGGTAAGCGACCTACAGGCAGTTAGTGGGCGATGCAAACAGTGAGAAGCCATTGGAGGAGAACGGTCGGCACGTCGGCTTTCCACTCCAATGGGAACACTGTGGTGAACCGCGAGAAGTCGTCAACGACGACTAGGACGTAGCGCTCCCGACTGAGACCATAGACCGGGGCAGGGCCCCGGACGTCCATGTGCAGTGTCTGTAGCGGTGCCATGGTAGGAGGAAGTGAGGAGGAGTGAGGGGCAACGCGCTGCCGGCGGTGCACAGTGGCGCTACCGACGGAGGCAAGGCGGGGAGCGACGCAGGGACACAAGTGACTAGACCGTGCTGGGATATGTGCCTAAGAGGCGGGAGTGCAGGGCGACCTAAGCGGTGGTGCCACAGAAGGGTAGGGTGAGCTAGTGAGCGACAGGAGCAGGACGCGGTGACCTCGGCAGACGTAGCAGTGGGCGAGGACTCAGTGTGCAGGGTAAAGAGACCTGATCCAGGGTTACGCTCAAAGGTAGCTAAGTGTCGACCGGTGACTTTGTCTGTGCAAGCAGCGTGTCTCTCGCGGCTAGGGAACGTAGTGGTGACGCCTTGGTCCTGGAGGTGACCGACACCCTCTAGGTTCCTAGCAAACGAGGGGATGTGCAGACCGACGCGGACAGGCGCAGGAAGTGGGGTGAGAGTAGTACTGTCTCGAAAGAAGCACCGAGACACTCCATGGTCTAAGACAAAGGAAAGGGCTGGCGAGGCGGGGCTCGGTGAAGAGTCTCTAAGAGTTCCTACACCTGACGCCGCAAGGAATCCTAGACCACATACAGTAGTAGCTCCAAGACTACAATCAGCAGGATAATAAAAACTAGCAACACTAGAAGCATCAGAATACAGAGAATACAAGGCATGGTCAATCTGAATTATGTCCTTATCAAATATAGGAACTCCACGACGAAGCAAGACCGGCCAGGGGGGAACCTGCACCTGCGGGCCAAAGTGACGACGGTAGAGGTTGTCCAGGTGGCGAAAGCAGCGAGCGGCGGTGTGCTCCACGCGCCCGCACACCTGGCCCGCCTGTGGGCCAGTCAGCAGCTGGTACGTGTAGGTTATCGCGCTACCAAAACCACCAGCACCCTGACTCACAAAAGAGCCACGCGACCCCTAGGACACCGACAGCCTTGGGCCCCAACCCCCACGGCCTCCACCACGACTACCACCCCCAGGGCCCGCCGACCCCCAAGACTGCTGCGGCTGCTGCTGCTGCCGCTACGGCTGTTGGTGATACTGCTGTGTAGTCCCTGACTCTGACTAACCACCCTCTCCGTCCGCACCCTCACCCCCTCCACCTGCTGATGCTGACCCCCCACGACCCTTGCCCCCTTTGCCCTTGGCCTTGCCGCCAGATGAGTGGCCGGGGGCAGAGGTAACCGCTACGGTCTCAACAACAGAAGCGGAGGCAGGGACTGTCACTGGGGAGGGAGCGCTGCCCTGAAAGATGGGGACCGCCGGCGCGCCAGTGGAACCGGCGATAGCGTGGAGGCGGACCTCTATCTTAGTGAGGGAGGTGAAGAAGAGGTCAATGGTGAGCTCAGAAAGGTGACGAGCGAGGAGCCCGTCGCGGGCAGGGGCTAGGCGGTCAGGGAGGCGGGTGACAAGGAAGTAGATAGTGGCGAAGAGAGGGGGCAGGGCGAGCGCTAGCTAGGCCTCAGTACAGGCCACACGCCAGCGAACCTCGAGGGAGCGTAGGTGCTCGACTAAGTCTGCTACAGTGGTGA